TGTGCATGGGTGTACACAATGACGTTCTAACCCCGTGACAGAAGGACGTCACGATCGCAAAAATATTCGGTCGTCATAAGACGAGCATCTTGCGAGGGAGAGAGGGAGAGGGAGATAGAAATGTGTCAGCACTGCGATCCATCGGAATTAGCACGAAAACGCGACGTCGAAGAGTCCGACCACTTGCGAAACCAAATAGGAGGTGCCCATTACGATAACGTAAACCAGCAGAGGCGTATTGCTCACGATTTTCTCTGGGATTTTTCTTCTTTGACCCTCGCCTTCCCGTTTCCGCGAAAACACGAGATTTACGTAGCACCGTGAATTTGCTTATTTGCCCACGGCGTGCCCGTGTACACTCTTCTCCGTAGATCACCGGGCGGGATCCCGATTCTGGCGTATCGGCGTTTCCTTCTGGATTATTCCAGCTGGATTTTCACGGTCATACCGTGTACAAATAGAGTATATCCCCTTATTACACGGGGGATACACTTTCCGTATTATAACTTGTGTAGGCAACCAAAATATTCACGGTTATTGAGCAATCGGAATACCCCCATTCAGGCAGATTAGATAAACATAGATAACTTTACTTTCATTCTTTTCCGAAACTCTTAGATTTCCCTTCCTATAATATACCAAGTGCTGTTTTAGACATCAAAAATTGTGAAAGGAAATTCAGAAATGGGCACCAGGGTACCCGGTTACTACACAAGGGTTACACGAGTCGCATAGGTTATGGAACCTCCATAACATAAAACCATCCGATTTTAGATGCTAAATAAAAATAATAATGAAACAAATAGAAAATAAAGATTTTCGAATGAACTTCAAATGTCAATACATATAGCTGACTTTTGGTTGCCAGTAGACTTCGTTACTTACCTGTCAAAATCTTGGGTATTCCTTGTTACGTGCTGTTCCATACTGCGTACGCCCCATCCTGCATACAGTACGTATATGGGCTACGTGTGCAAGTAGAGATTCATCTTTATAAAAGATGAAAGGGCCTAAGACAAAGAAATATCAAATGAATATTAAAGATTCTTGATATGATAGTTTCAATCAAAATGTGAAAACGTAAACTTATCTACCCTGTTATACAAGCATCGCCACAATTCTTCCGTCGTATTATACGAATCCGTGTTGTATGGGGTCTACTGTACGGTGTCGAGCAACCTCGGTTTCCACTAGGGGAAAAAGCGGCGTAGAAGAAAAGTTTTCCATCACTTGGTAAATTTATTCCAAATAGTGAAATAAATCTTAAATCGAATGTTAATTTGGCATACATTTCAGTAATTCCAAATACCAAATGGTAGGAGGTACTTTCCTTACGTTACTTTTTCCCCTAGTGGAAGCCGAGTTTGCTCGTCGGTGTACTCGAAATGTTTCGTCGCGGCTGTTCTCGCGTGGATCGATAAACTTTCGAGTGTAACTATCGATAAACTTGTAATTGTTACAGTAAGTGTCTAAAGTGGATGGTACAATCAACTCTGTGGTAGATCGTTGTACGACAGCAGGAAATCAGAAATGGTACGGTGTTCGTGAAATAACAGAAAGAGGTTAGGATTCGATGGCTAACCATAAACATTCGACTAATTCCCGAGCAACGTCGCAGCGATCCGTGGAACGATGGGAGTACGAGTGTTCAGGTCGTTAGGTATAGATTCTAATACGCAAAGATAGATTCACCGGTGAGGGGCGATCGTGTATATTTAGAAAAGTGCCTCCGCTTGCCAGAACCGAGAGAGACTCGTATCTCGGCACCGCGTGCGAGATTTCTCTCTCTCTCTCTATCTCTCTCAGAAGCCCACTTTTTCTTCTCTATCTTTCCCGTGGTGTCTCGCCCATTGTTAACGTGGCTTCCGAATTCGTTTTACAAATTACCTTCTACCATTTTTTTTCCTGTTTATTAAGACGATACCTCGGATCGTGAACCGGATTCACGTCGGTTGAAGTGGTTAGGGGGGGGGGGGACACTTTCGGTGCGAAACCGTAGGATGGCGTCTTAAAAATAATGTTTACGCGAACGGTAAACACGTTACGCGTTGCTTCTCGAAGAAAGTCAGCTCTGATTTTGACTTCGAGTTCCATAAATTTGCTGGATCTTTGAATCGAACGCGCAGATACTTCCGTGGAACTTAACAAATTGAGGATCATTGCTGTTCGCAAGCGGCGCAATTGAATATATCGGTATACTCTAAGGAAAAATTCAGATTGGGTATTTAAAAAGTATTTTAGGGAATGAATGGTGGTATTTAAAAAGTATTTTAGAGAAGGAATTTACTTTCTTTTCAATTTTGTAGTTTTTCTTTAGATTGGTTACGTCGAGACGCAAATTTGTGTCTCCTTGTTCTCAAGGTGTTGACTATTTAGTGCCGAGATGGAGCCGCAGAGGCTCTGGTGATCCTATTTTTCTTATTCACCTTTGTTTCAGTAAGTTAAGTATGAGAAAGTAGTATAACGTAACTCAGTATGCTGTCACATTCATTCAGAAAATGAGTAAAATAAAATAGTAAACAAATTTTGTACATTTATGTATAGTATATAATCTAAAAGTTCAGAATCACGTAAACTTACATCGGAGATGTACGTCTTGAATACAGTCCCCCAGTATTCCAGGGTTAAGATCATTCGTCTTTCTTTCGACCAGCGAATAAGGATCCACGAAAATCGAGGCTAAGAATTCCACGGAGCTCACTGAAATTATTGCAGCTCGAATGTTCTCGGTGTACGACAATGTAGCTGTTATATTCCTAGAACATCAGTTCCGGGAGTAGAAATGGCCCGTATTAGTCAGCCAAGAGCCGCAGGAAATTCGAGCGTAACGATATCGACACGATACACCCGATAGATGTTTTGACACGCGGCCAGAAATGTTTCCAAGAAATTAGAATACCTCGCGAAGTTAAGGGTCGCGGCGTGTGTCGTCGTTTACGGACCGTACGATATTATCCATGAAATTATAACAGTGATGACAATACGCTCTAGAGGAAGGGAGGGGGGAAAAAAAGTTGTCGACGAATCTATCGAATTGCCGATGCGATCGAAAAATTTATTTTCGTCGGGAACAGTGGCCAAGACCCACTTTTTCTTCGCACGGTGTTCTATTTCCTACCCGCGGACGAACGTCTTTCTACTTTTGCCCCCGTCGAGCAAGTTCGGAGAAGGACGAATCTTCCAGAACCGATTTCGTTGCCCGCCGAGACGTGTCGATTCGCGTGGTCGTTTCGAAACGATCGTTCCGACAATCGCTGTACGGGATCGAGGTTGATTAAAACTATTTACTCGCCCACGCGATCTAGCAACTGCGTCTCGGGGGCACGTAAGAAAAAGGCATGTGCAGATCGTCGATTAGAATTCTAATTTCGAATCCGAGGTGAAGTTCCCGCACGATGACTTCTCCCGATTGCCCACCCGTCATCCGGCTAATTTAGCTCGAAGAGCAATTAATCCACTGTAACTTGTTATAGGTTTTTTTTTGTCTTCCCTGGACCTTGGGGGCCAACGCAATCGTCCCGACAATTTCCCAATCGAAATGATTATAATCGACTCTGTCGCAGTTTGGCTAATGTGTCGGGCGACAGTAGAATGGTGGATAATTGGCCATTTTCTGAGGAATCCGAAATCTATAATCGAGTGATTCACAGGCCAAAGTGACTAACTCCGCTTTTTGATTTCGTTCAAATTTTATTGCCAAAGCATTTGATCGGTGCTTAATTGTATAATTTTATTAATTTTTCTTGATTTATTTTTTTGTGGGGTTAATTACTTGGGCAAATCAACGGTTCCATTGTGTATCTGTCATTTATTGGGAATGTTATAAAACGAGACTTCTGATCTTTAGATTATATCGTTAGTAAGAAACTTTCAGGCTTCCGGTTTTGAGGAAAATATACTTTTGTAATTTGGATTTAGCAATGTTGGTAGTTAACAAGAGATCCATGGTACCTACTCCGAAAATTACGATTTTTTTTTAAACTTTGCATTGGGCGATTTTCTTCAAGGTGAAATCAATCACCCCTTAAAGGTTAATGCGTGTTTTCCTATTTTCAGGTATATCTCGAAAACTACAGTTGATATAACAAAACTTTCAGACTAAAAATTTCATGGCGTCTTATACTCTCTAAAATTGCGCAACAAAATTGTTAAAAATTTGTTTTTCAAATAAGTAAATAAATAAACAAATACATTTTTAGCAATTTTATTACACACTTTTATAGAGCATAAAAAGACAGTCAATTTTCATTGGAACAGTTTTCTCATATCTACTACAGTGTTTAAGATATACCTGAAAATGGGAAAACCCACATTAATCTTTAAGGTGTCTTCGTCCCGAAGAACAGAGTACCTAAAAAACCGAAAAATAGCCTCACTTAAACCCCTCAGAAAACTTGCAAAGTCTCAAAACAAAAAACTAAAATTTTCAAAGTACCGTAGTTCCCGTGTAAGATGTCGCCATTCAATATAAAACATTAAATTCCCATCGTCCATGGAAAAGTGTCTCGAGAGTGCTGTTTACGGGCCGATACGCGCCTCGCAAGACCGTACTTTTCTCGTTGAACGGCGGTCTCGACGTTGTTATTTTCGCGGTCTAGTTTCAAGTTCATCAGTAGGGAATATCTCCGTGTCCCCACTAATTACAAGGTTTCAAGTTCAATAGCGACGCAGCGGTAACGGGAACGGCTAGGCGAAAATGGGGTCGTGGAAGCGAAAGAGAGGAACAAACACGCAGCCGCTGTCGCGAAGGGGGTTGGATCGTCATGGGCGGCGAAAGGGGGTGCGCGTATTGCAACGCGCTGCTGGGATATCGCGCGCAGGATCTGGGTCTCATCGTTGTCCAGGCGAGTTCAGAGACAGGCTCTCGACTGGTGACACGGGAGGGCGTAGGTGTGGAGGCAAGGGTGGGGATCGCGGGGACGATCGCGATTTGCCGGGTGAGCGACGCATGCGTAGAAGACCAGTGGTCACCCGCCTCGAGGTGTCAGGACGATATTTCGTGCGGTTAGTTGGCGCGCGGGGCCCCGGTGACTGGGACGGCCAAATACAGGCGCTCCGTATATAAAAAGGCAGAGACAAGAGAGAGAGAGACAGGGCCGGAAACGAGCAGGGATACAAAAAGCTGTATTAAACGGAGTGACGACCACACAGTGACGACGACGAAGACGACCGAATCAGTAATATACACACATATTTTTTTTTTTCTTGTTCGTTACGCGACTATTCGAGAATCACACACAAAGTGCGCGGCGAAGAATCTCGTTGACGAGCCGCGAGCTCTCGACCTGATCGACACGTTCAACCTGCCCAAGAATCCGGGAGAGATTAAATAGGATTTCTACCACAACGACCCCTACGACCATTTGTCGGCCTCCGGAACGTTTGGATACTTAAGCAGCTCTGCCTCAAGTAAGTTTTCCCCCCATGTTTGACACACTGGACAGTGAATGGGTTTTGAGCGTGAGAGAGAGAGAGAGAGAGAAAGAAAGATGGTGTACCGAGTGAGTTTGAGGTTCAGTGCCCGCTGAACGCTTTTTCGCAACGTTCGACGGTGAACCGCGTGTGCATCTGGTGCATCGGCAGTGCTTTGAAGTGTTACGTTCCGTTCGCGGGCCATTTGACCGAGAGTGCGAGAACACCTCTCGTGCTTGGAGATCTTTTGGGACCGGGACGGTGTGTATGTAGGTATCTCTCGCTTCGTTCATACGGTTGATCGTTAATTCCGATTTTCCGAAACAGTTTCGTCGAGTTTTTCCCGTGTCTCGAGCGGAAACAGTGTGGCGATAATATGGATCGTTCGCCGGTGAAAGGCGCGAGTGGAATCGGTCGAGGATAAGTACGACACTGGATCGTTTCGACTTCTTGCGTGTGCGGTGGGTGGCGCGCGTTTCGAACGATCGATCGATATTTCTGGAGTGCTTCGACCGTGGTCCACGCAGTCCCTCATACACTGACGTGCAAATTCGGCTTCCACTAGGGGAAACAGTGATCTAAGGGAAAGACCTCCCGCCACTTGGTCTCGGAGTTATTGAAAATTATGCGAAATTAACATTCGATTTACCATTTAGTTCAGTTTTTCGAATAAATTTATCAAGTTTGTAGGAGGTCCTTTTACGTCACTTTTTTCCCTAGAGGAAGCCGAGTGTGCACGTCAGTGTACATGTGGAAACTAGACCTTACACCGTGTGCCCTCTTAGACTTTAGAATCAATGGCGTTTGAGAGGGTGACCTTGACACGAGTGTCTGTCCGAGGACAATGCCGAGGAGGACTAGGTTCGTCGAGTGACTCGTATATAGACTACGAGTATATGGCCAGGGAAAATTCTTTTCCTAGTTTCGTTCGCAACGATGGCCCGACGGCATCGTGACTAATTTCCACGAGCCCCGTCGTGTCCGAGCATCGAGAACTATTCGTAGACTACTATCTAGGTATCTAGGCTCGAAGTCCATTTATTTTTAGAAAGACGTAACGTGAGGAGGAACGGGTCGTCGTTCCACTCGACGTTTCGATCATCTTCCACAGCACGTTTTCTTCCGTTTTGTCCGTCTGTCCCTCCTGTGTCTCCGTCGACTGGCTCGTCCGTCATTCGGCCCCTGTTGGCGGTTCTGTTCGATTAACTCGTTTTCTCGTCTGTCGTTTCTCATCCTACGCCCGAATCCGCCCATATCTTCCTTTATCTGTCCATTCGTCGATTTTAAACAAGGACGAAAAAAATCCCCCTATTTCCACGTCGTCGAATCGAAAAGAAGTCCTGGCGTTCTAGGGGAAAGTGAACACAGGAAAGCTCTCGTCGGTGTTCGACCGTCGATATATCGATTGGCGCGGATACGATGTGTCAAAAATTCTTGACCGATCTTTCACTCGGCATGCTTGAGTTTCACGATTATTTATAGACTTTCATGGCCAGCCAACCAGAAAATTGCACCTGTTGTTATCGTCTTAAACTCTCTGTTTGAAATTAGCATACGCGGGATGACTAAACTTATTGTTTTTGGCTTTGCTTGTCATCGTCGAATCATCCACGTTCGATGTGTCGTTCGTCTGTTTTTAACCTATGCCGTTTCTGCTGGCTCACTCGGTTTAAAAAAAAACCTCGCCGACATACTGGGATTCGAGGCTCCGCACGACACAGCGGACTTTTGACATTCACGCGAATCCTCTCGTGACATTGTCCTTCGCGGTTTACGATCGGTGCAATTGAAACTCTTGCCCTTAGGTTTAGTGAGGTTAGGTACAGTGTACATTGGCTTCGTACACTCCGAGCAGTAAGTGTTATCAAGACACTTAACATTTTTAATTTAATTTTCCTTAGAGATTATTAAAACCGAACCGACTATATCGATATTAATACAGGAAAACAAATAGGATACAAGGTACATAATTTTAACGCAATATCACTTTTTTTTTTTAAAACTGCAGGTGTCCTAACACATATGAACGGTAGTGCGTCTGTTTCATAACGCACGAATTTTCGAAAGAAAATAAAAATATTATTTATTTAGTTTATTGATTAAATGTAAATGAACATGTATAGCTCTTTTGGTCCAAAATAATTACAATAGGATAAATTTATTATTGCGCCGCCAGTCAGGACACCGCGACCCCTGGTAGGGAAAAAGGCTTTCGTCGCTTTTCGAAAATAAATCGGGCCGTTTCGTCGATACACAGGGATATTCGGTGGCGTCGACGACTCCGCGGGTTAGCGTGGCTTTGAGTCAGTCCACGGAAATAGACGTTGCGACGCGAGTTGATGTCTTGAAAATAGTCGTATAGACAGGAGAGAAGAGTGCGCCGGAACGCATGCCTCGAGAGGGGGGAGGGGGCTAATAATTATAACTTCTAGGTCGGATATAGGTGCGCTCTCGGTAAGTTTATCCTCGGTATTCGCCACTCCCGATGACCTAATATTCTTCCCGTCGTCGCAATACGTTAGGTGAATCACTGGCTTGTGATCAGCCCATACCTGTTCGGTTATAAACCTCTGGGATTCTCTCTCCTCGCTTGCCAGCTTCAACGAACGCCAAAATCCGACGAAAAAACAATTGATAATAAAAGAGACACGTACCACGCGTTTCCGTTGGCCACAGCGTCGCCTAAACCCGGAAAAGGAAAATACAAACTCATCTCCGCGAGACGCCACAGTGCGTAGAGTGTATGGGGCGTTCGGAACGAAAATCGTAACTTCTGTACTAATCGATTTTTGACCTAAGTACCCTTATACTTTTTTACGAAGAATACAAAAATTCATCGAATGGTGTTAAAAAAGTATACAGTTCTATTAAAAAAAATTGAGGCGATCTTGATTGTTTATCGAACAAATAGCTTTTTATCAATATTTATTATTGGAGGTTGTTGTCGACTGAATACTGACTAACTTTTGTTCGAAACATTTTTTCATCAAATTAATTATTATTACTGTAATACATATGAGTGATCTGAGTCTGAACGGTTTTTCGACTATACGTCACAGAATTTATTTCATTTTTTTTTATCTTTTAAATGCATAGTGAAATTTCTGAAATACCATCTATACGAGACTAGAAGAAGCTATTATATACTCACTGTTATGAAAAAATACGTAATACTAATATTTAATTTCGTAATTTAGAATACGTAGCTATATGGCAACAGTGGGAATGAAAGGGTTTAGGGATAATAAGTGGACATTTCGTGGTTTCTCTCTGCACTGAACCCCTTATTCGATCGTCGTCGATTTTTCGCCCTCTCTGAGGAACGTGTCGCGGCGGCACCGTTTCGCGGACGGTATTTTCGTCTCGTCATTGCTACACGATGTTTCATTCATTCCATTTCTTTTTATAACCGCCGTGTACATTGTGCCACTTGTTATTAGGTCAGCTTGTCATCGAGCACGTTACATACGCGGCGAGAAGACAATAAAATTCTGCCAAGTCGCGGGACTAATGATCGTTTCTACACCCCCTTCCCCTGGGGGCCGAAATATTGCCGCTAAACACACACCTGTTCCCTCGTTAATTCTCACCGTAATCATCAAAAGTGACATTCCAATTCGAATTTAATGTTTTCGTCCATTCGACTGGGGTAATATTTATCGTCTATGTTGGAATAACGTTACTATACAGTAAATCCACGATGAGTGTTCGAAGGTTTCTCGGGACTGGCAAGGAGAGGTCAGGATATTTGTTTCAGCCGCGTATGGCCATTAGTTTATGAAATATTTAATTCTTCAGTGCCGAGGAGCCTTCGAACACTCATCGAGAATATATTGTATTTTACGCTGATTGGTTTCCCATGCTGAAAAATGAGTATTCGGCGAAAAGGACAAATTATAATTAAGACGGTCCAACAGCGACCCCCGATCTAGGTGATTGCCAAAGTTTCCATTGAATCGAAACGCGGTCATTGTTTCACTCCCTCAATCGATTTGGGCTTTGAGGACACGACAATCGTCCGTTGATCGACATGGACCGTTTGTTCAAGTTCGATAACTCACAACACCACTGCGAAAGTTACGTGTAGCTTCAAAGACAGAGGTCGAAGGAAGAAGCTTAAGGCTGTAGGATATGGATAGTACAGTAAATCACTGAACATTAAATACTTCATAAACTAATGGCCATATGTGGCGGAAACAATTATCATTGGCTTCAGAATTTCGAGCTCTATAACTGTGTTTAACCCGATTAAAACCTTTTCGGCACTGACAAGAAATGCTTCGTACCCTCGCAAATTATTTTTTTACCCGAAGCCAACAATGACAGTTGACAGGTTCCACGCCACCCCCCAGTGGTAGGGATAACGCCTGGACAATAATCGTGTAGAACAAACCAGACGATAATCATGAGGAGTCTTTATTCGCAATCGAAATTGGATCGTCCCATTCTATCGTGACCCTTTCGATCTTCGGTCATTCCCTTCTTCACTTGGCACACACGCGAAACGATCCTGTCAAATGTGTATCTCGAACAAAGAGCAAGGAACTTGCTGTTTGGAACGGTCGACGGAAAATGGGGGTCATTGACCCTGATCGTTACTCGATCGAAATCTCCACGAACCTCTTAATATATCGTTGACAAACACATATCTATCGCTCATTTGCTGCATGAATGACATAACTCAAAATTTGCAGGTTCTGAATTATTATTATAGAAAAAAATGGTCGTTGTCTGTAGTTGTTATCGGCTAAATCCTGTAGGTTTTTGGTCTGAAGGAAATAACTTTATGGAAAAGAATATTTTTTCGGTCTGAAGGAAATAATTCTGTTAGGGAAGGGTTAGTCATTTTATTCTGAACTCAATATGGTACTTAAAAGAAGAAAAAAATTTCTACATTTGCTTTTGTCTTTATGAATTACTTTAGAAAATATAATTTTGCATAAAAATCCGCAGTCTAGTTATAAGAGTAGATACGTGTACTTTTCAGTAATTTTGACTGCTTCGGTAGTTCTAGTGTTACGTTGTCACTTTTTATTTTACCATCGAATTCCTCGATTTTTTCTTCTTCTCGACAAGCTCGAAAAATCACAATCCTGGAGACTGAAAAGCTCCAACGATTTCCCTCCAATATCACTCGAATTAATCGAGGAGACGCGATTTTTTGCAGACGTGCAACGTCGTACGTGCAAGCTCAACGAGCTCGGTTTAATTGGATTAGAGAAAATTAGCGAAATCGAACGAAAACGAAAGGAAAGAGGGAGGGGATAGAATGAGAACGGTTGTTACGAAGCACAGCAATCTCGGGAATGTTTCGGGGCTCGTTGCCAAGTCTTACCGTGACGTTGTAACACTTCGTCCATTCGTTCTGCTTTGCGCTTCTCGCGCGTCGGCTGCTCCGTTCATTTTCCCCTCGATTTCTAATTACACGATCAATTTCTCCATGGATCTACCGGTAGTTTGAATAATTATACACAATATTACAAATTTAGGGGTTCGAACGATCGTTATTCCGTCGCTTTAATTCTTAATTGTTCTCCACAAGTTTCTAAATCGAGAAGAGTGAATTTAAAGTTTACGAAGTTTAATATTATAGAACCAGGAAAGTAGTGAAATAATCAAACACAGTATAGTATCATACGGATTGTTATGCCAAATCATATTTTAGAAGGTTGCTCATAAAGATAAAAACAAAAATAGACATTTTTTTCTGCCATTAAGTATCTTATTGGGTTCAAAAGATAATATAGAAAACACGTTGTATTACTTCAGATAATTTTATCATATTACCAACATCAATTTTTAATTGTTATTAGCATTTGGAGATACAATCATTAAGAAAAAAAAAACTTTCAAAGCTTTGCAGTCAGGACTTAAAAGAATATTTGTTTTCTTGATTGAATTTTCATTATATTATGGTGAATTTGTATTCTTTGGACCGATGAGAGGCAGGTAGATTGTTTAACTAAATTTTGTTGAAAATTTGATTTAGACCAGTTAAGAAGCGACGATGTATTAACTCGCCATTTTGTCTGTTATTTCCTGGGCACTATTGTAAAAGTAGGAAGTCTTATGTCCCTGAAAATGTTCACTATTGAACTTGTCTTCGAATGTTTCATCGGGGAATTCACACAGACTTCTGTATATGTACACGGTGGCCCAAAAGTCACTAGACCCTTTAAAAATAGAATAACTCTTTTACGTATTAAAAATTCACATTTATGCTTTTATAAACAATAAATATACTTCTTGGAAATTATTTTTAATTACTTTTGTAGATTATGTCCTTCAAATGGCCATCATTTTTTTCTTGACAGTGACGGGCTCTTCCTAAAAAGTTATTTTCTATGATAGGGTAGCATAGTTATTATTATTATTAGGTTAGGTACCAATGTATTGTTTATATCTATTTGAATTCTATTTTTATAATGATTATATCTCACTATACTTCATTTGATGATTTGTTGTATTAGTGCGCCGTAACGTTTCAAATCACATATTGTAAAAAAGGGTTTTCACCCGTATGAATTGAATTAAATTAAATTGAATTATTTTTTAAAATCGTCCAGTGACTTTTGGGCCACCCTGTATACACATAAAAGTCTGTGGGAATTCATTGAACTTTCTCGAAATCGAACGGTACCACTGAAAAATCGTGTCTCTTCGATTCCGCGAGTTGTATCGCGACCCAAATGTCTAGATTACCACAGTTAGATGCCAAACATAATAACCGATTACCAAGATAACTGGTCCACCTATTTTCGAGCCAAGAGCCGCATTAATAATAGAGGTGTTACGTCATCGTGTCGGCCTTGGACGTCTTGGAAAATATGCTTGGAGTGTCGGATTCCACGAAAATTCGCCGGTTCGCCACGGTCAATTTCCGTTCTATCGTTCGCCAATTGCCCGTGGCGACAATTTCATCGAATGCAAGCACGTTTTCGTCCCATTGCTTTCGATGCAAACCTCATTTATCGGGGACCAAGGGTTTAATCGTAATCAGAGATTGAAAGTCGTGACCACCGACAATTATAACCCTCGAACGGCGGTGGATGGGTCTGTTTGGATCCAGAATTTCCGAATCTTCTAACATTATTCCCCTTAATTAACCTAATTGAGGCGTTTACCGTTGTTTATATTAGCATTTTACAAGACGACTAGTAACATGGTCCCCCAATTTGATATTTCTTCCTAAAAACTGATTCCTACCTGAAACTGTTTTAAATTTTGCTTTAATATTGTATATAGGTAAACAACCGGCAGACACGTGCACTGATTGGTCGCGATTTTTCATTAATATCTCGTTAACAAAAGTTCGGATAACATTTTTACAACAAAATAATACTTCTTCCTGAATGAGTCGACATTTGGCAAACAAGTATTTAATCGCATTAACTGTTTATAGCTCAGGATTATGCCCTTAGATACTGTACCTTTTCATTATGTATTATTCGAATAAAATTCTGCTCAACTCTGCTTAAAATATAATTAATAAAAAAGAACTTTGGATTAATTTTCCTTCGATACAAGTAGGCATCTATACTAAGTAGATAACGATACTTTTTTTCGATACAAGTTCCGAGTAAAAGTATCGATACCTTGATAGTACAGAGTTCTTTTGATTATTGTCACAAACTGGTGTCCACGCGGCGACAATAATCTCATAGGGAGAAATGTTTCAGAGCCTCATAAATTCGTTTCTTGCCCGAAGTCCAAGCCTCGGCAACAAAGTATGCGCTTGACAGATTCCACACCCACACCCCTCAGTGGTGTGGATACCGCCTGGACAATAATCGTACAGAACAGGCCAGACAATAATCGAGAAGAGTCTGTATTCGGTTTACCCCTATGTCTAGGCCCAAGTATCAACCTTTATTCGATCATAAAAATTGTCCGAGTGTTCATCCTGTGTTTCGAGCTCGAAAGGAAAAAGAAATCCAAAAAAAGAAGCACTTGATTTCCTTAGGAAGGTCATTGCATGCAATTACTTAACTCGCGAGTCTGGTTACGAGGAGGAAGAACTGTTTGGTTCCCGGTCGAATTACATAAAGGTCTATTTTGAATATGCAAAAAGGCGGTATATCATTTCACGAATTCGAATGTAACCCGTGGAAATATAATAATTTGGCCCGCGTTACCTGCGATTTGGAAACCAGAAGAAACTTCCCTCGTGTACACCTGACTCCCTCTCGGCGTGTGTGCGTCCCCGGACTTCTTAATCTCTCGAGCCATTAATCTTTCCATTTCGTCGACGCGGTCGCCCGTTAACGACCATGAAGCTGCGTCTACACAATGTAGCATACAACGTTATGTAGCAAAGTTATAAAACTCATTAAAAAAATCGAAAGAAAAATATTATATAACATAATGTTACGTAACATTTATTAGTAATGAATACATTGTGGATTTTATGCATTTATGGAATATTCAGTCCTCTAAAAGTCAATACATTAAAAAGATTCAGAAAATTTATGGAGGTTCTCTTTTTATTTCGAACCTACTGGAACCCTTAACAGAGTAAATATATTTTTAGTTGCGTCCAATTTTAAGAAATTAACCCATGATATTCTGTATTTGTATAAATATCCAAAAATACTTTTTTGACTATACATATATAAAAGTTCTAACTCAAAAATAAAACAAAAGTCACGAAAAAAACCTGCCCGTCCTCTAAAGGTTAAATCAGCAGTTGGTTCATCAATTCAAGTAAAAAGACAGTCACCCCACTGAAGGGAATCGTTCCAAAGTGCATTTTAAAAGTGATGCATAAAGCTGCGTCTACACATAACATGTTACATCGCAAAGTTATAAAATTTGTTAGAAAAACAGAAAGAAAAATGTTACATAACATTTTTCGTGTTATATAGCAAGTTATATGTTATCCATCTAGTGTGACGCTATTATTACTAATGAGATATAAAATGTTATACAAACTTGTCACAGACTTGTCCAAAAGATAAATCTTGTAACAAATTACACAAACGTGTTGTATAGCAAGGTTGTATAACAATTTCTTTAATAACACTATTTTGCTATATAGTGTAGACGCAGCTTAAGACAAGGAACCGTCGCGCAAGCTCGCCTAGAGAACCGACTAAAATTGATACAGACGAAATCCAACGACGGTCGGTCCAATGCTCTGAGCATTCCGTAATTTGATATCGTTACGTAATTCTCCTTGCTATTAAAGATGCTCGACGGTGTGCGTATGTTTGTTTCGCATTCCGTGGCGAAAGAACGAAGCAGCGAATGCCGCACAGTGGGCCAAATGACGATTCTAACTGGAAAAAAGTCACACTTCGTAAACGAGTGAAGAAATGAAAATATTGTTCGTACAAAAGTTTTTTTACTACAAAGGGGCACATTACATAGTGTATATAGTTTTTCCGTAAGTGCAGTGGTATATCGTACAACGAAAAGTTCAATGCTAATGAGAACCATCGCAATAAAAATGCGAACCACTCTAAAAAAAATTTTTCTCTGTTGATAACAGGTCGAAGGAGGTACCCTGCAAAAAGTAGGCGTGTCCACGATCCTCCGGATCGAGGGTAAAGCACGGGAGGTTGGATGGTGCCGCGGGTCGGCGCCGTTTGAACCGACACCGAGGCGGAAGGGGGGCAGGGCCAGGTTTCCCTCGCGAGCTGAGCACGAAGGAGCGAATCAGGGGGGCGGGGGTGGGTCTACTCGATCCCTTAAACGGGATAGGAGGGTGGCTCGTCCATCCGTTGTGAGATTCGCCGTTAAAAGGCGGGGGAGGAGGAGGTGCGAAGGCGGCCCGTCGCCATGGGGGTCGCCGACGATTTCGCGCCGAGCTTCACCCAGAAGCCTCAGCTCAGACAAGAGGACGACGGTAATCGGTTGATATTCGAGTGTCAGCTGGTCAGCTCGCCGAAACCGGAGATATCATGGTTCCGCGGGGAGACCGAGCTGAGCCCGGACGACAGGACGAACTTCAAGATGCAGAGCATCGGTACGAACAAGTTCCTGGTCGTGCTGGAGCTCGACGACGTGATCGAGACCGACGCGGGCCTATACAAGGTCAAGGCCAAGAACAAGATGGGCGAGGTCGCGGCTTCGATCAACCTGAATTTCAGCCGTGAGTACCTGCACACCTTGCACACTTGGTCCCTCTAGTTCTTAAATTGTTCTATCCCCATTAGTTTATAAACTCAGAAAACTGAGATTACAGTTTATGAAGTTTAATATTATAGAAGCAATGAAATAATCAAAAACACTATACCTATGACCCGCGAGGTCAATGTTAATCTATTATTTATATTATCTCAAAGTGTTTGTTTCATGTTTATGTTTTATAATTTATTTTTATGTATTACACTTTATTTGCGGAACTCAAGCGGGTCATTTGAAATTATCAAATGGGCCATTTGGTGACCCGCGGGTCGTAGGTTGCCGACGCCTGATCTAGGGAATAGCTAAACAATATTTAACAAAATTTTATCTTATTATCAACGGAAAGTTTTCATTGTTGTTAGTATTTGGAGATAAACCATTCAGAAAAAAAGGTTCCAATGTTTCGGAGTTGAGAATTGAAAGAATACTTGTCGTTTTCTCGGTTGAATTTTGTTTGTTTATTTATTATTTGATATACGGGTATACAGGGTGTAATAAAATGTTGGAGGACCGGGAAATGGGGGACTCGCGAGGTGATTTGAAAGAAGTTTTTCCTCAGCAAAAATGTTATCTGAGGTTTCGTTAACGAGATATTAACGAAAAACCCTGACCCATCAGAGCGCGAGTCTGCCGGCTAAGACGGCGGTAACATTATTGGCTACGCGCTACCGCGGGAGCTCAGCCGGTAGACTCGCGCTCTGATTGGTCGGGGTTTTTCGTTGATATCTCGTTAACAAAGCCTCGGAGAACTTTTTTGCTAAGGAAAAACTAGTTTCAAATCAACTCACGAGTCTCCCATCTCCGGGTCCTCCAACATTTTTGTAGCACCCTGTTTGTGTACGCGTTTCTTTCCGTTTCAGTTTGGGTCTTGAACCCTATCGTGTCTTTACCCACTCGAAATCAGTACAATCCGTTCTTTTATCACGTATTTTCAACCTGTGCTTCGATTAAAGCGTTTCTACCTCCGTATTGAAACGAGATTTCGTTGTTTTCCAGCTGTCGATGAGCCTAGGGAGAAGTAAGTCCGTCCGACGTTTTACGTGACCAGATCGTTTGTCGCTTCTCTGGGCTCAAACTTTTTTTTTCGTTTTTTATTTTCGCTTATTCTTTTAACGCTTTTGATTTTATTCGATGTCGCCGCGTTTTCACATATTCGTTTGCCTCGCTTATCGTGTATCATGCTTTTCTGTTGTGCTTTTTAGCTGCGGAGGAACCAGTCAGAAGAGGGTGAGTTCCGCTTGCTCCTTGCGAATGCATTTTCCACGCGTGTGTGTGTGTAATTTAATCATCGTGCACTGTTTAGATCGATTTGACTTCAAACCAGTGTTCCTAATTGTATTTTTTATTATCGAAATTTCAACACTAACTTGACGTCAGTAGCTTGCATACACTCCCGTTCATAAGTCACTGAACATTTATGATACTAAACATGAAACAAGAAAGAAATCCGAATTTAAAAATTACTTCAATTATGAAACAATTCAATTCTTTTTAATTTTGCACATCCCTTATTCAATTCAAATCGGTCTATAATCACTTTCACTGGTTCTTTGTTAATTTTTATCAAATTTTAAAAGGTTAGCCATCACTGATCTAACCTAAACCAACTATACAATTTTCCAAAGTCATGGGCGTAGCCAGGTTATCAGTTGGGGGTGGGGGACAAATTTATCTTACGATAAAGTTTATAATAATACTTCAAATGGATTTTAGGTTTATTTTTACATACAAAATCTAGTTAATATAATATTTTTCTCTTTTTCTTGGGCGAAGGGGGGTTCTTCACTAGCATAAGGCAATGGCAATTTTTTTCATTCTAGGGCCCCTTGGCTACGCCAATGTCCAAAAACGATAGATTTCAGCGGCGTAAACGCGGTTCATCGAAAGTTTCAGGCGCAACGAGTGGTTTCGCCGATAATGTTTAGGTGCACATCGAATGCGGTTCAGTAAAAATAACCGTCGCGGAATGCTCGCTATTTTCGGGCGCGTTCACGTGCGCTCGCGTGAACGCGCGCGCTCGTCCGATAAGAGAAAACGGTCGGCCATGCCTCTTCTAAGCTGGCCGATCGCTCAATTTTCCTTCTTCTGCCCACGCAAACACAGGGGCTGACTGGCCTGCTTCGAAATAGAATCGGGAACTTCTGCTTTTCTATTTTCATCCTCAATCGCGTTTAGCTAATAACGAATTTAGTGATCGGAATTATACCGAATCAATACTATCGATTCTAGCCAGCAAGTTAGGATACCGTATCGAATAGTATCGAACGTGTAAACACAATCGATACCCGTTTGATACTTGTACATACGTATCGATACGAGTTCGATACTTTTACGATACTATCGGTATCGGTTTGATACTTGTACAAATATATCGATACCGATTCGATATTTTTATACTTTTACGGAACTATCGGTACACGTGTGATACTTCGGAAGTGTATCGATACTCAATTGATACCTTTCGAAATTACACATACTCAGTTGACATTTGATATAGTTTCGGTACAATACGTATTGGTTCGGTATCGCTTCAAAAAGAATCGTTATTGAAAATTGACACCAAATACCTAAATTTAAAGGTATAATACCGGTATGTTACGTTTCGGTATAAGTCCCTGGATAATTTTATTATATCTTAAATAAACGAAACAGGTCCAATTAGTATACAATCTCCTCAATATTTCCACGAGAAAGCATTTTCCAAACGGTTGTCTGTATCTGCGGTGTCGCTCGAAATTTCGAGGATAAATAGAAATTGGGTCGAAAGTTGCACTTCTACGGTGGGAGGTAGGGCCATCACGAGTCGCTCGACGAGACGTTATATTTTCGGACGGGATCGACAGACGTGATTCCTGTGAATTTCTAAAAGTAACGCGAGCCTTTAACGCTCTCGGCCGTTTCCCGAATATTAGCCAGCGTCGTGGCGAACAGAGGTTTTCGCGGGTAACTCGAGCAGAAAGTTTCTGATCAACGATTCACGGGGGCAGAATCGACGGCTTGAACGAGCACGTAGTAGGAGTCGGTGGAAACAGCTGCAGCCTACTTCTTCGCTAAAGTTAGGTGCGACGCGCCTGACGTTTGCCGCCGTACCTTTCCTCACGCGTAATCTTGTTCGTTTTACGGTTCTTAGCGATCGTTCCGTTTCGTTAGCTTCGTTTCTTCGGGTCGTAAACGATAAATCTGCACCGTATTTTTTTTATCAGTTGATAACATACCATTTGTTCGTTTAGAGTAGTGGTGGGGCCACGGACAAACTGTTTCAAACAGGTTTCTTCTCTTCTGGTCGTAAACGATAAATTTGCATCGTATTTTTACCACTCATGAAATCAGGTAAACGTTCCAATAGTAGAGAACGATGAAAGTTGGTTGACATATCATTTGTCTGTTTAGAGTGAATTTATAGTAGTGGTGGGTCCACAAACAGTTTCAAACATATTTCTTCTCTTCTAATCGTATCAATTCTTTCCCGTCACTGCTAACCAGCAATTCAGCGAATAAAGTGTCGCGGGAGGATGACGCAACGGTCTTTCATGAAAATTCACCCGAAAGTGAAATGCGCTTTGAATGATCGTTGGGGGAGGGTTCGTTGAACCTGAGCAAGTTTTCAAGAGGGTCTTTATAGGTGAGACGTCTCTAAAACCATCCCATCAGGGATTCTCTTCCTGCTAGGTAACAACGAGGCCGCAGTATGATACCGCTCATTCGTAGACACGGTGTGCTGTCTAAGCAAAACAAAAGTTATTCCTGGCATCGGCTACGGAGAGAATTAAGCGAATCTTCTCTGGCCCCGAACTCACCGTTGCGTGTAGAAAATGGTTCCGTCTGTCTTGCCAGATCTCGACTCGATCTTGTGTCCCCGGAGACAGTTGCTTGATGCGCGACGACGATCTCGTAACCGAAACACGACCGACCGTGTACACCGGTCGTTAAATTAACCGAATGCTAGTGTACTCGTGTCTTGAATACAGGGCAACAAGGATTCGATGAAAGTATCAGTTTAAAATTCGATGATATATCAGTTTCAAATATGATGGAAATATCCGTTTAAAATTCGATGATATATCAGTTTCAAATATGATGAAAATATCAGTTTACAATTCGATGATATATCAGTTTCAAATATGATGAAAATATCCGTTTAAAATTCGATGATATATCAGTTTCAAATATGATGAAAATATCAGTTTAAAATTCGATGATATATCAGTTTCAAATATGATGAAAATATCAGTTAAAATTCGATGATATATCAGTTTCAAATATGATGAAAATATCAGTTTACAATTCGATGATATATCAGTTTCAAATATGATGAAAATATCAGATTAAAATTCGATGAAAATATCAGTTTAAAATTCGATGATATATCAGTTTCAAATATGATGGAAATATCAGTTTACAATTCGATGATATATCAGTTTCAAATATGATGAAAATATCAGTTTAAAATTCGATGGAAATATCAGTTTAAAATTTGATGGAAATATCAGTTTAAAATTCGATGATATACCAGTTTCAAATATGATGAAAATATCAGTTAAAATTCGATGATATATCAGTTTCAAATATGATGAAAATATCAGTTTAAAATTCGATGAAAATATCAGTTTAAAATTTGATGGAAATATCAGTTTAAAATTCGATGATATATCAAGTTCGATTATTTCGAAAACGAAGCATAATCCAATAAACTTTTACTCTTTTTTTCTTCGACTAATTTTATCTTACACAATCACCTGTTCGGTTGTACTGCTTGACTTGAGACACCCAGTATAATAACATTATCTATTTTAATAAATCTGCAAACAATGCCTGCATTGATCATGCCAGCACCTTAGACAAAATACTTTCTGTCAGTGTTAATTCTGACTGTGGTCGATGGCACGCGTTGCTGCAAAGTTTGGCGACCGTCGAAAAAATTCATTGCGTCTGGCCGAGAACCGACGTATCCCACTGACCGTTTGGGCGACGTCCACTAACCGTTGAAAGATTGTCCGCCAGTGAGGCAATAAACATGACAGTTAATTGTTACGCCTAACATACAACCGAGTTGTGCCCGCCTGTTTGATATCATACCGAGTGTGCACGTAACAGATTCGATAATCGGTTCAGTAACTGTTGATCCACGGTATTACAGACAAATCGACGGCATCGCGCCGACTTTCGCGAAAAAGCCCGCTATCAGACAAGAAGACGATGGTAAACGACTACTTTTCGAATGTCGCATCACAGCCGATCCCACGCCAAAAGTTACGTGGTTTCACGATGGAAGTATGGTCAAAGACTCACCGAGGCACAAGGTTAGCCAATCCGTGTCGATCACGTTCCATCATATTTTAGTCCAACTGTAGTTCCAATATTGCCAGTCTAATTCCAATTCTAATATTGTCAGTCCAATTCCAGTTCCAATATTGCCACTCCAATCCCAGTTCCAACAATTTCAGTCCAATTCCAGTTCCACATTTCTAATCACTCCCTTGACCAAAAGTATTAGGTGGCCCATAAAATATGAGTTTTTTAAAAATATTTTTGTATTAAGAGGGAATCAAGCTATTCGAATGTGGAAAGAATCATTTTTTTTAATTAATCTTGTCAACATTGTGTTGGCCCACTCTTTGCTCCAAATGACTGACAAAATACAATTCCTATCTGAAATCTATTCTTAAAAAAAAGTATTAACTTTGATGGTCATCCAGTTCACTCTTTTTTGGCATATTTCAAGGGAAACTTTCTAAATTTAAAAATACTGACAGCAGACTGCAATTTTTAGTGAAAAACACAAACTGTAGACTATGGACCGCACAGTTCCTTTATGGCGCCCTATAAATCTTGTCAACTGTTTTAAAGTTCCTTTGAACTGCCCGACAAAGGATAATGAACAATAGAATGGTTTGAAAAAAATACTTTTCCCGGCAAGCTGTAATGATAAAGGCGCCTAATACTTTTAACCAAGGTCTGTATTCATTCATGCCGGTAGAAATCAATTGAATTCGGTCAATAAATTTCAGCTGACCGTCGACAAAGATGGCCACTCGTACTTCGCGACGCTGGAAATTAAAAATGTGACCGTCGAGGATGCTGGAAAATACAAGGTCACCGCGAAGAACGAGCTCGGCGAGTCGAACGCCACCATTTCCTTAAACTTCGACAGTAAGTACCACATAAGATAAGCAAGATTTCTACGCTACCTGTGTACTCGAACGCCGATCTACACGGTTTACATTTGTTTGCGCACGCTTAATTTTCTTACACGAGCATTATTTCACGAGAAAAAAGAAAACCACGCGTAATATGTTTTATTCTTCAAATACGCGTTATCGACACTTACGAACGTAACTTGTCCGGTTCGTTTTCAATTTATTATTACTTCAGAGCTGAAGTGACGTTTGGTATGATCACAGAGCAAATGTAAACCGGTCTATCGGTATCCATCCTTCTACTTTTTCTTTGTCTTTATTAATTTCGGGATGTATATCGATGATCCTCTTTATCTCTTCAGCTACACGTCTTTGATTTCTCGTTCCGTGTCTCTCCTGTTTCTTGTCTCTTGTCCACTTTCAAACTGTACTCGTTATTTTATTCTTTATTTTTTCCGTTGGTCCAAATCTCTCTTCTCTTCTTGCCTTTTTGTTTCTTTCTTTCTTTCTTTTCCATTCTTTGTCTCCGTCCGTGCGTCTGACATTTATTTTTTAATGGTTTATCTCGGTCGAGCAATGAGCACGTATCGATTGTCGGCTCGACGGAGCGACGATATACAGCCCGGTCGATCTTTCTTGTCGATCGACTAAAAAAGGAACAAGAGGACCCGTCCGTGAGAGCGTGTGGACTGTAGAAGTCAGAGAGTCCGATTAATATCAGTAACGAAAAACGCTGCTTGAATCACGTATTAATTTCGATTGGCGTTCTGCGATGCCGGAACAATGCTTTTTTTTCTTGCCGATCACACCGATCGAAAATCGGGAATGGACGGTCGAAAAAAAAAAGAATGTTCGTTCGGCGCACGGAATGCGGATCGGCCTCACGCTGACGCTTCTTTATAGGTTGCTGCAATCGCGTACATTTTTTTCTATTTCGTTCACGGGAGCAATTGTTTGTCGTGTGGATCATTCACATTTACGCGATTATGTAATATTATTTGAACATCGTGAGAGAGGCAAACGCACATGCACACACATAATTACAAGCTCACCAATAAATTAGATGTGTTTTTGAAAGGTAGCCACTTAATCTCTGTACATTTACATTACTAAACGAGTCACGATCTCTCGTAGACGTCATGTATTCGAGTCACTCGATGTTGTTTAACTCCGCTTAACCAGTTGTTGCGTTTACTCAAGGATTTCCGTGGAGTGTTAAATGTTACTCTTAAGCTTTTCTTCGCATTGGACACTTCTAAATCACTAAAAAAATACCGATTAATTCACCGCCACGTGCACTGTTGTTCGCGCGTACAACGGAGAGAGAAAGGACCAGAACGACGCGCGGGTAACATAACCTAGCGAACGTATAGGGCAAAAATGTCGATGAAAGCAACCTAAGTTAGGAGATGTCGGTCTGGCAGGCGGATCCAGGCTCGATACCGATTTCTATAAACACATTAGGGGGAACGATTAACGGTCGTTCGAACGATATCACAATCACTTTGGTAGAAGGCGATGAAGGAATTTTCAGAATGTTTAAAGCCGCCGACAGCGTAGCCACTGGTTGTTGCATGGCGGCGGCGACGAAAGGGGGCGCTGGCGTGAAATCTCGAATCGATACGTAGCTCTGACCTTGGATCGAAAGGGGCTTAAACCTTCCGCAACCAGGTCGAAAATCGAGAATCGATGCACGCGTCGAGACGCGACACGATAAGGCTGCGAAGGGATTAAGCGATCGATACTATATGATACTGTAAATGGGAGATATCGACACGTAAGATTGGTTTGTGTGAACGTAGGCGACGAGGCGCCCGTACCCGACGACGGTATTAAACCGACCTTCACCGAACGACCGGTAATAAGGCAATCCGACGACGGTAACACCATCACCTTCGAATGCCGATTAGTCGGCGATCCGAAACCGAGTGTCAAGTGGTAAGAGATCCCGTGTTCCACCATGCACGCCGGAAGTACGCAGAGACGCGCGCGCGAACCACTACAGAAACAACTTAGCCCCCCATTGGTTAGATGTCCTCCCGACACGCATGCGTCGACGCAACCTCCCCCCACCCCCGACACAGTTAGAGAGAAAGGCTTGTTCTCAAGAATTGAATTATATACCATATATACGAACACTATTCTGTTCCTCGACGAATCGTCTCGTACTTCCAATCGCGGTTATAAAATACTGTTTTGGAAAAGCATTGAGCGCATGCAGCACGTTTCTGATGCAACTCACGAATTAGGTATCACGGTACCGAAGAGGTGAAAGAAGGAGGACGATTCAGCGTGTCGCTGGAACTCGATCAGAAGCTCTATCATCTCGTCCGATTAAGGATCGACAACGTGGCGAAAGGGGACGCCGGCGAGTACAGAGCTGTCGCGAAGAACAAGCACGGACAGGGTGTGGCGACGATTAATCTGAACTTCGAAGGGGGTGACAAGCTAAAGTATGCATCGACGGGAGTGGTGGTCGTTCGAGCCAGGGGCTAGTCGCGTCGCTAGAGTTTTCGAATTAGTCTTTTTTTAAACGTATCTAAATGACGTCCGTGCATTGCGGTGATGACACACAGTGGCCAATTTAAATGATCTAGGTGAACATATTTGTTATGGGACGTGTTCACGGATTTTTTGCTGTAATCTTGATTTTTTCTATATTTTTATATTATAAATAACTTCATAATACCAAAAGAAAAAAAAATAGTATTCTTCTATGTTGAAACGATTTTGAAATCGTCAACACGAGTTTGACTCGATGTTATAGGGCAAGGGATTAAATTCCGAAAATTAGCCACTGTGCGACGGTAGCGCCATCTCACAGCGACGCGACGATCGCAAAGTCTCGACGAACGAAAGGGGAACGGCACACGTCCATGTCCGCCTGTGCAGCTCCGGTCTCCGTTGCTATTGTAGCCGGAGAACGGGACTGACGAGCGACGGTGTTATGATGTATCCGATTCACGCAGAATACCGGACGGTAAGCCGCCGCGTTTTCCGAAGAAACCGACTATCCGACAGGAGGGCGACGTCCTGATTATGGAGTGTATACTGGAGGCGCACCCGGTGCCGGATATAACCTGGTACCAGGGCCAGAAAGCGATCGCGGACAGCAAACGCGTCAAGATGTCACGCAAGGCGACCGGAAAGGACACGTATTTGCTCACGCTCGAGATCTCGAATCCGACCAAGGCGGACGGCGGAAATTACCGGTGCAACGCGTTTAACAACTTCGGCGAGAGTAACGCCAACATCTCTCTCAACTTCCAAGGCAAGTCGTCCCCTTCCGCCCCTCCTCCTTCGACGAAACTAAGCAGGCTCTCGTTGGTTCCTCCACATATACACACACACACACGGACTATTTTTCTGTTTCACTTTTGTTTTTTTGTTCTTTTTTTACGTTGCCGCGTGAAACAAGATTGCAATGTGTTGGTTTTTTTTTCTTCGAACTCGTTCACGTTCGACACTCGTTTTTTTTTCTTCCTTGGGAACCGTCAGAGAGACCAACGAGACGTCACCCCGAAAGCCCCCACCCCCCTATTCTTTTATATTCTCCTAGCACGTTCCTCCTGTCAGAGTCAGTTCGATAGCATTACCCCCAGAGGAGAACGTCGTTTCTCTGGAGAAATGATTTCTATTCGCGCGTACGATTGTATGGATTGTAGGTCTTGCGAAAGGTCTTTTCCGTTCGAACAGGTAAGTATATCACGCTGTCGCTAACTAATCGTGGAGTCCTATTCTCTCGTTGCTTCTTTAACTTCGCGCGTCTCTGTTTGAATTCCGAGATTGGACAAATTGGTGTACCCTCACGAGCTAACTCGGTTTCCACTAGGGGAAAAGTGACGTAGGAGAAGGGCCTCCTATCACATGATAAGTACCGAAGTAAAGGTTAATTTGGCATAAATTTCAGTAATTCCCAATACCAAATGCTAGCTTTCCCCTATACCACTTTTTCCCCTAGCGAAAGCCGAGTTTGCAAGTGACGTGAATTCAGGTGGGGATCGCAAAAAGCGTATTCGACTAATATCGTTGAGATTCTACTAATTGAAAGATCTCAAAACGGGCCCAAACACTCCACCAACCGAACCGTGAATTTTCCGAATGGAGTTTTGCGAAAACTTGCGGTCCGGTAACGTCGCTTCCGGAAATACCAAGTCCAGAAGCGATTTTGCGTTCTGGCGATTCTGTCTAACCGTGGATCTTTCCAAGACGCAGAAGAGGGACCTGGTTTCGCACCGACGTTCGTCGAGAAACCGCGTATCATTCCGAACGAAACCGGTACCTTGATCACGATGAAGTGCAAGTGCAAGGCGAACCCGAAACCGGACGTGACGTGGTTCCGTGGGACCAACGTTGTCAAGGAGTCTTCAAAGATCTCGATCAAGACGAAGACCGTGGAGGAGGACGTTTACGAGTTGATTATGGAAATCAAGGTAGCTAAACTTGTAATTTGTGAAACATTAGGGGTATCTGCGAGTTTGACGTTTAAAAACGATCACGATTTATATGGAATTATTTTCTGAATAAATATGCAAAATATCTCGATGTAACTTTTGACGTGTTATTAACTTACCTTTAGACACTAATTTCCCATTTTTTATGTAGTCATACAGAAGATTGTTTTCTTGTTATAGAGGGCGTTGATGTAGATTCCTTAAACAAGGTCCTACATGAGCACCCTCTATAACAAGAAAACAATCTTTTCTACGACTATGTAAAAATGGGAAATTTGTGTCCAAAGCTAGATTAATACCAAGTAAAAAGTTTCATCGAGATATCTTCTATAGTTCTTTAGAAAAAATTCCCACAAAATTGTGATCATTTTTAAACGTCGAATCAATAGATACCCCTTAATGAAATGATTTAATTTAATTTAATTTAATTTAATTTAATTTAATGAAAAACCCATTCTATGCAAAAGTCTAACAAGAAAAAAAACATCGTATGACACTACTTATAGTAGTTTTAAGTATACATGTACTCTTGCAATACCGGTAGATGGAAGTTTTAATTTTATCAATTGTTTCTGACAAGGGAAAGCACGAAGTGTCCTCCGATTTTGATGAAACTTCGTATGTCTGTTAAGCAGTCAAAAATAAAGGATAAATATTTTTTTTTATCGGCTGAGACTGATGCTAACAAATTGTCCGAAATATAATTTGTTTATAACAAAAAATTTTCGGATCGAAACTTTGAGGGGTGGTTTCACCCCTTAAAGTCGCGTCTCAGCTGATAAAAAAAAATACGTCTCCCTTATGTTTGATTGCTTAACAGACGTACGAAGTTTCATCAAAATCGGAGGGGGACACTTCCGTGTCTTCCTTTGTGAGAAAAGTTCACATGATCGTAATAAGTTAAGATTAACGGTTTGGAATCGGTGCAGGATCCTTCGGCGCCGGACGGTGGCACGTACAGGTGTCACGTGCAAAATGAATACGGAGAGAGCAACGCCAATTTGAATCTGAACATCGAGGCCGAGCCGGAACCGGAAGGTGATGGGCCGACCTTCGTCGAAAAGCCGCGCATACAGTCCCAGAATCAGGGTAAACTCGTTATAATGGACTGCAAAGTGAAAGCCAGTCCGAAACCGGAAATCGTGTGGACCCACGCCGGTCAAGTGGTGAAAGAATCATCGAAGATTTCCATCAGCGTCGTTCAAGAGAAAGAGGATATTTATTACATTAAATTGACCTTGAGCGATCCTGGCCCAGAGGATTCCGGATTGTACAAATGCAACATCAAGAACGATCTTGGCGAATTGAATGCGAATCTGACGCTTAACGTCGAGAGTGAGTCGATCAATGTGTACCCAACTTTGTTTTGTTGTATGCTCTGTGCAGTTTCATTAATGCATTTCTGTGTTACGATTCCAGTTATACCTGTGATCAAGGAGAAACCAAAGGTCGTGAAGATCGTGAAGAAGAGAACAGTCGTGGTCGAGTGTCACGTGCTCTCCAAGTTCACGCCGGACTGCACTTGGTTCAAGGAAACGCAAGCGGTTAAACAGGACAGTAGGCACAAGGTGCACGTGGAACAAGTGAAAGAGGTACGTGATATTTCTGCCCGTCGGACATGGAGAGGCTGAGATAGCTGTGTCACCGAATCGAAAGTAATTCACTCTTTCAACGTTATGAGTTAACATATGAAATCATAGTGATCGCGTAGAAAAGTGCTATCAATAAGTGTGCAGTAGACAAAGAAAAAAGTCACCAATTTCATTGCAAAATTTAACCAAAAAAAATGGTCAACCTAGTAAAAATTAATTTTTGTTGTTCAACTGTGTTAAAAAAAATACGAAAAAAAAAAGTTTTAAAAAAATGCAACTGCCGAGAATCGAACCAGCGATCTAACGACTCGTAGGCTATCAACGCATTTCCTACACCATCGCGGTTTCTAGCAAATATACTTATTCAATGGGTCATATTCCGCACGCAGCAATTTTAAACACCAATTTTTCGAAAACGCTTGAATAGTGCGTCGAATGGGTACGTTCGAATGGCTTGCACGTTTTATTGTAGGCATCAAGTACTATATGTTTGCCAAATTTCGTTCGATTCGGTGACACAACTATCTGGCCTCTCCTTAGAAGAACCGAAACGTAAGTGGAAGAGATCAGAGATATATTATTGATTCCTGTTTGTAGGGAGAATTCGCTGTCAAATTAGAAATCGAACAGATAACGGCTACGGATAAGGGTGTGTACAAATTGGTAGCCCGTAATGAGAAAGGCGAAGCAACGTCGCAGGTTGTGGAAGTCACGGATATCATGGAGGAAGGCGACAAACCGAAGATAGCGTCCGGTTTGAAATCAGCGGTAAGTTCTTTGAATTTTTACAGTTTTCTGTAACTTTGAAAAATATCATTCGGAGGTATGGAATTATTATTTCCACCCGATTTTAGACGATAGAGGAAGGTAAATCGATCGAACTCATCGCCAGTCTATCGAAATCCGACCGCAAAGTGAACATCTCGTGGTACAGGTGAATAGATTATCCCCTATTAATGTCTCGAAAGTAAACTGTCTTGTTCTGTTTTTCATTACAACTTATCCGTTTTCATGTTCCACAGAGATTCCACGGTGATCAAGTCTCAAAAGGACATCATGATATCCTTCAATGGTACGGACATGAAACTGACCATCACGACCACTACCACTTCACACACCGGCACTTACAAGGTTGTCGTCAGCAACGAATTCGGCCAAGACGAATCGTCGGCCCGATTAGTCGTGGAGGTAAGTGATCGGAGAACAAGCTATTTTTAAATATTTAATCTTAAAAGTCAGTTCTTTGTTGTCCCATATTATCTCTGTTACATTGTGCATCTGGAAAGTATCCACTGAGGCCCTTATTATAAAAATCGTTAATGTTGCCCCCGACATTGAACCGTTTGTAACCAAAAACCTTTGTATCCTATTGTTCATTATGAAAGAAACTCATGTTTTCCGGGACACTATTGTTGAAATCTCCTTGAATGTTGCATGCAATCTCCTTGTCCGTATTGTAGAAAAAAGAGGAAGAGAAGAAGGAGGAGGAGGAAGAAGAAAAGAAGAAGAAGAAAGTTGAAAAGAAAGAAGAGGAGAAGAAGGAGGAAAAGAAAGAGGAGAAGAAGGTAGAAAAGAAAGAAGAGAAGAAGGAGGAGAAGAAGGAAGAAAAGAAGGCAGAAAAGAAAGAAGAGAAGAAGGAAGAAAAGAAGGAGGATAAGGTAGAGACTATTGTAGCCGCCGTAAAAACTCTGCTATTGAAAGGGCTTACTTCCGTCGCTTTTTTGTGTCCCTTACCCAGTTTTTTTTCACTACCATGTAACTAACGGTAATTTGTCCCTCCCGTACAATACACTCAGAACAGAATCACTCAAACGAAAACTTAATTTTCTCGAAATTCGACCTTCCCCGTTAACGAAGGTCTTACAATAGCGTAGAAGGAATTAATTTCTCGTTTGGTTCACACGATAATCCGGCTCTCTTGAAATGCATTTCGGTGTTGCGATGTAAAAGGTAAAGAATTCGATCTGGAGCGACGAGGGGGAGACCGATTACGACGAAAGTGTCCTCGAGGAGGAGGAAGAGGAAGAGGAAGTGGTGAGTGTAATCGAATCCAGCGTCGCAGAGCCAATTATCGAGGAACCAGAATCTGAAACGATATCACAAATGGAGGTACACGCACACGTAACACCTACTTACACAAACATACCTTTTTCGCTGTCTTTTTCAAAAATATTTCTTCATTTTTACACACTCGATATTTTCTACAGAAGAATACGAATTCAATTATCTTTTTTCTACACTATTCTCCGGGGAGAGTATTTTTTTAAAGCATTAATGTTTCACGAGGTTTTTTTTTCATTATTTTCAAGGACATACCAGACAAGAAATCAAATGGTATCGACAAACCTGGTCTCAAGAAGGTACGAAAAAAAAATATTTTTTTTTTATTTTAGAGATATACGCCGAAGCGGAAGTCTCACGATTTTTGTACACCGATCGAAAGTTCATGCACACTCTTTTACACTGTCTACGTTTGAGTATATAAGACTACTGAAATCTTTTGTGTGCACCCTATGCCACCCTTGTGATCGTTGTGTCTGCAAACGTTTTACACTCTTTTGTTATTGAACCTGTAGGGTAAATGTCCCTATTACTGCCAGTGTCCCTAATACTGTCACATTATTTATTTTACTTAATAACAATATAACGTATAAAGAATTGTGCACAGAAAAATTTTATTATTAGTTTGGAACTCTGATTTACGTAAGATCAAAGAAATACGTGTACTAGGACGTACCTCGGATTTAAAAAATAATGTGGAAAAATGAAAGTGCAATTTGAGTTTTAATAACGCGACTATGTAAGTAGGAAATGGTGGCGAAATCGTGCTAAAGAAAGAGTCATGATTTTTTTATGCAACCTACATCTATTGTACAAAATGAATTGTTAAAGTATATAAGAATTAATTTAATTTTTGAGGTGAGTTTTGAATTGCTCGGAGATTTTAATTAATTACAAATCAATTCTTTATATTTAATGTATGAAACTAATTTTTTTAAATGGAAAATATGTTAAATAATATTATGTTTCAAAGTGAAACGATTTATAGGTTAAACCTTACACAAAATTATTATATAAAGTTAAGCTACGATCTTAATGTGGCAGTAATTGGGACATCTACCCTATGTAATAAATTAACGGTTCAGCCAAGAATTCTTTATTCGATAGACGCAGTATAAAGCATAAAGTGTGTTTTTAATAATATGTATTACTAAAGTCTTTCTTTTCTCATTTGTTTCAGAAACTGGAAGTGATTCAGGTGAGTTCTATGGATCGACTACTTAAGTTCTTCGAAGTATGCGAAGTATGCGCTCGAATCGTTTTGAGAGATTTTCCAATTGCATTTGCGAACAATTAAATCGGTTTCATTCGATAGAATTTTTTTAAACGGCGTTATATTGTGCTGGGATAATGCGTGGTGGCCTCTATGCGAACGACTGTTTTTCAGCTTCCGCTAAATCATCTCTTTTCTCTTTTCAGCTCTACTAATGCTCTACTCTAGCTAACCAATCTTCTGTTTCAGCAAGTTCTATCTGCATTTCGCTTACTGCGACTTTGAAATTATCTTTTATTTCAGCTCTTGCATTCATTACACACACGCAACCACTGCCTTTACACAAAACGTGATACTTTAGCTTTTTAGCATTTGTTTACGTTACTCTTAGAAGCTGGGCTATGCGAAAATTCTCCCATGAAAATCTGTTCCCCTTTCTTCTTCGAACTGTCGCATGTGTTTTGCTTGCATTGTGTTACGTACTCTTGGTTTCTGTATGTAGAATTTATTGGTTTTTTTCTCTTTCCTATTGCATAACAGGGAAAAGACAGGTAAAGATATTGCAGCATGCACATCTCGATAAAATGTTAGTGTTTATTCAGAATGTTTAATGTTTATACAGAAGAAACCAGAAGAGAAAATCGCGGAGAAGAAGGAAGCAGAAAAGGTAATTGTTTGTGTTTGGGTAAAAAACGTGCGATTGGGAATTTTTGTAACTTGAACGAATTGTATTTCTGCTTACAGAAGAAGATCGTGAAGAAGGAGGAAGAGAAGAAAGAGGTCAGCACTATGTTACGGTTAATTTATTAGGTGTACCAATAAGTTGTCCACTATATCTTGACGAAATTGGTATTCGTTCTTATAGAAATCAAGGGTTTATACTGTTTAATTTATTCATAATGATTTGGGTGCATGATACACCATTGGGTGCATGATACACCAATCAAAATATTCAGTCCTGACAGATTAGATAAACACACATAATTTTACTTTCATACTTCTCCGAAACTCTTTGTTTACCATAATATACCAAGTTCTGTTTTAGACAAAACTGTAAAAAATTGTGAAAGGAAATTTAGACAAGAGTTAACTCATTATCGAGATGATATTTTTAATTTAAAAAGTGTCGCCTCACAATTTAAAAAATAGTGGATTAGATATTGATGAATCTAATATACTCACATTTCCTGTAGCGTTTATGTTCATATTATCAAAATGTAACTTTTTTTTCATATTAGGAAGCGACGTTGAAAGCTGAGAAAACGGTGTCTCGCAAGCAGTCCATTAGCAGAGTAAGTTTCGTGGTTTGCAAATTGCTTACAACATTTCCTAACAAAAACGTTGATTTTTTTGTCAACAGGTCGAAGAGCTACGAACGGAAAGCCGAAGGAGCTCTCTGGTGTCGACAGAGGAAAAGGTTAAATACTGCTTTACACTTCCATCTTTTAATAATTACAAACTCACCAAAGTGCAATTAATGCTAAAACACATGGCCACCCTGTAGACATTCCCGATATTTATTTATTTTTTTTTATACACCTAGATAAGCGATGACGGCTACGCAACACCGCGACGCTTTTCATTTCAAAAGGTACACACAAGCACCAATTAAAAAAATATACATTCACACGCAAAGCCTGCAGATTGTACGTGAAGAAACAAAAATTGGAGCATTTACTTAATGATTTGTTTGTTTATTCCGTGAATATAGACCGAAGAGGAGTACAAGTCTGAGAGCAGGCGATCGTCTATCGTCGAGAAGAAGAAGGTGACAGCTGAGAAGGTAAGAAAACAGACATTGTTGGACATTCAGATTTTCCAATTGGTTTTCTCTGTCTTTTCTGTACAGTCCCTGAAATTAGTCATTGAACTCTTGTCATTAACATTGTCGACACGTCTGTAGTACCTAATTGTTGTTTTGTGATTTTTAATATTAAAAAACAATTGAATACGAAAGCAGTAAGTAGTATATGTGTATGTGTGACCTCCCCACAAGAGACTTGTGGAGGCTAGTAGTACCTAATATTTAGCGTTGTGTACCTTTTGTGCATGCACAAACGCGTGGAGCAACACAAAAAATAAGGAAAAGAAAGAAATAGGCTATAAAGGCTGTACCATTGTACGTGAATGTGGTCAAGCAATTTTTGTTTTATTATTTTCGAACGTTTTAGGCAGGTAAAGAGACCCCAAGATTAATGACCGCGATCACACCCGCGCAAGACACAAAGGTACACGAAATTCACTGTCTTTACACAAAAAAAAAGGTTCACATTTTTTCGAAGAGGTTAAAACAGAACGCATCGTTTCAGGATGAACCGTTCTCGAGATACCACGTGTTTAGGCGAAAATCGGACAATGAGACTAAGGTAGTTAATTGTAGCTTATTTTTGTCGGATGTTAATATCAAAACGAATATTATAAAAAGTCCCCTAAATTAAATGCTAATATTATTATAGATTACGCCAAAAGACACTATTAAATCAGACGTGTCCGAACCCCAGGACGAAATCGAGGTAAACGATCCGTTAAAAGAAACCTTAAACCAATAATTTTTGCGAATATGAGAAATATTTATCGAGATTGATACTTGTAGGATATTTGGGCGTCGGTGCCGAAAGAACCAGAAATGAAGCACATTAGATACAGAGAGGTATTTGACACGTAATTTGCAAAAGTCAAATTCCATTAATTTCCATCGAAAGTTCCTTCTCTTAATCGCGCGAATTTTGTCTTTTAGGATTCACCAAAATCGACTCCCGAATCACGTAGATACGACACTAGAGTGAAAGTAGAGGTACATAATTTTTCGCTAAAAAATATGTACTTTACAATAGAACAAGAATTATTTGCACTTTTGTATCATTTTAGGATACACCGAATGTGAGGCGTGTATCTATGACACACGAATTTCGCGAAAAATCAAGCGTGAAGGTAGACTATATTTCGACAGTTATTATACTGTTGTTAATTCTATTAGTTATACCTTACCGTAGACGTTTGTTGACACTTGCAACGATATTCTTTTAGGATGCACCCGAGACGTTACACAGTCTTAAGCCACATACAAGCAAACCTGTTAAAGACACGGAGGTACACAATACACACTGCACTTGCACTTTTATTAACACGTTCACTACCGTCATATTACTTCGAAAAAATTCGTCACAGATCATATTAAGCTTCCACCATTCTATTCCGTGGAATGTTCTTACCGTTTTGGTTAAGTTTAACACTTTACAGTGCGCGCGGTTTCTATAGAACTGAGGCGCCATCTGTTGGAAAGAAATTGTGGCTGTAATGAATGCTCATAAAAGAAACACCTACTAAAAAGTATTAAAAAGGTATAAAATGGAGATAATGAAAAATAATTAAATATAGGTTAATATTACAAAAGAAATTCCACCTGTATTTTATTAAGTAATAATAAAATATGAATCTCAATAAATAACTCTATTGAGTGTACTGACTTAGAAATTGGTGCGCACACATAGAAAGCGGCCGAAAGGATAACACAAACGGGCGAGAGTTTATTGTTTATGGACAATAAATCAAAATTGTAGAATACAATTTTTTCACCAGTAGCTTAGTTTTCGAGAAAATCGACTCTGAATCATCTCGAACGCGTGTACACTGACGTGCAAACTCGGTTTCCGCTAGGGGAAAACGTGACATAGGGAAAGTGTCTCTTGCCATGCTCGTACCACTTGGTATTGAGAATTACTGAAATTTATGGCAAATTAGCATTCGATTTAACATTTATTTCAGTACTTGAATTACATTTATCAAGTGGTAGAAGGTCCTTCTCTGGCGTCACTTTTTCCACTAGGGGAAGCAGAATTTGCTCACGAGGTTCCTTATAGTATTAAGTAGAAACGCAATGCAACGAACAGACGCGCGTTAGCCAAGTCCTATTCAAATGCACTCGGGGCCAGTAAATTTTCAAATTCAATTATCTCGATCACGAAGCATCACGCGAAAAAATTTTACTCTACATTTTCGACTTATTTTTTCAAGTAGAATCATCCCCTACCCGGTTGTACCACCAGTTACATGACACCCTTTATATGACGCTGGTAACGAACGTGTTAATAGAGTTACAAATAGTAGTATTACAAAAATATTATACATGCTATTCACGACCATAATTTTAGGTAACTCCTCCAAGACTTAACGAACGGAAGGGTTCGCTGATTAACAATGGCGAGGTACACGACTCATGATATTAACGATCTCACATACCCATGACACCTAACACACTATAACTTTTTTTCTTTTTTTTTTATTATAGGATACACCAACATTTAAATCTAAACCACAGACACGCGAACCAGATGACGAAATTGAGGTAGTCGGTTTATTACTTTTTTTTTTTATATATAATTGTATACTAAGGGATCGACATTATTTTAGGATATTTGGGCGGATAGGCCAAAGGAACGCGAAATAAAGTCTATTAAAAAGAACGACGAGGTACGATTTAAAGAAAGGAGAAATTTGTTCAAGTTACATTAGAATTCACTTTTAATCTCGTAACATATTTTAGGCTTCCCTTAAATCTCCTTTTAAGACACAGACTCGGGAACCACACGATAAAATCGAGGTAGTTAATTTGTCCATTTTTTTTGAACGTGTATAATAGGTTCGTGTTAAAAAATTCAAAATATTTTAGGACATTTGGTCGGACGGGCCGAAGGATCGCGAAATAAAACCTGTTAGGAAGATTGAGGTATAATAAAGCAATTAAAAGACACTTGTATCGAAAAAATACACACATTTTAATTACTCGATATATTTTAGGACTTGTTAAATTACGCCATTGAGACACACGTTCTTGAACCACGTGACGAAATTGAGGTAGTTAACATGTCGTTTTTTTTTCTTGCTGTAAAATGTCGATCACGGGATAATATACAAATGCAACAAATATTTTAGGACATTTGGGCGGATATACCGGAGGATCGTGTAATCAAATCTATTAAAAAAGACAAGGTACGATAAACGAAAACTCGCGTGTTATTCAGGATGAATAAGTACACATTTTTAATCCCACAACATATTTTAGGATTCGTTCACACTCTCTGTTAAGCCGAACACTCATGAATCACGTAACGAAGTCAAGGTAGTTAATTGACTTTTTTTTTTAACATGAACAATTACGGAATAGATCTGTATTAAACATTGAAATTATTCTAGGATACTCATACAGATAAACCAAAGGCTCGCAAAGTAAAATCAGTTAAAAAGGATGAGGTACGAAAAAAAAATTAGTCAAGTCTCATTTACGACTAATTAGTAGAGATTTTTAATTCTATAATGTATTTTAGATTTCACCTAAACCCTCTGTTAAGACACACACTCGTGAACCACACGTTGAAGTGGAGGTAGTTAATTCATTTTTTTTTAAAGTGAATAGTTGCACAGATGTCGTTTATTAAACATTGAAAATATTTTAGGATATTCGGGTGAATAAGCCACGGAATCGCGAAGTAGAACCAACTAAAACGGACGAGGTATAATAAAAACAAATTGAAACACAATCTTTACACGCAGTATAGTAGTACACATTTGTCAATCACCTGATATATTTCAGGACACTTTAAAGCCCACTACGATCACACACGTTGATAAACCACATGGACAAGTCGAGGTATTGCGACACGTTTAATCATTGAATCTGTACAATCACGCGACAGGTACACCACAAAATTGTAACACGAAACTATTTTTAGGATATCCGTGCAGACAAACCAAACAAAGAAAAAATTACACCAAGTAGAAAAACTGAGGTACAATTATGCAAACGATTAACATTAGCAAAACAGTAACATAATTGATACGTTTTTTGTTTTTTTTTTTACAAATGGGAAATTATTACAGGAAACAGTACACATGGTAAAACCAACACTCACACCACCCACACAGAAAACAGATGACGACATAGAGGTTGTACAACATCGTATAACTCCGAAATTTATTTTTGTTTTCTTATATTCGTGAATGAAACTTATTCTCGGGAATACTTTTAGGATATCTGGGCAGATAGGCCAAAGGACCGTAAGATAAAACCTATTAAAAAAGACAAGGTACATTTGCAAACGCGCCTTAAAATATCGAATACATTTCGTTGTCTGAATGAATCGAATTTTCAGGAAATTCCGAAGGTCAAATCTCGCGATCAGAAGATAGATAACGAGATAGAGGTATATAATGTGAAATTTTGTTATAAAATTTTGTATTAGAAATAAATTCTATATCATAAAATAAACACGGTAAAAAAACACATTTTAGGACATCTGGGCGGATAGGCCAAAGGACCGTGAGATAAAACCTATTAAAAAAGACGAGGTACACTTGCAAACGCGCCTTAAAATATCGAATACATTTCGTTCTCTTAATGAATCGAATTTTCAGGAAATTCCGAAGGTCAAATCTCGCGATCAGAAGATAGATAACGAGATAGAGGTATATAATGTGAAATTTTGTTATAAAATTTTGTATTAGAAATAAATTCTATATCATAAAATAAACACGGTAAAAAAACACATTTTAGGACATCTGGGCGGATAGGCCAAAGGACCGTGAGATAAAACCTATTAAAAAAGACAAGGTACACTTGCAAACACGCTTTAAAACATCGAATACATTTCGTTCTCTTAATGAATCGAATTTTCAGGAAATTCCGAAGGTCAAATCTCGCGATCAGAAGATAGATAACGAGATAGAGGTATATAATGTGAAATTTGGTTACAAACATTTTGATTAGAAATAAATTTTATATGATAAAATAAACACGGTAAAAAACACATTTTAGGACATCTGGGCGGATAGACCACAAGATCGCGAACTTAAACCAATTTGGAAAGAGGTACAGATTTTTCTTCGGTTCCGTGTATACTTCTCAACTGGTTATACAATAAATGGTTAACTATTTTAGGTACAGCAAAAAGCCAACACAGACTTGGCCCAATCGCAACGCAAAAAATCCGAGGTACACATTCACACAGTTCGTGCACTGAGAATGCTACGTTATGTATAATTTTTTTTTTATTATGTTCAACATTCATTTTAGGATGCCCCGATACCAAAACTGAACAGTTCGAGCGACAAAACCGATTCCTCGAAACCTAACTCTGAATCGCCGCTAGTTAAATCGGCTGACAAACCAGAGGTAGAATAGCAATTACATAAAAATATATATAGAAATATAAAAAATATATTTCACATTTGACAACGCGTGAGAATACTAAATCGAGAAATACGAATTGTTATAGGAGGAGGTTAAACCAAAGTTAAAAAAAACCATTCGTAAAAAAGCTGAAACGGACAAGGTACACATAAGCACGGAATTTTCTAAATTGCACGTTAAACTGCCTAAACACGTAAAATTCTCGTTTATATTGGTTCTACAAAAATATTTAATTGTTTCGATCGTTTTAGAAATCGGAAGGGAAACCAAAATCTATCTCTCGCAAACTTGACGATGCGGGCAAGGTACATTTTTTTTTTTTTTAATTATTTTTCTCCTCGGAAGTTCACATTGTCCATAGTGTAAAGCACATTTGTTTTAATGTTTACTTTATTCACGATTTTAGAAGAAAGAAACCGTCGGCAGACGTAGATCATCGACAAAATCAACCGAGGGGTCTCAGGTACAGGGAATAGAGAACACAATACTTTGTAACATGTCACGAGCATATCACACAACATCCGTTTGTTTATTTTTTATTTTTTACATGTTCTGCTTGTTACTCATTCGTATGAATATTATTCAGGAGCAAGAGCCTTCGTTAGACTCAAAAGATAAGGCCACTATTTCCAATGGAACTCAGGTACATAATCCAAAATTACATAGGAGTTTGAAGTTTATAGAGGGTGTTCCCAAAATCGTGGTACAACCGACTGGGTGGTGATACTATAAAAAAAAATTGATCGAAAAAAAACAAATGTTTTTCGTTTAAAATATTTCGTTTTCGAGAAAATGAAATTTGAAAATCAATTTGAAACGCGTGTATTCGTCGTGGTAGTAAGTAGAAAGAGAATGCAATGAACAGATGAGCTACAAGCAAAATCCTATTTACTTGCACGCGTATCGAGCAGATTTTCGGATACGATTATTTTGAAAACGAGGCCTTAAATGAAAAAATATTTTTTTTTCGACTTATTTTTGCATGTAGAATCACTAGATGGTCGGTTGTACCATGATTTTGGGGACATCATATATCATATTTGTTTATAGGAAACGTTTATTTTCCTGTAATTCTTAAAAAAAAAAGCACCGAAATTGCTATTGCTTCGATTTCATTTAGTTTTACGCCTATATTCGTCGTTTTAACGTAGAAATCTGTGTGAGTTGCGAGTGTGTTTTATCCTTTTCGTGTCTTTTTTCTAGAAAGAGGAAGTCACCGCTAAAACGAAGACTGTTGGGAAAGAGGAAACAAAGGTATACGAGCGACATGACACACTTTTGTACACGTATTCTTACAGATACACATGTTAGAATGCGCACAAAGCACGTGCAATACTTATAAAATACATGATTCGTTAATTTTAGGAGGCACTTAAAACCAAATCCAAGGTAGAAGAAGTTAAGGTACATAAAATACATTTGTACGATCGCGTAAAGTATACACGTTTTTTCCAAAAACTTTCCTAACTGAAATTAAGACAGCAGTTTTCTATAAACTGAGAATACTCTTTATCATCAAATATTAAAAATAGTTATCTTTTAAAAAAATATATTGTTCACAATAATTATATTAATTCTGGAAATGGATCTCATAATTCTTCAAGATGGTAGAAAGAACGACAGTCAAAACTTTTGAGGTCATGAGTCACGAGTTTACACAATATTTTACACTCGAAAGATGTCTCACAGTTGGATTATCCACCGTATTCATCTAATTCAGCTGCCTCAGACTAATTTCTGTTACCCAAATCGTAAACGAAGACAAAGAAACGACAATGTAAAATCATTTTAACATTCACAGAACTTCGACGACTGCTTTCTCTGTCATCTTGAAAACGACCAGAATGAATCCACCATCTTGAAAGTACCAGTACTTGTATAATTATAATGAACACTTCAGAAGGAAGCTACGTTCAATAATTGCTGATAAAAAGCGTGAATTTCATACGAAAAATTGTTGTTTTAACTTCAATTCGGAAAATTTTGCGACAAACCATGTACATTGATTATACCACTTTCATCTTACGAGTACCTTATACGTCACATTGTAATTTTTTAGAAGACGGAACCCACGAAACCCCAGGTCACTCCCGGTAAACCCGCGGAGCCTAAGGTACACAACAGAATACACGTTTTTTTCGGGATACCAATTTTTCTGTAGACGTTAAAAGCATGTTATTAACAAATACGATACACGAGACTATCATTTTTTAGAAAGACGAACCCGCCACGAAACCAAAGACTGCCGTCGGTAAACCCGAAGAGGCGAAGGTACAGACAATCAATCTGTCTCCTTACAAACAAACTTTTTTTAACCAGAAAACTTTTTTTCACTGCATGCCAACACGTACACTCGATATTTTTGACTTGTTCACTCTTTTTAGACAGAGGAACCCGTTACGAAACCCAAAACCACTTTAAGTAAACCCGAACAGGCAAAGGTACATAGTAGAACATTACATTTTCTTTTTACACAAAACTGTCTCCACAGCATTTATAAATAAAAATACGACACATGAAACAAATATATTTTTTAGAAGGAAGAACCCGCCCCGAAACCCAAGACTACTCTCGGTAAACCCGAAGAGGCAAAGGTAGATAAAGATACATCACAATTCCTGGTTTCATACAGAAGTAGGGTAAATGTCCCAATTACTGCTAATGTTCCTAATACTGTCACTTTATTTATTACACTTAATAATAACGTAACGTATAAAGAATTGTGTACGAAAAAATTTCATTATTAAATTGGGGCTTTGATTTACATAAAAACAAGGAAATATGTGTATTTGTGCGTACCTGATATTTAAAAATAAATGTTGAAAAATGAAAGTGCAATTTGAGCGTTAAAAAGGCGACTACGTAAGTGATGACGAAATCATAGTAAAGAAAGAGCCGTGGTATTACTATACAGCCTACATCTATTATACAAAATCAGTTGTTAAAGTATATAAGAATTAATTTAATTTTTGAGGTGACAGTTATAGGGATATTGGGATTGCTCGGAGATTTTAATTAATTATGAATCAATTCTTTATATTTAGTGTGCAAAACTATTTTGTTAAATGAATGAGATGTTAAATAATATTACGCTTCAAACTGAGACGATTTTTAGGTTAAACAATACGTAAAATTATTATATGAAGTTATGCTAGTACCTTAAGGTGGCAGTAATTGAGACATTTACCTTAGTGCTCTATTTTTACAAACAGGAATGTGATTCCTTAAAAACGTCCCTTTTTTTTAGAAGGTAGAAGCTGCCCCGAAACCTAAGGCCACCCTCGGTAAACCCGAAGAGGCAAAGGTACATAAAGATACATTACACTTCCTGGTGTCATACACATGTAGTACACAATTTTTGCAAACGCAAACATGATTCCTCAAAAACATCCCTTTTTTTAGAAAGAAGAACCCGCCCCGAAACCAAAGACCACCCTCGGTAAACCCGAAGAGGCAAAGGTACATAACGATACATTACACTTTCAGTCTTCGAACATACAGTACAGTACAGTTTTGCACTACAAATTCAACTTTTTTCAAATCAAATTCAACCTTTTGTAGATGAAATTCACCCTTTTGCAAACCAATTTCACCCAGTTTCAAATCAAATTCAACCTTTTGCAAGTTTCGAAACAAAACGTAGTGAAAATACAGTTTAAAAAATGCATTCGAAATAAGTTCTAAGTGCATTTTTCAAAAATGTCTTTCCATTTTTATTTTGGAATATGCAAAAGGTGATTTTGGTTTGTAAAAGGGTAAATTTTATTTCTAAAAGGGGGAATTGGATTTCCAAAGGGTAAATTTGATTTGCAAAAGGGTGAATTTAATTTCCAAACGAGTGAATTTGGAGTACAAAAACTGTACATAACCTTTTAGAAACACAAACACCGCTCGTTAAAAACGTGCCCCTTTTTTAGAAGGAAGAACCCGCCCCAAAACCTAAGGCAACACTCGGTAAACCCGAACCAAAAAAGGTACACGAAATCGCGCTACTATCGCTTGATGTAACGCACAAGACATAACCCCCACTCGACACCCTTTTCGTTTTTTTTCAATCGTCAGCATCATCATAATATATTTACGTCATCTTGTAATCATGCCAACTAAATTACTGTGCAAATCACGAAGAACTTGGGACGTATACAAGTTTTCTTTCAGCGCAACTCGAGCCTGAATAATCGTAACACTTGGCGTGAACATATTTTTTTTTACAGCAGGATTCATCGTTTAACTCATCGTAACAAGGAACATAACAAATCACTGACTTACAGCAGTCGCTCATCAAATTTAATCGTGAAAGCCTGTTGGAAATATTTATTTTAATATTTACCCTTTTTCCGTTCACAGACAGAGGAACAGGGCAGGAAGTTCAGTCTTAAACCTGTTGCTAAGGTAATTTATATTACATAGATTGAAAAAGTTACCACTTTTCTGTTTCTTTTTATTGTCATTTCTTCTTAACATCAACTTAAACTCTTAATGTACTGGGTTTTATGCAGCTTTTAATTCTCTTTCAGAATACATATTAAACACACACTGAAGTTTTAAGTTGACGTTAAAAACTAATAAAAACAAAAACAAATTCAAAAGTGTTAGTTAACAAAAGGGAAGAAACATTTTTACCCATAATACTGTTCACGATCAATTGTATGAATTTCAGATGGAGGAAGAGAAGAAGACTTTGCAGAAAATCGAGCTCAAAGTGAGTATCCCTTTTCTTTCTGTCACGTTCACACAGATCGATATAAAAATACACACACACACGTATACACTTGAAACCTTCGTGTAATTCAAATTGCACCGTTACGTGTAAATCGGTATCCACGACCGTTCCTCTCGTGGACCATTTGAAATAAACGATAATATTAAACGCAGCCCGTCACAACGAACGCGACCTTGGAGAAATTAGGACTGCGTAAACCACCGAAACACGAAATTAAAGCCGAGAACTTTCAATCTATCCAACTTAAACCGGTTCCAAAGGAGCCGAAAAAGGCTCAGCAGGCTGAGAATGGGAATATGGTTGAGCTGAAGGTATCCCTGCAAAAAGGAATCAAAATCTATCTATCCTCTATCTCTCTGCATCCACATATTGGCAATTAAAAGAATTGGCTCTTCTGTTCTTGAATCTTTGGTTATGTTCACTTTATCTCTATACGCGGAGCATTCACTTTTCTAATTTTCTACGAAATATTATTCTTTCTTACCGAATTCGTTTATTCTTTACTGCCTGTCATTCAATGTACTCGAAACGTCTTTATTCTTGTACTTACCGCACTGTAAACATTTCTTTCTTCCGTATTCTCCCTCTTGTCGGTTCTGTCACTGTTCTTACTACTTTTCTACTTCGAACACTTTCTACGCTTCGTGCCTCTTCTCGATGTCGTCGATAACAATTGGATACGATCTGTCGTTTCTCTTTTTCTTTCTTTCTTTCAACGCTTGGCGTCTAAAAAACGAGCATCGACCAATAATCGATGGCTGCTATCGGTCACTCGATATCGATGGCTGCTATTGATCGCTCGCGGTCGATGGCTGCGACGTTACGGGACTGGCCACCAGTCTTGACTAATCGAGAAGTGTCTGTCTCCCAGACGGGGTGGAATCGACTTTTCAACGACAAAATAACGACCAATCGACTCGCTTATCGAATTCACACTCTTCTTCTACTGTTGTCGATGTTCTTCTCTCTACGGCTTCGACTTTAACACTTAAAAAAAATTCGGAAAATCCGACTGGAAAATGGTCGACGCGAATTAACCGGTGTTCGATGTCATTTAGAAAACCGAGAAGGCCGAGAAGGTTGAACTTAAGAAGGCTAAGACGGCCAAATCGTCGAAGGACAGCAGCTACGAGCTTCCAGAAATTCCAGACTATGAGAGACCGGTCTTGGAAAAGCCTCAGGAATTCGATTTCGGCGACCGTGTGCCTCGCGACAAAACGAAGCTGGACAGGCCGACCACTCAGGTAACTAGTACCGTTTTCAATTGTTCGGTTTGCAGGCGTGGAATAGGTCTGTCGATTTTTCTGCAATTACTTTTCAATCCTTCTGTATAATTATTTAGTACTTTTTAGGTAGTATTAGGTGCATCAATAAGTAGCTCACTATTTTTTGTGGAACTCTGTATACGTGTTAAGATACTTCAGATACCTATCCAATTTTCGCAATATTGGTTATTTGCTACCATCACCCTCCGCCATTTTGATTATAGAGAAAATTTGAAAGATATTCTGAATCGAAAATGCGTTGCCGCCATATTGAAGCTATAGGAAATTATAATATATTGATTATAAAGAAAATTGGAAAGATTTTCTGAATCCAAAATATTGATATGATAAATTCTCAAAATCCGCGATCTAGCTGTAAGTGCAACCGTCACAAGTATCAACCGTTACTAATTCAGTTCTCTTTTCACGCGGGCGGTTGCAGAAATTCGACTCTAAGGTGAGTAAAATTCCCCGTTATTAATACGAAAATTGAGAAAACGATTTTGCCAAGCCTCGGTCCGCCGCTTTACCCGAGGAATCGTGAGAATTTTGCAATCTCCCCACCCCTCCCCCGGCCAAAAGCGGTCCGATCGGGGCTCGTCAAAATTTCGTAAGCACGGAGATGATCGAGAACGGGAACGCGATCACGATAACCGCTTTGCACATCTTTATATGCGTCACGTTCGACTTCCGTGAGCCAGTAAGCCGGGATCACGGAGAGCGAAAGAGATAAGGGGGGTAAAAGGCACCCGAAATCCTTGCTGGCAGATTGGCAACAGCCCCTCGGTGGCATATTTTCTGTTCCCGATCGAAGATCGTCTTCGTCGCGCCCGTGACGCAAATACCCCGATGGTGGCCGCCTTCGTCGTCGTTTGACTCGGTGCTAGTAACCCAGTCGCAATTAACGCGACACGACACACGCCCGTCCACGAGGGGTAGAGCTCTAATAATCGGCCCAGAGTAAAATCGCGGGGTTTGGCAACCGATGAATGTCCCCGGTGTGCGATGTCTCGGCACTCGCCCCCTCCTCCTCCGCTGTCGCGCGCGCCCATCCGGATCAAACAGGGGGGGGGGAGGGGGGAACTATTTTGGCAAATAGCTGCTCGTATATTACCCCCCTCGAGAGATACCCCCAATTTTTCGACGTGGAAAACGAGGATGGAGAAAATGTCGTTCGCTATTTTCGGTGTTATTTGCGGTCCAGCCCCCCTTTTGCCACCACTCCACCTCCTCCTCCGTTTTGGTTTACCCGAGTATTACTAATTCGGTGGATCAGTCTCGATTCAGTCCTAATCATCGGACGATCGTGATCGCCGTGTTTCGCGTTCGATTATCGGCCGTGGACCGCGAGGATCAAGCGAGTATAACGACAACTGGTAAATTCGATTAGTTGTCATCATCTCTGGGGCAGTTGGCTCGAGTCTCTTGCCTTCGATATTTCTTTTTTTTTATATTTATTTATTTACACACGGGGTATAAGCCCTTTGATACAGAGTGTATAGTTATCTTTGAAATCGTGTTTGCGTCGATTGTAAGTCGATCGAGTATCGATTGTCTAGAGCCTAACTGTCCCAGCGAGTATTAATCGTTCGATCCTACGCCGTTCGATTTTTTACCGCGTCTGTACCCGAGAGAACGATATTTGATCGTTTGGTTTTCTTCTATTTTTTCCGTGATCGTAGCCGAAAGTGCCGGAAATCAAAGCTCCCGAGACACCGAAGATCGAAGTTATCAAGGACGTGACCCCGGCTGGAAGCAGAAAGGGTTCCCTGATACCTGGTAGCGGTACCAGCAGTCGACGTGGTTCATTGATACCACCCGAGGAATTGGGTCGCAGACCCAGCCTGATCATCAGTGACGAGGTATGTTACGAATTATCATTCCCCGACCCGAAGGTATATCGACTACTCTTCTGGATATCGATCGGAGCGGTGCAACGATATCCTATAGTTGGATATCGATGATTTTCGAGCAGTCGAAAGCTTACGATAATTGTCTCTTTATGAGAGGATCTCGAACATATTGTCGATGATTCGATTCGAAATCCTCTGGAATTTTTTTTTTTTAGAATTGTTGAGAAACATTGTGGAATAAAGTTAGGATATCGTTGCAGACAGCTCGTTCCTCGAGAAACGTATGGTCGATTTGCTCCGAGATGTTGGTACGATATCGGAGGATCGAACGACTCCTCGAATCGACTAAACGAGTTTTATCGTAAAATTTGTTAATCGAGGTCCCCCTGTCAGATTGCCAAGCAAACGTTCTTAATAGCCCGCGATGTCCAACGCCTGCCCCAAAAATAATCACGTTCGAGCCTATTTTCGTGTAATTACTCACTACGAGATTTTTGGTTTCGCGGGAGGCGCGCGCGAGCGTGTCCAAAACCTGAAATCGGCAATACATCATAAACGGCGGACACGAGCGCGAGCGCGCGCGCCCGAGGCTTTCAAAGGGTACGGGATTATGTATCATCGGGTTTGGCTCGGTGTCGAAATTGGCTGAGAAAAGTGACGGTCCGATGGAGCAGATCGGCTGATGTTTCGGGAGGAGGGTTATCGCGAGTTATTCACGGTCTCGGATTTCTGATCCTGGGAAAATGAGGTTAACTTGGACCGATGAGATCGTATCTCTGTGACTCGAGATTCGGCAGCGCGCTGCCACTAGAAATTAATTGTTATCGTCATTATTCTCTTCGTTAGTGTGCTATTTGAAGTTTATACAAAGCCAGAGGTGGAGCTACATAAAATTCGTTGTGTACCTTCACGAGCAAACTCGGCTTCCGCTAGGGGAAAAAGTGACGTAAGAGAAGGGCGTCCTACCACTTGGTTTTATTTCAAGTACTGAAATAAATGTTAAATTGAATGTAAATTTGGCATAAATTTGAATAATTGCCAATATCAAGTGGTAGAAGACTTTTCTTCTACGCCGCTTTTTCCCCTAGTGAAAGCCGAGTTTGCTCCTAAGTGTACAGTCGAGACAACTTGCTCCACTGTTTTCTTGTTTATACATATAATACGTGAGACCGTGAGTGACTCCGAGCCAAAGGATCAAGACCCGAAACATACAGAAAAAAGACAGTAGCTCTCGTAAGAATCTAGAAGAACGCGTAGGTAGACCAAGTGGCTACTGCTGGTTAGCCCTAGAATTGTTGGAGTTTTTTTTTCTTTTTTGAGTTTCGTAGTGATGTCAATGATATTAGTGATCCCACTCGTGATAGTCTCTTAGAGGTAGATGTCCAACGACGCGGAGACCCGCGCGGTACGCCGTTTTTCTCTCTTATAAACAGGCACCAAAATGCGCGGGTCGCGGGTGTCCGCGTCGGTGTTAGTGTCAGCAATTGCGTGAAAAAGCTAGTCTAGCATTATCCTGTACGTGAAACGTCCAAGCAGCCCAGCTTCTGGAAAACCATACATACCGTTCATATCCTTCCTGCCGAGAATCCTGTCTTCTTTTCTCGCGAGACATTCCAGCCACCGACAGTCTTCCCCCCCGAACGACCGTCGATCGTGTCCGATCGGGACCGATCGACGCGACGCGTTGCGTGCAAGCTCGAAAGCTTGCTGGAGCAACTTGGAGGGGAAAGAAAAAAGTACGAGCGATGATAACCTCTAATCAGAGAGGTGAAAATGATGTCGCACGAAAAGCGACCGGCGACGTTCTACACAATTTTTTGTACACGACACACGGCACGCGACTCTGTTCCAAAACGAACAACACACACACAAGAAGACGTACACAGGAACGCACGCACGCACGCGTGCTTGGAAGAAGTATGAATTAGTAAAGGACGGTTTGGTTCATAGGAGAATAGGAAGCTGCGACCAGGCGAGGTGGTGGACGAGCGCAAGGTGAGAGATACCACTGAGAAATGGAAAAAAAAAGCGAATGCCTCGTCTGCAACCTTACTCGACTACCAAAAATGCACCAATCTCATATTCTCACGTTGTTTTTTTTTTCTCTTCTACTCTTTACTGACACACGTTATTTCTATATCTCGCACAAAACACTTACCGTGAACGTTGAACGAAGAGAACCTTTCCACCCGCGTGTGCGTATGTGTGTGTCCTCCACGCACGATATAAGTTTTGCGGTTAGAATCCACGCAACGTGTGTTTCCGTCTCTTCGTTCAAACCTGCCTGCTCGCCACTCATTTATCAATCTACTTACATTTATATATGGAACCGTACTCGACGAACTCGCCTCCAAACGCGTTCGAATTCTTTCATGAAAATGTAACCTTAAATCAATTCTCTGTATCGACGTCGATTGGATGGGAGATCGTTGTTTCGTGAACGGAGGTTCTGTCGAAGTGAATCGAAAATTTATCGTCTTATACATGTCGTATCGATTCCTTGAATATCGACTCGTTATATCGCAAGGAACCTCGGCTCACGCCCTTTATAATCTATAATCTATAATATATAAATAATTATTGACGTAAAAAAACCACGAATGCACCACTGCACCATTGCACCACTGCACCTGGCACGGATCTGCTGCAACCGAGTCTATGCGCACTCTCTACTCAAATTATTGACCACGATCACTGTTTCAACATTAATATTCGACGAGCCACGGCGATAATAATATTATAATTAATAACGACGGACAAACGAGGATGGTAGAAGACAATCCGAGGCGTGTCTGGCGCGCTGGTGACGGGCTCACGGGAACACGGTCGAATCTTAAATCATTAGTATATACAAGGTTTCGAATTCCATCTGGCATAGGATCTGCGGCGCTCGTAGATTACATTCTGGCAAGCATTGTCGCGAAAGGACAGCCATCGGCGTTAACAAATGCCTAGACAAGCGACAAACATCCCACGGCACGTGAATCGTGTGCGTGCGCGCGCATTCCTCTGGGGATATAAAGGGTGTCTCAGCAAGAACTTGAATTTTAAATAAATTAATAAACACATTAATTTAATTGTTTTTTTACATTTTATTATTGATATCTTCAGAGTTATTAATGACATTAAACATGACATAAAATGTCGGTTAAATGGCCACTGTTGGTTTGGTGGCAGGAATGTATTCTTGGTTTGCAACAACGTTTGTAATGTTTTTAATGGGTTTTCACTATTAACAAATGTTCTTGCAAAGTGTAACGCGTCATTTTCGTAAATATCAATGTATCAACTAAAAAGCCGCCAAACATGACTGACTCACCATTTGACAGACAAAAATGGCGCGCGATTCGAAATCCAAGTTCTTGCTGAGACATCCTTTATATGTGACACTCGGTTCGCGACGTGGCATGTCGCGCGTAGTAGGGAATGCATTTTACACGCGGGGGCTAACGAACACTTGTTATACTCTGCCAACCGACGGATGAAACTATCAATTTGCCGGACGGCGAAGGCCGACTCTGACTTATGGTACCGTACATTTAATACTTTGCCGTCGATTAATCAGAAGCGCCCGCGATCCAACGAGGCGACCTGTCGTTTCGCGATTCGTTATTTCTGGCCACGTGTGTGTATATATATGTATGCCTCGTTTCCACCGAGCTCGTTAGGCCCACCAGACCCGTCACGGATTCCTCGACCGATTTTCTCGGATCTCTAACTCTTCTTCGAATGCTTCTTCTTCATCTTCTTGGCGAATTGCTCTTCGAGATCTCCAGAGGGCAGCGTAATCTCGATCGGTCTCGCTGCGACGCACGAACTAGCGTTGTTGCAATTGGAAATTCGCCCTATCGTCGCCAGACGTAGGGAAAAAATGCTTTCGTTCGTAAGGATACGTTTTCACATGACAGTAAATCGTGATTTTTATGAACATGACACTGAATGTTATGACTTTTGCTGTCACGTGAAAATGTACCTTAGTAGTATTTTACTGCACCAGAGATGGGTAAGAATTATCATACATGACTTTGATTGGTTGATTCTTATAAAGATGGATGTATGATTCAGCGGTTTTATATGAATCAACGAATCAAAGTCATGTATGATAATTTGGTTTGCACCAGTCGTATTAATGTGTATTGTTCTATGTGACGTCACCTTGTCCCTACGACGGTAGGGAATTCTGGCAACGCTGATTCGCCCGTAGGAATCACCGGTGATCGAGATTGTTCTGCGTGAGGAACGTGGACGAGAGATCGCGCGCGAGCGCCAGTCGAAGAGACACGAGGAATTCGGTTGATATTTTTCGCAGTCTTTCTAAATCGTGATTCCTGCGAAAAAACGCGTGGAAACCAGCCGCTATACTTCACTTAACGCGCCAATCGCGCGTGTCAGCTGATTTAACTCTTTTACTACCAGTTGGTGTTACCTTGATAAAAAGAGTCTGCGCTGAATTAGTGCCAAACTTGTCTCGCTGTAACGCAATTGATAATTCTTGTAAAAGTTATGAGAAAATATAGATTTTCAACATAAAAAAGTGGAATTTACACAGAATCAAAAAGCTGCAAATGTTGTTTCTGATTGTTCCGTTAATTGTTTCGATCAGATATACACTGCCATTCATAAGTATTGGGAAATCCGGTCTATATGGTGGAAACATAATGTTCCATAAAAAAATATATATTTTGGGCCACTTTTCTTACTTTATATTTCAATAAATATTGTTCATCGAGCTTTAACATACCACGAAAAATATGTATTTCAGTCTTTCGATAATATTCCATAAGTGTACTGACATTTATAGACGGGAGTGTACATACACAGTCACTCACGAAAATCCTCGTACACCAAGTAAAAAGGTCATTTTGATTAATATATACAATAATTTTGTAACAAAATGTATTGGTCTATATCAATATTTCAACAATAAGAAAAAAAATGAATTATGCATCCCACAAAAGTAACCTCATTTATCGAGTGTATGAAAACTTTCGTGAGTGACTGTACATATACATACATACCTGATCACGTATACACGGCTGTCCGTAAGTGTTAGGATATTTATCTAGTATGGAACAATTTCGAACTAAAATATATTTAATAGTTAGTGCAACCACTAACGTGAAGTTATAAATATGACGTAAAATGCATTATTTGTAGGTTATATATTTCAGTAGTTAAAACCTGTGTCCAAATGTTTGTGGACGGCGGTGTAGAATAATCAGAAATTCAGACATTTTCGCATATGGATGGGTCTATCCAACACTAGGATCAAAAGGGTTAAACGCATTCACATCGGCTGACGCGCGTCGCAAAATATCACTGCGACTGGCAATTGCACCGCCAACACTGCAAAAAGCACCACCAATACTGTAAAAAGCACCACCAAAATATTGCAAAGAGCACCACAAAAATACTGCAAAGAGCACCACCAACATACTGCAAAAAGCACTACCAATACTGCAAATGCACCACCGAGTCCGGAGTAAGGCGAGCCCCCGAATATGTTCCATCAACCTTGTGATCGTCTTCCCGTACCACGGACCCTCGTGGTTCTATCCTCCCGTTCCCAGTGACGTTTGTTTTTTTTAATCAACCCCTTTCTAATTTTATTCCGTTAGATTTTTGTCACTTCTAACATACACACACATACAAAACATGCACATCAAACAACGTCCGTTCCAGAAATGTCGCCGATCCAAAGCGAACGGTTTTTGAGTAGCCATAGCTCTCTCTCCGATTCACATTTCCGCGTCTTCTTTTATCCTTTCTCTACATCCATTATCCGTTCCACCTTGCACCATACTCGCCGCAACGACGAGAACAACGGAAGAGGAGTTCGCGGAGACGAACGGAACTTCTAACACACATATCTGACGCTCGCCTGTGTAATTTTTTGCAGTTGGGAAGGTTACGGCCCGGCGAGGTGTTATTAGACGCCAAGGTGAGATTTGTGTTCGCTATAACACAAAGCTTACCCGCCCGAGAATCATCACTAGACCACGGATTTTTATGCAATACAACAGTGTTTTTTCTATAAAGTAATATTCATCGAGACAAGAGAAAACGAATATCGTTTCCCTCTTAAATATCGTACCTATTCAATTCACAATAAATCAAAACAAAGTTTTGTTTTCTATTGAATTTCACAGATCCCTTATAGGTTATGAATGCATAAAATCCGCGGTCTAACCGTCATCTGCGACATGTTTCTTTATATGTTTCTTACCCCACTCCACCCCTTCTATTGGCACCACTGTGTCCCCCCACTACTTTTTATACACTTCTTCACCCCAAACCATCGCTCCACGCGAACGACACGATAATCCGCCGCGAGAAGCACAATTTAACAGCGAGAGAACTAAAACCAGCAGAGTGATCCCGAATCCGCACAGGCGCAAAGGAAGCACGAAAAAAAAGAAACTACCGCCGCATACCACCATGGAGCGCCGATAATACAATATTAATTTCTGCGACTTACTTGTACACGATTTATTTTTAGTTGATTTTTTGGGGCTGTCGCTGCCGCCCATCGCTGCTGACCACTCCCCCCGCTATCGATCTCAACCAATCGCGGGCTTAACACCGCGTGTTCGAGAGAGCACACCTGACAATCGCGCGTAATTTTAAGAAACTACTCCCCCCCACCCTACTACCCCAGCACGAAAACGCCCCCCCACTCACTGTATTTTTCTCTGTCTTCACCTGTCTTCTTTTCTGGGTTTTTTTTCATCTCCACGCACCACGTGTACACACACAGAATAAGTCTGGCCGTCCCGGCGTACTACAGGGGAAAGAGGTTAGCGTATACAAAATCACACACTCTTTTGTCGTTCGTGTATAATGCCGTATATGTACGCGCGTAATATCGCCGCCGTGTTCTTAGACGTTTTTTATTTTTCGTTACTTTTTTAATATCTGCGTGCCGCAATAGCTCGAGAATTGTTCGCAATGCGTGTGTATATTATATATAATTTTGCAAAGGAGCACGTGGCTCCGAATGTCGAAAGCTTCCGGGCGTTTGTCGACGGCGGAAGCCGAGCTCGTGTCCCGTGCTTGGTCGGCGATCTCTTGAAAAGTCATCTTTATTCGTCCTCTGCTGTTTCTTTCTTCGAATCAGTTACATACATACACACACGCAGTAAGCTTCCTGTTCCGCTCGACCAAGCACGGCGCGAAACTATTCGCAGTCGAAACGTCTCGCGGCAGCCTAGCGTTTAAACGTTTGCTTGATTCGAGCGAATACGATGCGTATTCGACGAGTAGATATTAGATGGTGGTAAGATACTTGTTTTATTGTACCCTCGCAAGCAACCACGGCTTCCGCTAGGGGAAAAAGTGGCCTAGGGAAAAGACCTTCTACCATTTGGTTTTGGAAATTTCGGAAATTTATGCCAAATTAACATGCATTTTAACATTTATTTCAATACTTGAAATAAATTTACCAAGTGGTGGGAGGCTCTTCTTCTACGTCATTTTTTCTCCTCGTGGAAGCCGAGTTTGCTCGTGGGTGTACATTGGATTTTCGATTAGTGTTTTTTTTTCAACGTGTAGCAGTTTTTATATTTGTTTCTACTTCTTTTTCTTGTGTATCGACTCACCGCAGTATGTGTATATGAGCGTCGAAGTAGTATGCGATCGTTTGGTATCACCAGTTGCGTCGCAGTAGTAACGCAACGGTTTAGTCAGGCAACTGTTGGAGATTCGAATCACACATAACCTATTCGCTCGCTCGCGTCATTACGTTCGTGAGATGCGCGACACTACTTTTATTTTTTATTTGTTTATTTATTTATTTACGGGTTGATTCCCATTAGAATACAAGAGAGAAAAATGTTTAAATAAAAAACTACTGCGTCGCTTCTGGTGGCCTGACTTTCGTCTCAATTAGAAGCGAGTTTATGTATGCTCGATATGTTTACGAGAACAGTCTTTATGTATGTAAATATTCACCCGTGCTCACCATCATTGTGTGTTCGCGACGAAATCCACGGACTCGGTGAACGTTCGCGGACAGTTTTCTTATGTGTTTTTGTTTTTAATTCGGATCGTACATCATTCTGTAAATAATAATCCTAATCTCTGATCAATTCGTGTCCTTTGTAAACAGAAGTCGTCGCGGTGACTAAAGAACGAAAAAGGTGATTAAATCGTGTCAATGGTAACACAAACCACATGTGCACCGTTATCCATTTACCCTCTAATTCCGTTTTACCTCGAATCGTTCCCTCGAAATTGTCAACTGTGTGCCTCTCTCTATATCACTTTCTCTCTCACTCTCTCTGTCTTTGTTTCCCTATTTCACTGATTGTTCTCACAATTGTATCTAAACGACACGCGAGAAACATGTTTAACAATTGTATCTAACAGCGACAGGGCGTGACGAAAATCGAGGAGTTCCGCCAAGCGTCACGGATGTGTCCCGTTTACGCGTCGAGGATCTTTTTAACAGAGAAGCGATGCAAATAAAAGATTCGCAGACGGGCGTAGTTTGGCTGCTTTCTTGTGGTTAACGAATACCCATATTATCACCGAACGGGCTTATTTTTTATTTGCACGCAACCGTAATTTGTCATAATTTCACTGCAGATTGTTTATGCAAATTCACAATTGAACTTCAACATTGCATTGAAATTTATTTTCTGCACAAGGTGTTCTACCATGTTAACAGTAATATACAGGATGTAACAAAAATGTTGGAGGACCCGGAATTGGGAGCCTCGTGAGGTGATTTGAAACAAGTTTTTCCTTAGCAAAAATGTTATCCGAGGTTTTGTTAACGAGATATTAACGAAAAACCCCGACCAATCAGAGCACGAGTTTTTCGTTAATGTCTCATTAAGAAAGCCTCGGATAACATTTTTTCTAAGGAAAAAGTTGTTTTAAATCATCCCGGGAACCCCTCATTGCCGAGAGTCGACGTTATTTTGGGATGCCCTGTATACATTTTATTAAAGTCTTTATTTCACGCGATATAATTTATTATAAATACATTAAAAGTCCGCAGTGTAGTCGTGACAATTCTAATTGTATAAAACGAGTCGATCGATGGTTCAGACAGTGTCAATAGTTTCCCAACGATTATCGATTCATCGATGAATACCAGCGAAGAACCCGTCGATCGACACGGCGAACAAGTCGATGGTGATACCGTCCCACTGACCCCGCGAGATCTTCGTGCGAAACGAAGCTCGTCTCTCTCTCACGCATCAAAATACGTACCTCGTGTATAAACACTTTAATCACGTAGTTAGTAAGTGTAATCTTGTGACTGATCAACTGCTGAGAACAGCGCGTCGAATTCTCGACGGCTCGGCATCTACGAAGCAGAACATCCTCTCCACGTAACTCGAGAACCTACTGTTTATATGTATTCCATGTGTACCTCTTTATCTCGTCTATGTGTCACTCTGTAACCACTCTGGCCTTTGCTCGGCTCACAGCTGTGTAGAGACCGAGTTCGAAGCCGGGGTGGTTAAAATCTATAAACGTTGACCCTTCCTATTGGCTACAGAGATTCGAGGGCCTTCGATCGATCACAGAAACTTTACGAGACATCTTGAAACGCTTCGATCGATCGATAAGTTATGGTACAAGCATAGACAGAAATATAGACTGCGCATCTACCTGAAACAGGCGTCCCAAGTTTAGAAAGAGGTAGATTGCTTTCGGAGGAGGAGTTCGCATCTCTTTTTAATCTAAGTAGTGGAGGGTGAGGTTTTGGGGATCTGCGTTTTGAATGGTTAACTCGGCTATATTAAAAAGAGATAGCAAGTCCTCCGAAAGTAACCCGCCTTTTTCTAAAGCTCTGACACCGTCTCAGTCTACATATATTTCTATGCCTATAAGTACTTCCACGAGCAAACTCGGCTTCCGCTAGGGGAAAAAGTGACGTAGAAGAAAAGTCTCTTACCATTTACTAAATTTATGACAAGTTCGGAAATAAATGTTAAACCGAATATTAATTTGACATAAATTTCAGTACCTCCCAAAACTAAATGGTAGGAGGCCCGTCCCCGACGCCACTTTTTCCCCTAGTGGAAAAGGTGATGCAAGGGAAAGACCTTGTACCACTTGGTCTCGGAGTTACTGAAATTATTACCAAATTAACATTTGGTTTAACACTTATTTCAGTACTTCGAGTAAATTTACCAAGTGATAGGAAGCCCTTGTCCCTACAACGCTTTTTTCCCGATCGAAAGCCGAGTTTGCACGTCACTGTATAAGTGACCGATCCAAGATGGCCCCTCGAGTCGCCAGTAGCTCCATACGAAAACCCGCGGACCCTAAACGCGGATCGACAGCGTATTGAACTCGCGACGATCCTGTCTCGCTAACGGAGGCACGCCAAGAAAGACGAATCAGCTGGCCTCGACTAACTGCTTTCGTTCACTAAATTTCGTGGTTAACAAGTATAGCGTTGACGCTTCGTACTAACGACGTGAACTAATGGTGTGACTAACGCCGCGCACTTAATCGACTGCACCAGCGACACAGCACGTGAGCACCGTGTACCGAACCGTCGGCCATGACTTTCGTTTTCTGCACCGAAACAACCTCGATTTTCTTCGAATTTCAAATGAAATTAGAGGGTCTAGCAGGTAAGTGGAACGAAAGTCGTGATACCCGTCGTTCGTGCCTTCTCGCTTTCTTCCGAATGCTTTTGATACGTTTAACGAAAAAATCGAAACACCCCGTTCGAGAGCGATATCGCTGACATATCGATTGTTGACGCAGCGTCGTCGTCCGAGCACGGACGTTAGAAGACCCAGCGTGGCGGACCTCGAGAATAAGATCAATCAGCCGAGCACACCTCTTCGAGATGTTGGACCACCGGGACCACCTCAAATCGTCGATGTCCAGGAGTCTTATTCCGCCGTCGAAGGTATTGTTTCCTACCATTTACGTTCTGCTTTCGCTCGATTTCAATTAGTTAATTGTATTTGCGATCTGGGCATAATCTATCTCAAACGTTTCGCCCAAAGATACAAAGCCATAGATTCACCGCATGTTCATTTAACTCGTAACTTTTAATTGAACAAAATTTTTATTTTCTGTTTACTTGTATACACAGTGGTACGTTATGTTTATATCTAGTTATACAGGGTGTCCTAAAATAGCTTCGACTCCCGGAAATGAGGGGTTCTTGGGATGATTTGAAAGTTTGAGAGTTGAAGATTGAGAGTTTTTGAGGGAAAATGGCGGACTATATTGTCATGGTAGTGGGGGAAAGTGAAGTAATGACGTCACAACTGTAACGTTGCGATTGGTTACGACACTTGGCTGGGCTTGGAGTCGGCCTAGTGATAGGTTCTGTTATGGGTGTCGTTATTTCACTTTCCTCCACTACCAAGATAGTTCCACCCGCCATTTCCCCTCGTTGAGGGATTTTGCTGGCTACGCTGGGTGGGAGTAGCCCAGCTCCCTACCATTCGCATAACAAGTCTACCTGTCCCGTACTGTGTTTGAACCGTCGAGAAATAAGTAAACAATAATATTAACAATTCCGTGTACAATGTGTTCCTTGATGTTCAGACTCGACGGCGTATCTCACGGTCGGGGTGGAGGGTACGCCCGCGCCCACCTTCAAGTTCTACAAAGGAATCACCGAGATCATCGAAGGTGGCCGATTCAAGTTCCTTACGGACACGGAGACCAATACGATCACCCTCTGCATGAGGAAGACGAAGCCCAACGACGAGGGTACTTACAAGATCGTCGTGAGCAACATCCATGGCGAGGATTCCGCCGAGATGCAACTTTACGTTTCCGGTACGATTATCTGTCACTAACACTTCTTCCTCGTCTAATCCAAGGGGAATGTCTCTTTGCATACCTTCGAGAAATAATCGATCGATTTTTTTCTTTCGCTCGATAATCGTAGACGCCAGTGGTATGGACTTCCGTGCTATGCTGAAAAAGAGAAAGTACCAGAAATGGGCGAGAGAAGAACAGGAACAGGAAAAGGTAGACTTGAAGGAAGTCGAGAAGCCGATGCCGGCGTTAAAGAAAGTGGAAAAGGTGCGTATTCGATAGGTTTAAAGGTTCGATGAACGGAGAAGAGAATTAATTTGAATATATGTATGATCGTACATATTGAGGGGGAGATTTCCCCACTTTACATTGGTACACGCATGTCGATTAATTGTAAAACCGTTTGCACCTCGATTCGTCGCGTTTCTTTTGGACACTTTGCGGTCATCGTGTAACAGCACGATACGCTATGCGCATTATGACGTAATTTGGTGTAACGAATGTTGCTTGAGCACGGAAGTCGATTATTAGAAATCATGATCGATCTTATCAGATACACTGTGTGCGACGCAGTCGGTAAGTATAGACGATATCGACGGAGCAATCGCTCGTTCACGATTCAGTGAATAAAGAAATATCGATAGTAATCGATCGATCCGGTGTCGTATTCTGTTTCTGGCCTTTTTTTCTTCTCTGTACGTTTGTCTTCGTAGTCGCTGCACGACAGCGTGCTGCACGACAGCGTGCTGCATGGGAGGAGCTGGTATCAAGACGGGGAGGAAATAGTGATCTTGACGGAGGGTGAGGAGGTCCTTCGAATTTCTCTAGACAAGAAGGGTGAAACTAACTGGAGCTGGCTCAAGGTTTTCAGGCATCATCCCCCCGTAGATAAATCCCGATCTGACACTCGACGAGACTCACCACAGGACGTACTAATTTCCCTCCATGCTTTCTGCAATTTTAATCCCTACGGGAGGGTCCGATTCGATTAAGATATAAGAACGAACGAACTCGAGATCGTTCCCGTGAGAAAAAGTTGCAGAAAGATCCATTCTAATTAATTACACACCACTCGACCCGATATTGTATGCTGGACCGGACTTACTCTCGAGAAACTTGAAAACACCGACGACGCGACCGAACATTCTGTCGCCTGGATCTCGTACAAGCACACGTAAAACACAAATTTGTCACATGTAGACACGGTTAGTTTAGAGCTAATGCTGCGCATCGAACCATATCTCACGACGCAATCGATCGTCGCGTTCAACAATTTCATTCACGATGATCGTTAATCTCCATTAACCAAATGTTTCATTAACCTGTGAAATTAACGAGATCATTTGCATCGAGTCATCTTCATAGTCATCAATGACCCGGTCGTCGTTTAACAATGCATGAATAGAGAGGGCCGTGTCGAGTAAAAAGCCGCCGTTGAAAGAAAAAAAAACGAAAAAAAAAAAAATAAAATCAAACGATTAACTTGGTGATTAACTTGCAATACGCATTAGAGCTATGCGTCAGTAAAATTGTGTGTAACCCGCACGGACTTGGCAGCAAGCATTATCTCTAAATGTTCAATGTTTTAACGCGGACGGCCCCGATACACTTTGTTACTACGGATGGTAACGTGTCACTGATTTACTCTAGGATCGCTCTGTACTTTAAGAGCGTTGTTTCTGTTCGATCGATCGAAATTTCAAATTATGTAGAAAACCGAGAGATTATGTATCGGGGTCGTTCGAACATTCGATATCGCTGATCGTATATAACAGTGGCACTAACGTGAACGTGTGTGTGTGCCGGGCATGCAGGACGTCTTCGACATTCAGCGCAGGCCAAGTTTGCAGGAGCTAATCGCCGACTGGCCGATACTAGCGACAACGGTCAAAGAGAAGGTTCGCGACAAATCTTAAGCAACTTGTTCTTTGTACTCCAACGCGCTCGACTCTCCACATTTAACAACCCTGGAACTCGCGATGCGCTTCTGTCCCCGCAAGGCTTCAGTAATTACATAGCAAACATTTGCAAAACACTCCCGGGATTGAAGATTACATCAAGGGACTAAAGATTTTCGTGGCAACTCTTAGAGTACATGTTGTTTCTAGGGGAAATGCAACGATTTCCATGTAACCATGCAATACTCTTGTCACGAAAAATTGAATGATACCGTTATTGATCCGCTAACCGGGTGACATCGCGTTCAAAAAATTATTTAAAATTTGTAACGTATTTTGTAAAATTTTTAAATTTGTTTTACGCACTGGAACAATTGGAGGTCATTGGTTCACTACAAAGGAAGTTTCAATAAATAACGAAAAACAGATATGACGGCTTGTATTTTGAAAATTATGTTCTTTCACTTAATAATTCCTGTTTTAACTATTCAGCTACAGCAGAGCTGCCGAAAAAGTTGTAGTAAAGGGTATACCTGAGTTGCTGTCCCAGCCACGTGTATACACCTTTTCGTATATAGAGAGTGCCTATTAATAATATTGATAGTTATAGTAAAAACAGTGAAATATTTGTCTGTTTATTTCATGCAACAAAGAAATAAATATGATTATTATTGGTAACTATTCAATGTTTCTTAATAAAATGTATGAAAGAGAGCCAATATAGTGGTGTTTGACCTTGAACTTTCAATCATTTCAAATCACTTCACGGGAAGCCTCTGTAGCGTCGAGGTTTAAAGTCAATCGTCCCGTAGTCAACTCTTTGCACTCGATTGCTCCCTCCCAAGGAACAAAATATATGGGTAACATATCCAAAATGGTACCATTCGATTCTTCGGACAGAAAACTTTCCCTGGATATACAGAAATCGCTGCACACTCGTAGATCGTACATACTCTCTAATTGCAATGGATAACATGGACCTATTCGATTTGAACGATCGCATTGATTCGAATGGAAGGAATCTGAATGAAACGGAATTCGATGTTCCGACCACATCGTGGACATCGTGGTGGATCGCGAGACTTTCCGTCGCGGTTTTTAGCTTCTTGGTGTGTCTGGGGGAAAGGAAATTCTCGCGATCACATAGAAATATACCGAGACAGGGATGCTCGATTCTGATACGATTCTTCAGAAGATCGATTCCTTTGGGTGACACGTCACTGGCATATATAAAATATACACTATAGCCAAAAGTATGGCACCAAGTCTGATAATTAAAGAAGGAGGAAACTATTATTCTACAATGAGTTAATCAAGGTAACGTGTTAAAACTGATCGGTAGTGATTTGTACATGTACCGATTTCTTAACTTTTATTTTATCGTAACATAATAATAAATTACTGTTCCATTAATCATAAACTTTGGCCCCATATTTTCGGCCGTTAGTGTATGCGTTACACATAGCAGTGACGTGTCACCCAAGGAAATCGATCTTGTGAAGAATCGAATCGGAATCGAACATCCCTAATCGAGACCAGTGTTTACTGATATAACAAGACTACAGATTCCATTGTTGTCGAAGGATTATGAATCTGTGCCTCGAAAACGAGCGTTATTTGCTCTATTTTACCATAATAGTACAAAAAACACATTCGCACTGCAGCATACATGTAGGATATATAAACCTAGAGACCTAAATTCACACTGGGTTCCTGAGGCACCCAAAATCCATGACCCCTCGATAACAATGGCATCCGTAGTCTTATTATATTTGTAGTCACTGCCGAGACCTGCTTTGGCCTGCGCTTATCCGTTTCGTGAGACTCGGCTTGTCAACCTCCCGCGCCGAAAAATATAGAGTTTCCAAAAATAACTTCAACTTCCCGAAATGAGGGGTTCCTTGGATGATTTGAAATAACTTTTTCCTTTACAAAAATGTTATCCGAGGCTTTGTTAACGAGTTGTCAACGAAAAACCCCGACCAATCAGGGCGCGAGTCTACCGGCCGAGTTCCCGCGGGAGTGTTTCGTTAATATCTCGTTAACGAAGCCTCGGATAACATTTTTGCTAAGGAAAAAGGTTTTTTCAAATCGTCCCAGGAACCCCTCATTTCCAAGAGTCGAAGCTATTTTGGGACACCCTGTATGTTCGCTTTGAATAATTTGCCTATAATGCGATCTACCCCCCCTCACGTGACGGTTGAAAACACCAAAAGGTATTCGTACGTGTGTGTAATTTTTTTCTTATTTTCTTGCGCTTACCAATTTAGTTTTGCTTTAGAAACGGGACGCGCGTTAACGAAGAAAAAAAAAAAGAAAGAAACCTAGTTGATTACGATATTGTTCGATCAGACCTGTGACCGCAGACGAAATTTTGTTGTTTTATAGAATAGTGGATCTCGTAGACCCTCCCTGGCCGAATTAATTCCCGACTGGCCGATCCTGCACCATTTCACCAAGACGGAGGTTGGATTCTCGTACTCCTCGACGCCCTGCGATAGAATTTCGTGATATTTCACTGACAATTTCTCGATCTCTGTCTCTCTTTCTCTCTGTCACTCGAACTGTCGACTAAAAATTTCATTCAAAAACACTTGAACGCTCTCTTTCTCCCCCTCCCTCTCTCTCTCTCTCTCTCTCTCTCTCTCTCTCTTTCTCTCTATTTTTCTCTATCTCTTCTATCTGTACGTTTCCTTCGATTGGTTCGAAAACGCGATGAGATTAACGCAACAATATATTTATCGACGATTTATCGATCACCGCGCGAATCTTGCTCCGTGTTTTCTCTGTACATGTTCTCTCGCTCTCTGCTCTTCACACATTCCCTATCTTTTCTTCTTTTTCTGAAAACCGTACACCTACGTGTTGTACGGTTCCAACTAAAAAAAAATACCGCTTCAAACCTTCCTCGATGTTCTCTCTGTCTTGCAATCTAATCTCGAGGCGACGTTTACTGCACATCTTCCTCGGCGTCCAGTTTTTTTTTTTTTTTTTGACACGTTGTGGGAATTTTTTTCCGAACGAAACGAATTTTTTCGGCGCAATTTCCATGTACTTTTTGTCGGTAGAGCCACACCGTCCGTGTCCCGACGGTGCGCTTGCGGAAGCTTTCGTGTGGGTCCCACGAAAAAGCTCATCTTCGTGGGCCGCACGCAGATTTTTGCTCTCGCCCGCTCCGACCCCCCGACCCCTCTGAAATTTTTTTGGTCACGATTTTGTACAGACAGTTTTGATTTTTCCTCTCGCTGGGACGAGAAACTTCGAAGCTGATTCTTTTGACCACGGTCGCCTTCGATTTTTCAAATCTTCTAACTCTTCTTCTACCTTGTATTGCATAGCGACGCTGTCGTTGCTGACGGTACTGCTGGATGTAATGGTGAATACCGTTCACGATAAATGCTGACAAACTAACGGACCTTCTCTTATTCGCAGAAACAAGAGAGCTTCCTGAAACCACTGGTCGATCAGTATGCCAAGGAGGGCAAAGACAAGAAGATCGTCTTCGAGGCGAATTTCTCGAAACCGAACTGCAAACCGAAATGGTTCTTCCGAAAAGACGTAAGTGAAAGTCTCTGTCCGTTTTTGTTTCATTGAAAATAACGAAAGTAAATATATTCGATTAAAAGCACAACATTTTACATTTTTTTGTAGGAATTGTTCCCTTCGTCGAAGTATAAATTCAAGAACGAAGAGGACTGCTACCAGCTGATCATCTTGAATCCTAAGGTCGAAGATACCGGCAAATATACTATTGAAATTTCAGGCGTTTCGAGCACAGGCTTCCTCAATGTCGAGGGTTAGTTTAGTTCAATGAAAAATTCAATGTTTATCGAATCTTCCTTGTCATGTGTAAATTATTGTCGTATATTGTTGTCGTATGTGCACTATTTGTCATCGTAACGGGGCGATGTTTATGTTCTCCAGAACCGGATCCGACCTATACGTTTACCAAACCACTCTCGAAAAAGTCGAGTGGCTTCACAAAGCACGAAGTGTTCATGGAATGTACTGTCAGCTCCAATCTCGCTCAAGTTTCATGGTACAAAGGAAAGACGAAGCTCGAAGTAATTATCCGACTAATATTCCTTTAACACGTTGAATGCCGTGGGGGTCACCGGTGACCTCCACTCTAGGGAGTATACTTTTCGATATTATTAATATTGGACCATAAATCGGTAAACTTCTGCAAACTAAATGCCAAAAGTATGATAACATAGTTGACAGTAATAATTTTATATAACATTTTATTCTTCTACATTCTGTGTGAAGAAAATTTCACTTCCACGCTGTGGCTGAAATGTACGGAAATCCTGCGGTATTCAACGAAATAATCTTGATTCGTTCTTACAAGACGTGCATAATGTAACTCGAATGAAAACGGTTAATTACGTTGTCCTCAGGACGGCGACACGTACAGCATATCGAAGGATATGAGCGGCGTCTGCCGATTAACCATAAAGAGCGCCACGCTCGAAGATAGCGGCGAATACATTTGTAAGATTAACAAACAAACTGACAAGACTGAAACGGTCCTGACCGTAGTTGGTACGTTGTTTTTACTCCACATGTTGTGTGAATCCTTTACGCATGCGAATTCCTTTGCGATCAGAAAATATACACGTTTCCTTCTGTAGAATATCCTTACAAGTTCGTCAAGGTGTTGAAGCACCAGCAGCTCGTAGAAAAGGAAACTCTGACCCTGCTCTGCGAGTTGGACGATGCCGGTGGCGACGTGAAATGGTTCAAGGGTGAACAAGAGATTCAACCTGACAAGAGGTGACGGTCCCAAAGTTCTTGAAATAACTCCTACAAATCTGCGCGAATCATTCTAACGAGTATAATTATTATAATGCAGGGTACAAATCAAGGAAGAAGGTAGGAAGAGGAAGTTGATAATCAAGGATGTGAAGGTTACAGACGCAGGCCTCTATTCTTGCGTGAGCAACGCCGACAAGACCGAGGCCGAAATAGTTGTAAACTGTGAGTTCATTGAACATACCGATATTACATAACGTTTACTGTGAACGTTTACTAAGAATGGCTATTACCAGACTGCGGATTTTATCCAAAGAGAAAAGAACTTTCGTCAGACATAATATGTTTTTTAGTTTACTCTGAATCCAATAAGATATTTAAGAAAAGAAATAAATTCCTACCTTAGCTGAGGTCTTTAAAAATTACTTTAAAAAATGTCATCGTGCATAAAAATCCGCAGTCTAAACTCCATTTCGCGTAAGTGTAACCTCACGCTCGGGCGAGTTTTCTGTCTTTGATCCTATTTATCGCGTTTGTGAAATAGCGAATTCCTTCTGTAAAAATCTTAATTTTTTTTATTGGCTCTATCCAGGCTTTCAAAAACCAAGTTCATAGTGTCTTGCAATCACCATTTAGCTTATCTCTTTTTAATTACCATTTAATTTTTCTCTTTTGTATTTATATGTTTCATCTAGTTTTAATATTCGTCCAATTTAAATTTTATATAAACATTTTTGTTCTCTTGTATTCTAATGGGAATTAACCCGTAAATAAATAAGAGAAATAAATAAATATAGAAACTAACGACTAATGGAACTCTGTTCTTTAGACGCGAACCGTTTCAACAAGAAACTAAAGGACACAGTCGCGGTCGAAAGGGAGAAGTTGGTACTCGACGTGGAACTTCAGGACCAAACTGCCCCAGCAGAATGGAAGTTCAATGGGAAACCCATCGAACCCAACGATAGGGTGGAAATCAAGAATCTGGGCGGTGGTAAGCATCAATTGGTCTTCAACAGTGTGGAGATGATCGATGACGGTGAGATCACCTGCGAGAGCGGACAGCTGAGCAGCAGTTGTAAGCTCACAGTCAAGAAGGGCGAGAGCAAACCAATAGTCGAGGTTCCCGACAAGGTCGAAGGTCCTTGTAGCGCTCCACTTGTGTTCGTTGTTCCTTTCAAGAGTAAGTTGAATTTCTTTTTAAACAATTTATTTGTATTCTCGTGGGGAGCGTTCTGACCATATCTATTCTTACAGTCGAAGGCACGAAACAGAGCCAGGTGGAAGCTAAACTGATGAAAGATGGCAAGCCTCTGCCTTTGAAAGAAGTCGAGGTGGTCGTCGGTGAGGATAAGATCACCTTCAAAATCAAAAAACCGTCTCGCGATCAATCCGGTATATATCAAGTGAAGATCGGCAACAACCAGGGAGAGGAAGTCAAAGATGTAAACATAAACATGCAAGGTAGTATTCTCGAGCTATACAAGTAATCGTCGTTTTTCTGCAAATATTAACCAAGAGATTTTTGGGAACGTTTCTAGACGTGCCATCAGCGCCCACAGACGTCGACGTGAACGAGATCTTCCAGAATTCCTGCGTGGTGTCCTTCAAACCGTCGAAGGACGACGGTGGTTCTCCGATCACGAAATATGTCATTGAACGTTTGGATCTCAGCCTGAAGTCGCAATGGGACAGCGTGGGCGAAGTGATGCCGGGCGAGAAGTGCGTCTACAAAGTCCAAGATCTCATCGCGAAGAAGGAATACAAATTCCGCATAAGGGCGGTGAACAAACTCGGCTCCAGCGAACCGGCGATGTTCGCGAAACCGGTTCTCGCGAAAGACCCGTGGGGTAGGTGACAGAAAAGCAAAGAAATTCTTCTAGAAGATTATATAATTTTTCACGATAAATAATCTTCCTGTTCTTTTCAACAGACGAGCCGGGCAAACCCACGAATGTGGATGTCACCGATTGGGACAAGGATCACGCTGATCTGAAATGGACGAAACCAGAAAATGACGGTGGCGCGCCTATCACCGGTTACATAATCGAGTACAAGGAGAAATTCGGCAAAGAATGGGTGAAGGGCAAGGAGATCGAGGGCGACGTGACCGAAGCGACCATCGACGGTCTGAAAGAGGGCACACAATACGAGTTCAGAATCAGGGCTGTGAACAAAGCGGGACCGGGTGAACCATCCGACGCTACAAAGCCGATCATCGCCAAGAGCCGATTCGTTAAACCGTACATCGTCGGCGATGGCCTGACGAATCTCATCGTGAAGAAGGGACAGGTCATTAAGTACGATATCAAATATGCCGGCGAACCTGAACCGGAAGTGCACTGGTTCCTCGGCGAGAAAGAGCTTGTCCAAGACGCCGCTGAGAGAATCACGATCGACAAATATGAGAGAAATACCGTGCTCACTGTCAGAAAGACCACCAGACCGGATTCAGGAAAATACAAGCTGGTCTTGTCGAACAGCTCTGGAACTTGCGAGAGCATAGCGGATGTCGTTGTACTTGGTACGTTACCGTTTGTCCGTTTGAAAGACAATTTTATTCCTCAAAACATTTTTTTTTAATTTTTAGTAAATAACATTTATTACTTATTAGATTAATATAGTTACATAAGGCCAATGTCCCTATTTCTAATCATTAGACTGCGGATTTTTATGCAAAATGATATTTTTTAAAGTAGTTTTGAAGAACCGCTCAAATCACGTTTCTTTACGACGGACACACTTATTAAATTTATTTCTATTAAAATCCTGTCATCTATTGAATTAATTGAAATAATCTTTTGTATAACTAATTGATTATTGCACTAAATCGAAAATGAACGTACTGAGCAAAAATAGGGACATTGACCTTATCATTGTGTTAACGGAACCGTTTATTCTTTTTTCCCCAGATAAACCATCGAGACCAACAGGACCATTGAAGGTCGAGGAAGTGCGTTCTGATCACGTGAAAGTGAAATGGGTACAGCTTCACCTTTGGTGGTCTGACTCCCAAGAAGAAGTATAAATTCCGTGTGAAGGCCGTGAATAAGGAGGGCGAATCGGAACCACTGGAAGTGGATGAAGCTATCCTTGCCAAGAATCCATATGGTAAATAAATAATCAGTAAACTACCCATAAATAAATAAATAAACTACTCATGCCGTATTTTTAATAAGTAGACTGTGGATTTTTATGTAAAAACAACTAGAAGAGCAATTGTAGAAATTTATTTTCCCTCTTAAGTATGTTATTGCATTCAGAGTGAATTAGTTGGATCTGATGAAAGGTTTGTTTTTTTATTGTATTTCACAGAGCCCTATTGGCTATAAATGCATAAAATCCGCAGTCTATTAATAAGTAATAAAATTTCCATAACAATAGCTCGAATTTATGGTTTTTAATTGTATTTTGTACTTAGACGAGCCTGGTAAACCCGGCAAGCCAGAAATATTCGACTACGACAATGTCAGCGTGTCGTTGAAGTGGCAGAAACCGGAAACCGACGGCGGTAGGCCAATCACGCATTACACTGTCGAAATGAAGGATAAGTTCTCGCCAGATTGGGTCGAGGTTGCGAAAACAGCGGACGCTACAACGGAGGTAAAAGTGGAAGGCCTTAAAGAGAAGATGGTTTATCAGTTCCGAGTACGTGCACACAACAAAGCAGGCCCTGGTGAGCCTAGCGAGCCTACGGACAACCATATTTGCAAGCACAGAAATCGTAAGTATACGCCAAACGTACTATTCCGTGATCAGATAGAGTGGATGTACCAGTGGATGAACACAGCAGTGGAAAAGCAGTGTAGGAGAAGGGCCTTCTATCACTTGGTCTAAAAAATCATTGAAATTTATGTAAAATTAAATCAACTTTAATAATTACTAGACTGCGGTTGTTTATGCACTTACAGGAAGTGTTAACATTCAGTGAAACAAAGATTTTAGTAAAACTTAATGACACTTATATATTACTATCAACGTAATAAGTCATTTACTACAGGAAATTAATTAAAAATTAGTGTCTAAAACTCTGAAATTGCATAAACATCCGCAGCCTAATTATTACAAACTCACTCAAGTGTTCATTTATTGGTGCATGTACCTACGTTAATCTTCTATCATACCGAAATATTTCACGTGACTATATTATATTCCAGTCAAACCGAGAATCGACAGAACCAACTTCAAGTCGGTGATCATCAAGGCTGGTCGCACGCACAAATGGTCCGTGGACATCAGCGGTGAACCACCTCCAGAAGCGAAATGGGTCTGGCGTGATAATATTCCTCTAACAAACACAGAACGCATCAAAATCGAAAATGTCGATTACCATACAGACTTCACGATTGTGAATGCGATGCGCAAAGACACCGGGAAGTACACCCTCATCGCTGAAAATGCCAACGGCAAAGATGAGGAAACAGTGGAACTTACTGTTCTTGGTAAGCTCCCATTATTACCACTGTGATAAGAAGCCCAATATCGAAATTTCTTTGCTTAATTTATTTATTTATAAACGGGTTGGGCCCATTTTTTCTATAAATTGTTTACATAAGCCACATGTCGCAGGATATACAGAGTGATCCACGCAACTTGTTCACCCTGAATAACTTCTATAGTATGCATTGTATGAAAAACTTTTTATAGAAAAATATTATGGTCGGAGGGATATATTATGTAACGTATATATTTTTTTTGTAAGTGGAGGCGTTTCGGAGATTTGATGGTCAACTTCATTTTTTTAGATAGAATGTATACTTGAGAAGTCATTCAAGGTGAACGAGTTGCGTGAACCACCCTGTATAATTAATCTTTACAAGTTGCCTAAATGTCTAATCCGCCTTGGAGAGCTTTCTGTACATTTGATTTAAAAACTGATGTAGAGTCACCAAGGAAATTCATGTTGTTAGAGAATTGTGTTTGTACAATTAATGTTGTTTGATGATGTAATAATGACAAATAATGTTTGTTATCCGACATTCAGGAAAACCAAGCGCTCCAAAGGGCCCCTTGGAAGTGACAGACGTTACCGCCACGTCAGCCAAAGTGAAGTGGGAGAAGCCAGAGGACGATGGCGGTGTCCCGATCAAGGAATACGAAATCGAGAAACTGGACACAAAAACTGGCAAATGGGTTAGAGTGGGGAAGGTACCAGGAAACTCACCGCTGACGGAATTCGATGTGACTGGATTGAATCCTGGCAGCGAGTACAAGTTCCGTGTGACCGCTGTCAACGATGAAGGCGACTCCGAGCCTCTCGAGAGCGAACGCCCGATTATTGCCAAGAATCCATACGGTGGGTCGAGTTATACACGGAGACAATTTGCAAAATTCGGTCAAGCTGCAGAAAAGCTGCCTACCCTCCGATTTCGATAGTTTTTGGATATGTTGTAAAACTCGACATTTTGAACTACTTTTTCCTATTTTACCTTTCCGTTATATGTATGGAAAAAATTGTTCAAAATGTTGAGTTTTGCAACATATCCGAAAATCATCCAAATCGGAGTTTTTCTACAGTTTTACCCAAAATTCAATAAGAGTTTATTGAATTTCGTTCATAATTCACAGATGAACCTCACAAGCCTGGCACGCCGGAGATAACCGATTACGACAACGAGTCTGTGAGCTTGAAATGGACTCCTCCAGATTTCGATGGTGGATCACCGATCGAGAAATATATAATCGAGAAGAAGGATCGTTACAAGCCGGACTGGGAGAAAGCTATCGAAGTACCGGGTAATCAGTTGGAGGCTAAAGTGGCCGATCTGAAGGAACGAGGGGAATATCAATTCAGAGTGATCGCGGTGAACAAAGCCGGCCCGTCTCCGCCGTCGGATGCCTCCAAGATGCAGATATGCAAGCACAAAGCTCGTAAGTATCAATATCCTTAATTTTTTTTCTTACACATCCAGCGGTTCTCTTTTTTGAAAACAATTCATTCGTGTACTATTAATTCTGTAACTTTGTTAACATGTTCAATCACTCTCCGCCAGGACTAAAGAATTCGTTTCTTCGCATCGTCAATAATTTATATAACTTTATCATTTATTTCCACTTTTATGTACGTCGTTCCCTCGTTGTTATAACTATGTACTAAAGGGTATTTATCCCGTTAATAATAATAATAATTATTATTACAGTGAAGCCAAGAATCGATCGGACAAATTTGAAACCCATCACCGTACGAGCGGGTAAATCGATCAAATACGACGTGGATGTGCGTGGCGAACCACCGCCAGAGATTACGTGGTACCACGCTAACGAGGCAATGAAAACGGCTGAGAACATTGAAATCGTAAACGTCGAGTACAACACGAAGCTCAATATCAGCGATTGCGTGCGCAAGAATACTGGCGTGTGGAAGATAAAAGCTGTGAACGCTCACGGTGAAGACGAGGCCGAAGTCGAGATTACCATACTTTGTGAGTGTTTAATTGCATTAAATTTAAGTATTAAATTGACGCTTATCGTCGTGTTTGTGTATTAACAGCGGCTCCTGGAAAACCAAAGGGTCCTCTCAAAGTATCCGACGTCACGAAGAACGGATGCAAGCTGAAATGGGGAAAACCAGAGGACGACGGTGGCAAACCTGTTACCAGTTACCAGGTCGAGAAGCTGGACAAGGCCACTGGAAGATGGGTACCGGTGGGACGTACTTCCGACACCGAAATGGACATTAAAGGTCTCCAGGAAGGTCACGAATATGAGTTCAGGGTGAAGGCCATCAACGAGGAGGGCGAATCTGAACCTCTTGTCACCGATGGCACCACTCTCGCCAAGAATCCTTATGGTAAAATTCCACCATCAATATTTATACTGTATATCTGGACTGCAGAGTTCGGTATATTAAGTCACACTTTTCCAAATTTAGAGGAGAGCAAATGAAAGGTGCGAAAACCTTGTAAGTTCAGAACCGTTTGGTAAGAATTGAGCGAGAAACAATTGCTATCTTCGAACTATTGAATGGACTTAAGACAAGTCCCTATATGTATTGGGTTGGTGGGAAAATTTGTTCGTTTTGTAATATTAAAAAGAAAGCAACAGTTTTGAAATCATAACATGCATTCAACAATCAAATTTCCTACATTATAATTAATCATTAATATATTTCCCTCCATTAAAAATTCAGTCAAAGAGATTAGTAAAAAACTTTACCACCCACTCGATAGAAATGGAGAATTTTGCATTAATTCCCCTATATGATGAACTATACACTGTTTTAAAAATATGAACTTAATATCATTTTTAGACTATTATGTACCTATATTAAAAACTAGACTACTTAAAACGAAATAATTACCATTTGAAAGAGTGAAATATTTGATACAGGAAACATGTAAAATGTTATTTTTTTTTTAAATGGACTTAATACACTCTGGCTTTGGGATTCAGATATGTAATTATATAAATAAATTTTCATAATCAAATAATATTTTTTCAGACGTAACCAGCAAGCCTGGTACGCCAGAATTCGAGGACTGGGACGTGGATCGCGTTGATTTGAAGTGGGAACCACCGAAGGACATGGGTGGCGCACCTATTACTGGTTATATCATTGAAATGAAAGAAAAACCGTCCACCCACTGGCAAGAGGCGCTGGTCACTGAATCGCCTCAGCCAAAGGGTCGTGTCACTGGATTGAAAAAAGGCTCCACGTACCAATTCCGTGTTCGTGCAGTTAATAAGGCTGGACCATCGGAACCAAGCGACCCAACGAAACCGCACATCGCGAAAGCACGATACTGTAAGTGCCTTCTAACATTTATACAGACTTAATTAAAAGTGATGAGTAGACAGCGGATTTTATGCATTTATAGCAGACATAATACTCTAGAATTCACAATACATAAGTGTTTGATGAATTTTAAAGAAATTTTTGTTTTCTTTGGAATCTGGTAAAACAGTAAATAAAGTAAACATATCCTAGTTTGAGTCTAATTTCTGTAAACTTACTATCAAAAATGTATATTTGCATAAAAATCCGCAGTCTAGTGATGAGACAGTTGATGGTACAACCTTGCTATGTTTCCCGTTTTCAGTGAAACCACACATTAACCGTGAGAAGTTGCAACAGATTAAAGTCAGAGCTGGTCAAATGGTGAAATTGGAAGTCGACGTTGAAGGCGAACCGCCTCCAACGATCACTTGGAACTTCGCTGGCGCAGTTCTGCAGACTGGTGCGAACGTTAAGATCGACAACGAAGATTATCTGACAAAGATTCATTTGACAAACACCAGTCGCAAGAACAGCGGAAAATACACGATTAAAGCTGTCAACGATTCGGGTCAAGACGAGGCAGACGTTGACATTATTATTCTGGACAAGCCCGGTAAACCAGAGGGTCCTCTGGAAGTGACGGATGTCCACAAAGAAGGGTGCAAGCTGAAATGGAGCAAACCAAAGGACGACGGTGGTCTGCCTCTGTCCAGCTACATAATCGAAAAAATGGACGTAACCACAGGACGATGGGTGCCTGCCGGTATCGTCGATCCTGACAAAACAGAGCACGCTATTACTGGTCTGGAACCTGGTCATAAGTACGAGTTCCGTGTGAAGGCTGTGAACGAAGAAGGAGAATCGGAACCTCTGCAGACCGATACTGCAATCCTGGCTAAGAATCCGTATGGTATGTCAAGGACATTCAATCGTTTACCGAAAAATCAATTACAAATTTGATATTTTTGTAAATTAATGGGCTTTGTCCCGTGGAAATAAATAAATATTATATGATGAATTTTGTTCCAGATGCTCCTGCCGCCCCTGGCCTTCCGGAGATCATCGACTGGTCCGAGAACATGGTTAAACTTAAGTGGGAACCACCTATAAGAGATGGTGGTGCACCAATTACCGGATACATTATTGAAATGAAAGACAAGTTCGGTACCGCGTTCGTAAAGGCCGCTGAAATCCAAGGTCCTACTTGCACAGGAACAGTTCCACGATTGGAAGAAGGAAATCAATATCAATTCAGGGTCCGAGCTGTCAACAAAGCAGGTCCTGGCGAACCTAGCGAAGCTACGAACCCTCATACGGCCAAGGCTCGTTGGTGTGAGTATATCCTTCCTTTTAGGAAATGTTAAAATTGAATTACATGTTAAACTGGAACTACAAAATATCGAAAATAATAATAATATTAATAAAATAAATATCTAACTGAAATTTTACAGTGAAACCGTTCATCGACCGCACCAATTTGCAACCTGTTACCGTGAAAGTTGGTCTCACGGTGACCTTGGACGTGAACATCATCGGAGAACCGCCTCCAACAGTCACCTGGTCGTTCCAAGGCAGCGAGCTCAAGTCGGACGATACGATACGTATCGACAACATTGACTATAATACCAAATTCTTCATTTTGAAGGCCAAGAGAGCTCATACTGGAAAGTACGTCATTAACGCAAAGAACGAAGTGGGTGAAGACACAGCTGAGGTTGAAATAACCGTCCTCGGTAAACCTAGCAAGCCAAAGGTAGTTTTCTTGGAATATACAGACGTCTATTCACTCCTTCGAAGAAAACTTTGATAATCTCGATACATTTTTATCCTGCAGGGTCCTCTGGAAGTGTTCGACGTCAACAAACATGGTTGCAAGTTGAAATGGGAGAAACCGGAAGACGACGGTGGCGCTCCGGTCGAGTACTACGAAATTGAAAAACTGGATCCTCTTACTGGACAATGGATACCGTGTGGAAAATCCACTGAACCGGAGGCCACGGTAACCGGCCTCCAAGAGGGTAAACCTTACAAATTCCGCGTGAAGGCGGTTAACAGAGAGGGCGAATCCGACGAGCTTGAAGCGGACAAATCTATTATAGCGAAAAATCCATTCGGTACTTTGTCACACATTGTTATTTTACTATATTTCACTAAACAGATTGCCTCTGACTATATTGCCACTAAACATATTGCCACGCGATGTACTTCCCCTCATATCCAGGTTTTGCGCAGACGCTGAGGCTATAACGATAGAACTTACAAGGGGAACTTTACTTACATATATACTAAATACTACAGCCATACGACGTATATTTTTATCGCCAAATAAAAATTTTTACTTTACTTACAAAAAATGTACATTTCCCCTTGTTAGCATGGAGGGGGCTCTGAATTCATTGCAATTTTATTCCCCTACAGCCCCGACCATGGCAATATAGTTAGAGTGGACTGTACGTAAGTAAAATGAATCGAGTAAGCGCTAATAAATGCGATCATTTTGCAGACGAACCCGGCAAGCCTGGTCGTCCAGAAATTAAGAACTGGGACAAGGACTTCGTCGATCTCGAATGGACGCCACCGAAAGACGATGGCGGAGCTCCCATCGAGAAATACATTATACAGATGAGGGACAAGGAAGGAAGACAATGGATAGACGTGGCAAAGGTTGGTGGTGACCGAAACGTCGCTAAAGTTACCGATGGAATCGAAGAGGGTCACGAGTACGAGTTCAGAGTAGTGGCTGTCAACAGAGCCGGACCTGGCGAACCCAGTGACACATCGAGAAGCGTCGTGGCTAAACCCCGCTTCTGTAAGTTCATCTCTAATTAACTCTTCTCATCTGTTAATGTTTCTGTAATTAATCAACGAATGATTTATTTTCCCTCAAAGTGGCGCCACGCATCGACCGTAAGAATCTACAGAAGAAAGTGATGCGAGTGGGACAATTGCTACGCATCGAGGCGGACATACAGGGTGAACCGCCTCCAGTGGTCACATGGAAGCTTAAAGACGCCGTGCTTAAAAGCATGGATCGTCTGAAAATCGAAAACGAAGACTACCATACCACCTTCATTATAACTAAATTACAAAGAATCGATACTGGCACCTACACTGTCATCGCCAAGAACGATAGCGGTACCGATCAAGTAGACCTCGAAATCCAGGTACGCTGGTTAAAATCAAATCTCCGCTGTAATATGTAGACTGCGAATTTTTATGCAAAATGAAATTTTCTAAAGTAATTTGTAAAGACAGGAGCAAATGTAGGGATTTATTTTTTTTTTCAAATAATGAAAGTTCTGTCTTTTATTGTATTTCACATAGACTATAAATGCATAAAATCCGCAGTCTAGTAATATGTAAATAATAAAAGCATAGTTACGCTTCATTGGAAATAATCGTTGCGTTTCTAGGTGTTAAGCAAACCTGGAAAACCGAAAGGACCCCTCGAAGTGTCCGACGTGACTGCAGAGGGCTGCAAGCTCAAGTGGGACAAACCGGACGACGATGGTGGCGAACCAGTTGATCATTACGTTATCGAACGAATGGACGTCGACACTGGCAGATGGGTACCTTGTGCCACCAGCAAAACTCCGGAAGCGGATGTCACTGGCCTGAACGAAGGCAAAGACTATATGTTCCGTGTGAAGGCCGTTAATTCCGAAGGTGAATCCGAACCACTGGAGACGGCAATTCCAACCACAGCGAAGAATCCTTACAGTGAGTAAAATTTCTGTTAATTTGACATTTGTTTTTGTACCCAGTGCCGGCGCCAGATCATAGATACATAGATTATGATATTAAAATTTTATTTTTCTTGCCTTTTTCCTCGCAAAATTTTTTACTGGTTCCTTCAAATCAAGTGTTGAAGCTTGGTCATACGTATATTTTTATTATTATATCTGTTGCACCGTCCAATAAGACCGGCTGAACTTTCGCGCCTTCTCATGGTTTACGCCCCAGGCGATTGTCCAGAACGCCTTAACCCCTCGCCCTATGATTTTCTTGATGTCTGCAGTTTCCAAAATTACTTTGTCATCAATAAGTCCCCAGAAGCAAAAAGAATTCGTGTACTTATCGCAATTTTACATTTACTCTAAAAGTTAAATATCAATTTCAGCAAACTAGTATTTTAGTTTGACTCAAGGAAAATGAATAATATTTCTGTTTGTTGAATCCATTTTGATATTCTCACCGCATGTCTTATATAAGGCAAGGGGTTAATGGTAGTGCCCTGCTTGTGCCCCAATGTTTAAACTCTTATTTATTTAACATTCCAGCCGAGCCCGATGCGCCAGGCAAGCCAGACCTCAAAGACTGGTCGAAGCACCATGTAGACCTGAAATGGAAAGCTCCAAAGAACGATGGCGGAGCACCGATCGAGAAGTACATTATCGAGAAGAAAGATCAGTACGGTAAATGGCAGAAAGCTGCCGAAGTGCCTGGAAACAAGACCGATGGTCGCGTCGAGGACCTGATAGAGGGACAAAAGTATCAATTCCGCGTGAGGGCGGTGAACAAGGGTGGCCAGAGCAAACCCAGCGAAGCCAGCGACAGCCTGATAGCCAAGGACCGTTACGCTGCGCCGAGGATCGATCGCACGAACTTGAAGGACCTGACGATCAAAGCTGGCAATCACATTCGCCTGGACGTCAAAGTGACCGGAGAACCACCTCCAACGAAGACGTGGTACCTGAACAAGGCCAAACAAGAATCCGCTGGCCTGTTGACGATCGAGCTGGAAGATTACAGGACGAAATTTATCGTACTCGCGGCAAGCAGATCTCACTGCGGCACGTTGACCTTGAAAGCGGAGAACAGCTCCGGAAAGGACGAGGCTTCGATCGAAATTCTAGTCCTGGACAAACCTGGCAAACCGGAAGGTCCTCTAAAGGTATCCGACGTCCACAAAGAGGGATGCACGTTGAAATGGAACCCGCCGCTGGACGACGGCGGCACGCCGTTGGATCATTACGTGGTCGAGAAAATGGATACGGAAACAGGACGATGGATCCCGGTGGGACGCACGAAAGAACCCAATATGGTCGTAGAGAATCTGGTACCTGGCCAGGAGTACAAGTTCCGTGTTGCAGCCGTGAACGCGGAGGGTGAATCGGAACCATTGGAAACGGATCATGGAATAGTGGCCAAGAATCCATTCGGTTAGCGTGACGTCCGTTATTCTTGCAAGGGGAAGGCACGGTTGTGGAAATCGCTTTTGGAACGACACTATGTGGAAGTTATAGTACACATATACTATTACAAAAGTTTGCATGTAACCAAACAACTTGACACATGCGAAACTTTAAACCAAAATATCTCGAAAACTAAGGCCCATTCTGAAGAAACCTATCAGGGTTTTGTAATACTATAAGTATACTATAACTTCCACATAGTGCAGTGCCTTCCCCTTGGTAGATGAAATGTAAGACGTAATCAGTAATTAATAAATTTTCTATCTATATTACAGACGAACCAGGACCACCTGGTCGCCCAGAAGCAACGGATTGGGACAAGGATCACATAGACCTAAGATGGACTCCACCCTTGAAAGATGGTGGATCTCCAATCACCGGATACATAATCGAGAAACGCGAAAAAGACAGTCCACGTTGGGTAAAGGCTCTCGAAACCGGGCCCGACTGCAAGGGTCGCGTCGATAATCTCGACGAAGGCGTCGAATACGAGTTCCGCGTGAAGGCCATTAACGCCGCTGGCCCTGGCGAACCGTCAGACACCAGCAAACCGATCACGGCCAAATGTAGACGACGTAAGAATCTTCTCAGTTACATTTTTGTTTTTTTTTTTTTGGTGCACAATTTCGCATTTTGTTCAAATTTGAATATGTTCAAAAAGTGTCCCATTTCGCGTGGAATGGCCGGGATTCATTTGCATTTTTTCTGTTATTCCATTCATATGACGTTATGTTTCATCCAACAGTTGCGCCGAAGATCGACCGCAAAAACTTGCGCGACATCACGGTACGGGAGCACGAAGGATTCCACTTCGATGTTAAAATCATCGGTGAGCCACCGCCAGACGTGACCTGGCTCATCAACAACAAGAGCATTCAGGTGACCACCTATCGTCGTATACAGGACGTTCCGTACAACAGCAAGTTCTTCAACGACAAGCCTGAACGGAAGGATAGTGGTATATACAAAATCACGGCCGTTAACCAGCACGGGTCTGATACCGCCGAGGTGGAAGTGACCGTTGTCTGTAAGTGTTCGTCGATTGTATTTCGAGTACAGTAAATCCTTGATGAATGTTCGAAAGCTCCTCGACACTTTTTAGTCTTTATAGAGCTTGGAATTCTGAAGCCAATGATATTTCTCTCAGTTGTATATGGCCACTAGATATTGAAATATTTCATTTTTAGTGCCGAGGAGCCGTTGAACACTTATCGAGGATTTACTGTAATCCGTCTATTTTTAAGGATACAGTTCGAAAGTTTCTATATTCTTTACAGCTAAACCTGGCAAACCCGAGGGACCGCTCGAGGTGTCTGATATCCACAAAGAGGGATGCACGCTCAAGTGGAAGAAGCCGAAAGACGATGGCGGCGAGCCAATCGAGGGATACCTCGTGGAGAAGTTCGATCCAGACACTGGCGTATGGTTGCCAGTCGGCAAGACAATGGGACCAGAGATGAAGGTGGACGGACTGACACCTGGACACGAGTATAAGTTCAGGGTGAAAGCGCTCAACAAGGAAGGAGAGTCGGAACCACTGGAGACTTTCAGCTCGATTATAGCCAAAGATCCATTCAGTACGTACTCGTTGTGACGAAGTTAAACTCTAAAGCAGGGACTTAAACTGGTATGATTTTGATGCCGGTATTATGCCATTAAAGCTATACCGAAACCGATATATTACCGAAAACCGAAATAAATACCGTGTTTTTTCGGTTTCTGTAAGGGTAGGGCTTATGTAGAGTTATATAGGGCGAAGGTACACTAACGTGCAAACTCGGCTTCTTCTAGGGGAAAAAGGCCTCCTACCGTTTGATAAATTTATTTCAAATACTGAAATAAATGTTAAACCAAATGTTAATTTGGCAGAAATTTCAATAATTTCCGATACCTAATTGTAGGAGGTCTTTCCCCTACGCCACTTTTCCTTTAGTGGAAACCAAGTTTGCCCGTGGGTTTACAACCGAAAATACCGGTATAATACCGATATTATACGTTTCGGTAGCAGTACCTGCTCTAAAGTTCTCAAAACACATGTGTATTTACAAACGAATCTATTCATTTAGCTGTCCCAAGCCCTCCGGGAGCACCGGAACCGGTTGACTGGACCGCCAACCAGGTGGAGCTCACCTGGAAGGAACCAGTCAGCGACGGAGGATCGCCAATTACCGGATACATCGTCGAAAAGAAAGACAAATACAGCACAATGTGGGAGAAAGCTCTGGAAACCGAGACGCCAAACACAAAGGCTCTGGTCCACGGTCTCATCGAGGGCAATGATTACTTGTTCCGTGTGATCGCTGTGAACAAAGCCGGCCAATCGGAGCCTGGCGACGCCAGCAAGACGTTCACGGCGAAACCACGATTTTGTAAGTAGTTCAAGCGAATCATTAGGTGACACTGTTGAAGAAATTTTAACTTTTTTTTCGTATTATGTACCAAACATAATAATTGTTGTAGTATTACCATCCTTCGAGCTTCTTTTTCGTTTCAAATTTCAATTACTTATTCTAAAACTAACAAGTTGATATTTTTGTAATATCGCTATATATATTCTATTGAAAACAAAACTGATTTCGTAACTTTCAGGGATACTTTCCTCAGCAGAAATGTCTGCTCTATCGCCTGTTATGGTTAGATTTTTCCCTAGACCATTAATTTTTTAAATAAATTGACGAATATCAGCAACAGTAGGTGCATTTTCGGTGCCCTTTTCACTTTGAACATTATTTAAACATATTTAGAAGTCTATAATATAACAACAATTTATATAATTTAAAACTAACTACCACTACAAAAGCATGACACAGCACCACAGTTGAAAATTTGTAATTTTCTTAAAAACTGATGTTTTCAATAACCGGACGTATTAGGAAGAAACAATTTTTAAATTCATATTCAGCCCATAAAGATCTATCAGAAACGCCTATTGAAAATTGCAAATTTTGTGTCGAACAGTTGGGCAAAGCACGCTACAGAAGACGGTAATAGAAACAAGTTTAACGTTAAACGACTATATCGAACAACAAAGCAGTTTAATTATTAACTGATCGCTTGGCGGTGATCCAACTTTTTTCATTATCATGTTGTATCCCTGACACGAATACACGGCACATAGTTTGTACAACCATTTTGACAACAGTATCGCACCAAAGTCTCTATAAATAATCGGTATAAATAATTTGGCAGTTATGAATCGTTCGCATCACTTATAAATCACATTGTTTCAGTGGCACCCAAGATCGATCGACGCAATCTACGGGATGTCACTCTGTCCGCCGGTTCATTGCTGAGATTCGACGCAAATGTGATCGGTGAACCACCACCACACATTGAGTGGCGATACGGGGCGATTCCACTGCATTCTGACAGAAAGGTGCAGATCGACAACTCGGAGTACAGCACAAAGTTCAGTATCCGTCCTGTGTCCCGCGACGATAGCGGCGACTATACCGTCTCAGCAAGCAATTCCTCCGGAAGGGACGCCGTCACGGTACAGGTCACGGTCACAGACAAACCGATGCCGCCGGAAGGACCACTTCAAGTCAGCGACGTTCACAAGGAGGGATGCAAGCTGAAATGGAAGAGGCCGAAAGACGACGGTGGCACCCCGATCGAGTACTACCAGGTGGATAAAATGGACCCGGAGACCGGATGCTGGGTACCTTGCGGTCGATCCACCGAGCCAAGTAAGTCAAGTGTCACGTTTTTGACTGACAATAGCGCATCAGAAAAACATATAGGTTAATTAATAATTATACTCCTGTGTTTCTTCAGGTTTGGAGGTGAACGGATTGACACCAGGCAAAGAGTATTTGTTCCGTGTCAGTGCAGTGAACGCTGAAGGAGAATCTAAGCCTCTAGAAGCGGAACAGGCTATTTTAGCCAAGAATCCATTTGGTAAGTAAATTGAATTTCAAATTGAGTAGGGTAAAAGACCCGATTATTGCCACCTACTGAATTACTGACACCTAGACTGTTTTACCTGAAATAACAAATAAACGTTGCGAAATTGTACATAAAGAACATTCTATGTACAACTAAAAATGTAATTCATACGATAGAAAAAGCAGCAGTTATTTTCCTTTTTTCCGTTAATTTGTGTGAAATGATAAACAATTTTTAGTCGATTGGATGAGTAGAAACGACAACTTGCTATCTCGGTTATGTTTCTGGTCAACTGATACAGAAATTATGCAATAAGTGTCAGTAATGGGATCTTTTATCCTATGTAACAACTAGACTACGGATTTCATACATTTATAGACTTTAAAGCTCTGCGAAATACAATAAAAGACCAAATTTTCATCAAATGCAACGACTGTCCTATTCCATTCTTAACTCAATAACATACTCAAGAGAAGATAGAAAATCCTTCGTTTGTTCTTGCATTCAAGAATCACTTTATAAAATATTATTTTACATAAAAATCAGCAGTCCAGTAATAACCAAAAGGTAGACATGATAATACACGTTACACGTCGCATTGGAAACTTTCAGACGAGCCAGGTAAACCGGGTGATCTCCGAGCGACCGACTGGGACAAGGATCACGTCGATCTCGCATGGACACCTCCAACAAACGACGGCGGATCACCTATCACCGGCTACATAATCGAGAAGAAAGACAAATACGGCGAATGGGAGAAAGCATTGGAAGTGCCCGCTGACGAGACAAGCGCAACCGTCCCTGACTTGATCGAAGGCCAGCCGTACGAGTTCCGTGTACGTGCCGTAAACAAAGCTGGCCCCGGCGAGCCATCGGACGCGACGCCAACAATCATTGCGAAACCGCGAAACCAGGCGCCGAAGATCGATCGTACGAATCTGGTGGAGGTCAGAATCAAAGCCGGTCAGAACTTCAGCTTCGACGTGAAGGTAACCGGTGAACCTCCACCGATCACGAAATGGTCGTTGAACAAGCGAGAGGTCAGACCCACCGAGCGAATCAAGGTGAAACACGTGGACTACAATACCACGCTGAGTGTCCGAATGGCCACCAGAGAGGACTCCGGCAAATACGTGATCACTGCCGAGAATATAAACGGTATGGACGAGGCTGTGGTCAAGGTGACGGTTCTGGACAGGCCGAGCCCACCTCAGGGACCGCTCAGAGCTTCCGACGTTCACGCCGAGGGATGCAAGCTGACCTGGAAACCACCGGAAGACGACGGTGGTCAACCGGTTGAAAAATATGTCGTCGAAAAGATGGACGAGGCGACTGGTCGCTGGGTACCGGCAGGCGAAACCGACGGACCCGAAACAGCGCTGCAAGTTGAAGGACTTACACCTGGACACAAGTACAAATTCAGAGTTCGCGCGGTCAACAAGCATGGCAAGTCGGAGCCACTGGCGTGCATGCAAACCGTCGAAGCAAAGAATCCGTTCGGTGAGTAAAGTATTCGTACTTCCGGCCCGATCGTGATTGTTCATCGGAAAACTGAATAACCGAGATTTATTATTTATTTATTTATTCATAAACGGGATGGCCCCAGTTTTTCTATAAATTGTTTACATAAGCCACATGTCGCAGGATATACAGGGTGGTCCGCGCAACTTGTACACCCTGAATAACATCTAAAAATTTTGTATAGAAAAGTTGTATAGTTTGGAGGGATACATTATGTAATGCATATATCTTTTTGTAAGTGGACGCGTCTCGAAGATTTGAATGTCAACTTTCAAATGAAATGCTATATTTTTTATGCCAAAATATCGAAGTTGACCTTCAAATCGCCGAAACGCCTCCACTTACAAAAAAATATATGCATTATATAATATATCCCTGCACATCATACAACTTTTCTATTAAAAGTTTTTTCATGTAATGCATACTTCTATGTTCTAAAGTCGTAATATTTAGTGAACGTATAATATCAGTGTAGTCATGATTGGTGGACATCGGCTCACCGTGTTTATAGGCAGCGTACCTAAGAAATTTGTGCTGATCAGCCTCTAACCGTCTTTTATGGCTATCATAACATGATTGTTGTTAACTGTTACTCGCAGACGAACCAGGAAAGCCTGGCACACCGACCGTCAGCGACTACGACTCGGACTTCGTGGAACTGCAATGGGATCGTCCACAAGAAGACGGTGGATCCCCCATTACCGGCTACGTCATCGAGAAACGGGACAAGTACAGCCCAACGTGGGAGAAATGTGCTGAAGTGGAAGGCGATGTGAATCGCGGCAAAGTGAACGATCTTATCGAAGGTACTCAATACGAGTTCCGCGTTAGGGCGGTTAACAAAGCTGGACCTGGTGAACCGTCGGATGCTTCCAAATCTCATCTGGCGCGACCCAAGAACCGTAAGTATTCTCCTTTGTGCTCTGTATCTACTAGGGACTTAAACCGGTATGATTTTGATACCGGTATTTGCCATCAAAGGTATACCGAAACCGATATATTACCGAAAACTGAAATAAATACTGGTATTTTTGCGGTTTCTATATGGGCAGGGCTTATACAGGGTTATACTAGTGTAGTAGTAAACTAAAAGTTATACTAATAGTTATAGTATAGTATAGCAATAGTGTAGTAATAGTTATATTAGTATAGGTCGAAGGTACAACCCTTACAACCGAAAATACTGGTATAATACCGATATTTTACGTTTCGGTAGAAGTTCCTGGTATCTCCTCGTGTATTTCAATGTAGTTTATCTCTACTGATTTATTTATTTATTATTTATTATTTTATTATTTTTCCATTGATTGTTCGTAAACATTATTTACAGTCCCGCCAAGGATCGACAGGAAGTACATGTTGGACGTGAAAGTGAAAGCAGGCGGCTTCTACGACTTCGACGTCCCAGTGATCGGAGAACCACCTCCAACCAAGACCTGGACATTGAAGGGCACGCCAGTCATCGGGGACGACCGTATCAAGATCGTAAACGAAGACTACAACACGAAGGTCCGCGTGATCGAAGCCAGGCGTTCCGATTCCGGTGTGTACACCCTGGAAGCCAAGAACATTAACGGCAGGGACGCGGCAACGCTGAACGTGAACGTCCTAGACGTGCCAGCTCCGCCGGAGGGACCTCTGAAGATCGACAACGTGACCAAGAACGGTTGCAACCTCAAGTGGCGACCGCCGAAAGACGACGGTGGCTCGGAAATACAGTATTACCAGGTCGAGAAAATGGACACGGAGAACATGCGATGGGTGCCAGTTGCCGAAGCATCCTCGACTTCCGCCCACGTGGATCACCTGATCGAGGGACACGATTACCAGTTCAGGGTACGTGCCGTGAACAAGCAAGGTGAATCGATGCCACTCACTGGCATGGACACGATCACCGCCAAAGATCCGTATGATAAACCGGACAAGCCTGGAGCACCGGTCGCCACCGACTGGGACAAAGACCACGTCGATTTGGAATGGGCACCGCCTAAGAAGGACGGTGGATCGCCCATTACTGGATACATCATCGAAAAACGACCTCGATTCGGATCCTGGGAGAAGGCCGCGGAGATCGACGGCAACAAAACCAGCGGCAGGGTTCCTGATTTAGTGGAAGGACAGGAATACGAGTTCAGAGTGATCGCCGTTAATAAGGCTGGTCCTGGAGAACCGTCGGAAGCTTCCTCTCCGATCGTTGCTAAACCACGCTTCCGTAAGTAAAATACTACCTGGGTTTTGTTCACCTGAAAAAATGTTAGTGGCCATAGTAATTAATAATCAGAAGTTTAGAATTTAAATTAAATTCGCCGAGGAAGCGAAAAATTAAATTATTTAAATCTAATTAAATCTTTATATAATCTAATTAAGTTAAGCCGAGGAGCTTTTTAACACTCACCAAGAATTTACTGTAGTTGAAAAATTCATATTTTGTTATTTACGTCATGTTTCGAAAAATGTCTTCGAGATTTATTAATATCTGGTTTCCATTTAAATAAAAATTACTTTTCACTCAATGATCTTTTTCCAAAAAATATTTAAAATAACTGTTATTTTTGATCTCTTAATTACTAATTAATAATATCTCTTTCGTTACAGTTGCCCCATCTTTCGACCCGCATTGTTTGAGCGACATAGTTGTAAAAGCTGGACAAAAGATCAGCTTCATCATTCCCATCCAGGCGTCTCCTAAACCTATGGCCACGTGGACCTTGGAGGGAGCGGTGATCATGGCTGATTCTCGCCATGAAATGTACACTACAAATACCGAGACAACATTCGAGATTCCATTCTCTGTTCGTTCCGACACAGGTCGATATGCATTGACGTTGCAGAACGAACACGGTAAATTCAGCTCGAGCGCGAGGGTCACGGTCCTCGACAGACCGTCACCGCCACAGAAACCACTCGAGATCAGTAACATCACCAAGGAAGGTTGCCACTTGGCTTGGGGTCATCCATTGGACGACGGAGGCAGCCCGATTTTGCACTATGTTGTCGAAAAGATGGACTTGTCTCGTGGCACCTGGTCCGACGCTGGCATGAGCATGATATTAAGCCACGAAGTTGCTAGATTGACGCATCGTAAGGAATACTTGTTCCGTGTGAAAGCCGTCAATACCATCGGCGAGTCTGATCCGCTCGAGGCGCCCAAGAGTATCGTAGCTAAGAATGAATTCGGTTCGTTTCCAGACTATCAAGTACAGTGGACTCTAACTATATTGCTACTAAACATATTTCCACGCGAGGCACTTCCCCTTCACACGTACTTTGGAAATTCCACGTTAAAAGATTAGAAATGAAGAAGTACATTTTTTATCTTTTATTCCTTATTCGAAACTGTTTATTAGAAAAATCTCAGGTACCACAGACAGTAGTATAACCAAATGAAAAAAAAAATGCCATTTTACTCCCCTACAGTCCCGACCATGGCAATATAATTAGGGTCCACTATATTGTAAACTATCTTGTTGTATTCAAATTACCTATTGTAACTATTTAATTCGTTCAGATGAACCTGATGCCCCTGGAAGACCACAGATCACAGACTGGGACCGAGACCACGTCGACCTGCAGTGGCCAGCGCCAAGCAACGACGGTGGATCTCCACTTACAGGATACATTATTCAGAAGAAAGAGAAAGGTAGCCCTTACTGGGTGAATGCAGTCCACGTACCTCCGAATCAGACGAACACCACCGTGCCCGATCTGACGGAGGGACAAGAATACGAGTTCCGTGTGATCGCGGTGAACGCTGCTGGACAATCCGAACCGTCTGAGCCTAGCGACCTCGTCACCGCTAAACCCCGCTACCGTGAGTGTTACGAAAGGATAAAATAATTCGCGATTCACAGAAATTTAATCGAGCGTTTCGTTAATTATAAAAGAAATAATAATATTAAATATTAAATATTATATATTAATTGTAAAATGTGTTCGACGTTTCAGTTGCTCCAAAGATCAAAACACCTCTGCAAGATATTCGCATCAAGGCTGGTCTTATCTTCCACGTCGACATCGACTTCGTCGGTGAACCGACACCGGAAGTTACATGGACCGTTGGAAGCAAAGAGCTGGAAACCACCGACAGAACAACCGTCACATCGATTGGTTATCACACTATCGTTCACACAGTGAACGCAAAGAGGTCCGATTCCGGATTGTATCACTTATTGTTGAAAAACAGCAGCGGCATAGACGAGGGTAGCTTCCAGGTGATCGTTCTCGACCGACCGGGACCACCGGAAGCTCCTCTGGAGTACGAAGAAATCACCAGCCAGTCGGTGACGCTGTCCTGGAAACCACCGAAAGACAACGGCGGTAGCGAAATCACGTGAGTAAAAATAACGTTGGAATATTTATGTACATTACACAGCTTGTGGCAGAGAAGATAATAAAATGAAACGTTAATTTTTTTCCAGTGGATACGTGATCGAGAAACGTGACTTGACCCACGGTGGCGGTTGGGTTCCAGCGGTAACTCACGTCAATCCGAAGTACAATCATGCCACGGTACCAAGATTGCTCGAAGGTACCACGTACGAATTCCGAGTAAGCGCTGAGAACCTTCAAGGACGTTCCGAGCCTTTGACCACCGACCATTCGATCGTCGCCAAGAATCAATTCGGTAATTTTCTGCTCCATAATAATCTACTGTTACGATATACACGCAAATTTCCATTCTTTACATGCTAAATTCTGTTCGCGTAGTTGCACCTGGACAGCCTGGCAAGCCAGAATGCGTCGAAGCCGACAAGGATCACATCAAGATCAAATGGACCGCGCCGATTAGTAACGGTGGATCGAAGATTATCGGTTACGACGTGGAGCGCCGCGACAGAGCAACCGGTCGCTGGCTAAAGATGAACAAAGAACCCGTGAAATACGCGGAATTCTACGACGACCATGTAACCGAGGGCCACGCTTACGAATACCGTGTGACGGCCATAAACGCCGCTGGATCTGGCAAGCCTAGCGACACATCGGCTGTCTTTATCGCGAAACCGATGAAAGAGAAACCGAAATTGAATCTCGACGCGCTTATCGGACGCAAGATCAAGGTCCGTGCCGGAGAACCGATCAACGTGAACATTCCACTGTCCGGCGCGCCTACACCCACCATCGAATGGACCAAGGATGCAAGGCCTCTGCTAGAAACTCTTCGAATATCGGTAAGGAAAGAGCTTAATTCCATCCACGCAAGTTCTGTACCGTGCGAAAATTATAAATAAGTTTCCTTAATTCCAAATATGGATAACCATTTTACTTTCAGACCGAAACGAAGAGCGATCGCACCAACCTGTCGATCGAGAAATCGGTCCGGGAGGATGGCGGATTCTACACGGTCACGGCATGGAACGAGCACGGAAAAGACTCGGCAGAGATCGAGGTGATCGTTGTCGACAGACCTGGTCCACCTCAAGGTCCTCTACAGTACACCGGAACTACCCAAGAAAGCGTGTCCCTGTCCTGGAACAAACCTCTGGACGACGGTGGTTCCGATATCACGAACTACATCGTCGAGGTATCCGACTACGGAGCCGATAATTGGCGACAGACACCTGGATATTGTCCGCGTACCAGCTACACCGCCAAAGGACTCACCGAAGGCAAGAAGTATATCTTCCGTGTTCGAGCGGAGAATATGTACGGTGTGTCGGAACCGTTGGAGGGTAAGCCAGTTATCGCGAAGAGTCCATACGACCCACCGGATGCGCCCAGTCAGCCGGAAATCCTTGGATATACTCCAAACAGTTGCAGTCTTTTCTGGAATCCACCGCTCAATACTGGTGGCAAGCCTATTACTGGTGAGAAATCGCGTTTCAAATTCTACACAGAACCTCAAATCGCGAAAAGTGTTGTGACGGCGATTTTTAACAATTTCCCAGGTTACTATGTGGAGAGACGCGAGCGCGGAGGCGAATGGCTCAAGGTCAACAATTATCCAACGCCAAACACAACCTTCACGGTACAAGATCTTCACGAGGGAACCAAATACGAATTTAGAGTTATCGCTGTTAACGAAGCTGGACCTGGTAAACCCAGCAAGCCCACCGAACCAATTACTGCTGGACACCAGCGATGTAAGAACCAAAATACTAACTTTCATCTCTTATTCTTTTTTTTTTCGCCAGGAATTCATCGAGTAATCAACTGTTATTTTCTTTCAGTGCGTCCTGATCCTCCAGAACCACCGAAACCGGACAGAATCACAAAGGATTCGGTAACACTAAGCTGGCGTCCTCCGCGCAGCGACGGTGGCGCCAAGATCAGAGGTTATATCGTTCAAATAAAGAAGAGAGGACAAGATGAATGGGACGAAGTTAACGGTGCCCTGATACCAACGAATGTCTACACGGTGCCGAAACTGACGGAGGGCGAGGAATACCTCTTCAGGGTGATCGCCGTGAACGATGTCGGCAACAGCGATCCAAGCAAACAGAGTAATCCAATCGTCATCGAGGAACAGCCAAACAAACCGGTCATGGATCTGGGTGGTGTTCGCGATATCACCGTTCGTGCTGGCGAGGACTTCTCCATTCACGTGCCGTACATCGGCTTCCCGAAACCTACTGCCACTTGGTTCGCCAACGATGTGGTCAAGGACGACACTGACCATCGCGTGCATCAACAATTGGGCGATGACTATGCCAGGTATATTCAGAAACTTGCAGAACACTAATTCCTGGATCATTCCACGGGAAGTCCAACACTTTTGGACCATCATTTCAGATTTTGTTCAAATTTGGATATATATTGGCGATATGTAAATGTATCTCGAAGGATTTTTGAAAATTTGAAAAATTGTTGATTTTACAGTTGTTTGAAATTTAGGGTCAAGTTTTTTTCAATAAATCATAACTATTGAACTAACAAGCTGATCAAAATAAACTTTGCGGGTGCTTACAGTGGAGTCATAACAGTACCTAATCAAAAGTATTTCAGTTAGAAGAAAATATTTTTTAACCATTTATTTTGTAATTGTTTGAAATAAATGCAACTTTATAATAGTAGGGCTCAATTGAAACATTTGAAAAAAATGAGGAGGTAGTCCTAATTCTCCTCTTTATGGACAAATTAAAACAAAATGAGGGGACTGTAAAATTGACCAAATTTGAACAAAATCGAAATGGTGCTCCAAAAAGTGTCTGATTTCCCGTGAAATGGCCCTCCTATGTATTATTTAGGCAGAACAGTGTATACTAAACAGTTAAATAATTGTTCGTTTGTAGTCTGGTTGTGAAGAATTCCAAACGATCAGACGGTGGAGTGTACAGACTCCAGTTGCGCAATTCATCTGGCTTCGATACGGCTACGGTGAACGTTAAAGTTCTCGACAGACCGAATCCACCTGAGAATCTACACGCCGACGAATTCGGTGGAGATGCTCTCACATTGTTCTGGAACCCACCGAAGGATAATGGCGGCGCTGATATCACCAACTATGTCGTCGAGAAGCGAGAGCCAAAGGGTACCTGGTCGAAGGTTTGTGACACGATACCTATGTTCTTCTACACATCCAGACAGCACATGATGCCTTGAAGACTGCTCGAAGATGCCTTAGACCTAAAATAGCCGTAAAATGGACGTCTCCAAGGCGTCGTGTGTTATCTACACAGTAAAATGTTCCATCACAAATCTTCGACGATTTTTCATACCGATCTAATCAACAGGTGAGCAGCTACATCACAACGCCATTCGTTCGAGTACGAAACCTGACCGTTGGAAGCGTCTACGAATTCCGCGTGATGGCCGAGAATCAATACGGCACTTCGGACCCAGTGACAACGATGGATCCGATCAAGGCCAGACATCCGTTCGACCCACCGGGTGCACCTGGAACGCCCAGAGGCGTTGAAACAACGGAAGACAGCATAACGATCACCTGGACCAAACCTCGCCACGATGGAGGATCTCCAATTCTTGGATATGTTATCGAAAAACGTCTATTAAGCGAGGACAAATGGACGAAAGCCACACCGTCTCTCGTTCACGAGACTACTTACAGGGTAACAGGACTGATCGAGAACCACGACTACGAATTCCGTGTGGCTGCCGAGAACGCAGCCGGTCGTGGACCGTATAGCTCGAACTCTGAGGTGATCAGAGCCAGCGCACCACCATGTAAGTATCTGCGAAGTAGTGGCAATATTTTCTATCGATATTTAATGTGGTGATATATTCCATTATCGGTACTTAACCTATAAATATCGAAAGATACAATTCAAATATATCGCCATCACTTCTGCAAAGCCTGATTAATCCTTTAATCGGTCAAAGAACGACCCTTGATTCTAACGATCGTATAAATTGTTTCCAGTCCCACCAAGGATCACGTCCGACTTGAGTATTCGCGACATGACGGTAATCGCCGGAGAACCGTTCACTATAACCGTTCCGTACACGGCGAATCCAAAACCAAGACCAAGCTGGTCCATCAACGGCGAGGAAGTACTCACAGGAGATAGGATCAAGTTCGACACCACTGACATTGCCTCGCAATTCATCAATAAGAAGGCTAAACGATCAGACACTGGAACTTATACTATCTATCTCACGAACACTGTCGGCACAGACTCTGCCTCCTGCAAAGTGCTCGTTGTCGGTGAGTCTTTGTCGTCGAACAGCCATGGAAATGACTGCAACAATCTTTTCGTTTCCACCAACTCTACAACGTAATTAAATTTCCAGACAAACCATCTCCGCCTCAAGCCCCATTGGACATTTCGGATATTACTCCGGAAACTTGCGCACTGTCCTGGAAACCTCCCTTCGACGATGGTGGTTCACCTGTTACGAACTACGTCGTCGAGAAACTGGATCCGGCTGGTGTAAGTTTTCCGATCGCTATATAGGGTGTCCTGAAATAGCTTCGACTCCCGGAAATTAAGGGTTTCTGTGACGATTTGAAATAACTTTTCCCTTAGCAAAAATGTTATCCGGGGCTTCGTTAATATCCCGTTAACAAAGCATCGAATAACATTTTTACTAAGGAAAAAGTTGTTTCAAATCAACCCAGAAACCCCTCATTTCCAGGAGTCGAACATATTTTGGGACACCCTGTATTATCAGTACGAATAATAACGATCATCGAAGAATCGGTGTTCAACGTTCCGAATAATTTTCCAGTACTGGGTGAAGCTGAGCAGCTTCGTAAGAAACACGCATTACGACGTGATCGGTCTGGAACCGAACCGGCAGTACAACTTCCGCATACGCGCGGAGAACCAGTACGGAGTATCGGAACCGCTACAGGCGGATGAACCAATCACTGCTAAGTTCCCGTTCACGGTGCCCGATCCACCTGGACAGCCACGTGTTATCGACTGGGACACCTCGAATGCGACTGTGGTCTGGACACGACCAATATCGGACGGTGGTTCTCGAGTCCAGGTGTGTAAATCGCGTGTAAATAACGAGATAATCGATTTCAATCAACCCTTTGCATTTGCAATTTCCTGATTCCCCATACATTTTGTCACGTCAGAGGTGACTTGGTTTGAAGTAGCTAAAAGGCGAACGCCTTAAGATGGTTCGTACTAAATTCGAAGCACTAGATAATTAAATAAAATTCATACAGATTGGTTATTCGAATGAAATATACACAAAAAAAATTGAGACTCGGTCGCCGATCAAATTAATAAGAAAAAGCTTGTCAAAAATTGAGTTTTCAACACAGCTTTTATGGCAGTCTTACGATTTCTTACCGGAAGTATAATCTTTTCTCTTATGGCAGTCTTACGATTTCTTACCGGAAGTATAATCTTTTCTATTCACAAAAATTAGAACTGTTGAGTTTTCAACACAGCTTTTATGGCAGTCTTACGATTTCTTACCGGAAGTATAATCTTTCTAACTAAAAACTAGGTATCTCATTATATCTCACTTGATGGATATTGTATTAGTGTGCCGTAACGTTTTAAATCATATATTATAAAAATCGGTTTTCACCCGTGTGAATAAAATGAAATTAAATTAAATATTGTCGTGTCTTCTTCAGGGTTACAAGATCGAATTCCGCGATCCTGCGGACGATGCCCAATGGAGAGTGGCGAACGACTATCTCGTCAAGGACACAACATACATTTGCTACAATCTGCTCAGTGGCCACGAATACGAGTTTAGAATCCGAGCGAAGAACGCGGCTGGCTTCAGTAGACCGAGTCCACCCTCGGCACCGTTCAAACTCAAGAGCAAATTCAATGTGCCCTCGCAACCAGGCACCCCACAAGTGGTCAAGGTCGGTAAGAACTACGTCGACCTCAAATGGGAGGCTCCGATCTCCGACGGCGGCAGCCGTATCACCGGTTACATCATCGAGAAACGGGAAGTCGGAAGCGCCCTCTGGGCCAAATGCAACGAGTACAATGTTACCGACACGGACTACACCGTTATGCATCTCATCGAGCGCGGTGACTACGAGTTCCGAATCTTCGCGGTCAACGCAGCCGGAAGATCCGAACCTAGCTCTTGCACCACTCCTGTCAAGATCTGCGAGGTCGAAGGAGGCGAGAAACCAGAATTCATCAGAACTCTGCCCGTCAGCCAGAACATACCACTTGGCAAGACCTTGGTGTTCGAATGCGAAGCTTCCGGCAAACCTTTACCCACCGCCAGGTTGGTATTCCAGAAAAATGTCCTTCTCTATCATTGTTGCTGATAATTTTATATATAAATTCGTCCGATTTTCAGGTGGCTGAGAAACGGCAGGGAAATCACGATAGGTGGTCGCTTCAAAACGGAGGCGTTCGATGGAATTTACAGGCTGGTTATATCAGACGTGATGGACGCGGACGCTGGTGACTACAGTTGTCAGGTCTCGAATCCATTGGGCATTGCCACCACAACGACTCGATTGAGGATCGGCACTCCGCCGCGTATCGAACGAATGCCCGATGATCTGTACCTTGCCGAAGGCGACAACACGAAGATCAAGATATACTACAGCGGCGATCAGCCCATGGACATTACCCTCAAGAAGGACGGCCGCAAGATCGTCGAAACGTCGCACGTCAAGTACACCGTGTTCGACGAGTACCTTATCATCTTTATCAAGGATATCGAGAAGGACGACGCCGGCGTTTACGACCTCTGCATCTCGAACGACAGCGGCAGCGTCAGCGGTTCGTTCAACGTCTACATCACTGGTCTACCTGGACCTCCAATTGGACCTCTGGACGTATCAGATATCAACAAACACACCTGCACATTGTCGTGGCATCCACCGAAAGTGGACGGTGGTCTTCGTGTCACTCACTACGTGGTCGAGCGTCGCGACGTCAGCCTCACACACTGGATCATCGTTTCGTCCTTCTGCAAGGACACGACATTCATGGTCCAAGGTTTAACCGAGGGACAGGAGTATCTGTTCCGAGTTATGGCGGTGAACGACAACGGAATGGGACCGCCGTTGGAAGGCACCAACCCCATCAAGGCCAAGGCGCCGTTCGATCCTCCTGGACCACCGGGAACACCAAAGGTGACAGAGGTCGGCGGAGATTTCGTCAATCTCTCTTGGGACAGACCGGAAACCGACGGAGGCTCGAAGATTCAGGGTTACTGGATCGACAAACGGGAGGTGGGAGGTCAAGCCTGGCAACGCGTGAACGTGGCCATCTGTCTGCCCACGCAGATCAACATCCCGAACTTGATCGAGGGAAGACAATACGAATTCCGTGTATTCGCTCAAAACGCAGCTGGTCTTGGCCCCGAATCGAAGGCCTCGACGTCGGTGAAGATCTCCGATCCTCAAGCGGCCAAGGCTCCAGAGATCATACAACCGTTGCACAAGGTGAACTGCGTGCAGAACCACAACGCACACTTCCAATGCAAGATCGTTGGCATACCAAGGCCGACGATCACATGGTTCAAGGGCGCCCGCGAGATCGTCAGCGGATCTCGGTACAACATATACTCGGAGGGCGACGTGCACAACCTGATAATCCACGACGTCTTCGGTGAAGACGCTGACGAATACTTCTGTCGTGCCGTGAACAAATGCGGCGTCAAATCGACGAAGGGAGAATTGTTAATCAAGACACCACCGAAATTGAATGTACCACCAAGGTTCAGAGACACCGCCTTCTTCGACAAAGGTGTCAATGTAGTTATCAAGATTCCGTTCACTGGCTACCCGAAACCGAAGATCAGCTGGGTCAGAGAAGGCGAGGCAATCGAATCTGGAGGACACTACAACGTTGAAGTTAAGGAACGACACGCCGTTCTAACGATCATAGATGGCAGTCGAATCGACTCTGGACCGTACCGTATCACAGCGGAGAACGATCTCGGCCAGGACACCGCCATCATCAAGATCCAAATCAGCGATCGACCGGACCCACCGAGGTTCCCCCAGATCGACAACATCGGTCACGATTCGTTGGCTCTTAGCTGGAAACCACCGTTATGGGACGGCGGCAGCAACATCACAAACTATCTCGTCGAGAAACGGGAACACCCGATGAGCAGCTGGATCAGAGTCGGAAACACCAGATTCTGCACAATGGCGGTCACCGGGCTGAGCCCTGGGCATCAGTACGATTTCAGGGTCTGCGCTGAGAATATCTACGGTAGATCCGATCCCAGCGAAGTGACACCGTTGATCACGACAAAGGGCATCGTCAAGAGGGAGTTCAAACAAAAGGAGTACAAGGTACACAATTGTATTCGAATAATACATAAGGGTCATTCCACGCGAAATCGGAGACTTTTTGGAGCACTATTTCTGATTTTGTTCAAATTTGGATATGTTGTAGCCTTTAGCGATATATAAACGTACCCCGAAGGATTTTTAAAAATTTGAAAAATTGTTGATTTTACAGCTGTTTGAAATTTAGAGTCTTTTTTTCAATATATCATAACTATTGAACTAACAAACTAATCAAAATGAGCTTTGCGGATACTTACAGTGGAGATATAAAAGTACCAAATAAGAATTATTTCAGTTAAAAAAAATATTTTTTAAGCATTTATTTTGCATATGTTTTAAATAAATGTCCTGTTTTTATACCGGGGAACTATTTAAAAATTTGGGGAATACATGAGGATATAGACCTGTGTCCTCTTTATGGACATATCTCCAAAAATGTGGACACTATAAAAGTGACCCTATGAAAATTAATTGAAGTGAACGTTCTCTTCTGATTCGTAACTCGAAACTCTTTATCTAGATAATAATGTGCCTATTTTTATACAAGGTGGACGAGTCCGGCAAGAAGATCCGCGGACGATCCGACGAGAAACCGTCCGATTACGATCAATTCGTGTTCGACGTGTACAGCAAATACGTGCCGCAGCCGGTCGAGATCAAACACTTCTCCGTCTACGACCGTTACGACATTCTCGAGGAGATCGGCACTGGTGCGTTCGGCGTGGTGCATCGTTGCCGCGAGAGAGCCACTGGAAACATATTCGCCGCCAAATTTATCCCCGTGTCCCACGCGATGGAGAAGGAACTTATCAGGAAAGAGATCGATATAATGAATCAACTCCACCATCCGAAACTGATCAATCTCCACGACGCCTTCGAGGACGACGACGAGATGGTTTTGATATTCGAGTTGTGAGTACCTAGATGTTCAAGATAAACGTGTTTAAAAGGGGAGTCTCGCTTTATTCGTAATCTCGACCCGTTGCTTGTTCAGCTTGTCCGGCGGTGAACTGTTCGAGAGGATCACGGCCGAGGGTTACACCATGTCCGAGGCTGAGGTGATCAACTACATGAGGCAGATCTGCGAGGCCGTTAAGCATATGCACGAGAAGAACATCATTCATTTGGGTAAAATCATTTCAGACTCTTCGATTTCTCCTACTATGCAGAATATCCCGTTTAATCCTCATAAGGGGAAGGCACGGATAACGGAAATCGTTTTTGGAACGACAGTACAGACTCTTCGATTATTGTCCGACTTGTTCTACGGGACCTCCATGCGCAATAAAAGAATCAATAACATCAATGGAAAGTAGGAGTGCTACGTGGAGAAGCGCGTAGAGTCTCGGCTTTCGATGCCGGGGTTGTGGGTTCGAATCCTGCATGGGCCCTCATTTTTCCAACGCTCCTTAATATGGATTTAAACAAAATTTTACCTTCATATGAAGGACGTATGAATCACGTATAAAAAATCAGTTGCATCACATTATATGCCCCCAGAAATCATTCACCTGAAGTATTTTTCAGTATCATCAACAGTTTCCAAGATATTCGAGTGTGATTCGGTTTAAACGGAACGACCCTGTAAAATTCCCTGCTTATAAATGGAATCTAAATTTCGGTATTCTCCCGTTTCTTCAGACATCAAGCCCGAGAACATCATGTGCCAGACACGCAACAGCACGAACGTCAAGTTGATCGACTTTGGTTTGGCCACGAAACTCGATCCCAACGAAGTGGTCAAGATCAGCACCGGCACCGCCGAGTTCGCCGCGCCTGAGATCGTCGAGCGTGAACCGGTCGGCTTCTACACGGACATGTGGGCCTGCGGTGTATTGGCCTACGTTCTGTAAGCAAAACGCGTTCTATTTTGTCATTATCATCTTTCGTTGGACCGTTGACGAGACTGATTGGCTTAATTTCATCGTAGATTGAGCGGCCTTTCACCGTTCGCCGGCGACAACGACATCGAAACACTGAAGAACGTTAAGGCCTGCGATTGGGACTTCGACGAAGAAGCATTCCGTGATGTTTCCGAGGAGGGCAAGGACTTCATTAGACGACTGCTCGTCAAAAACAAAGAGTACGGTTTTCTAATTTTATTTTGCAATTAACGACACGTAAATCTACCCAGTTAGCACATGACGCCTTGAAGACGCCCATTTTACGGCTGTTTTTGGTCTGAGACGCCTTTAAGCCGTCTTCAAGATGTCATGTGCTATTTGGGTATGGATTATAATACGGCAGAACTGTATGAAAGACGTCTTATGTTGATTCGTCTTCCAGGAAACGTATGACTGCTCACGAGTGCCTGTTGCACGCGTGGTTGACCGGTGACCATAGCGATCGAACTAAAGCTATTTCGAGCAGCCGATACCTCAAGTTCAGGGATAGGCTGCGCGCCAAGTACGAGAACTGGGACAAATACATTCTTCCCATTGGTCGTCTGGCAGAATATTCTTCGCTTAGGAAGTTATTGGTCGACAAATATAAGATTTACGATTCTTGCTTCGGTAAGGGACTAAGACGCCTTTAAGCCGTCTGTGTGCTATTTGGAGTGGGACAAAGCGAAGATAATTTCTGATCGTTAAATGTATCAATTCGTCTTGTGAATCGTTTACAGACCGCAGACAAGCCGCGCCAAGGTTCGTCATCAAACCTACTAGTGCATTCGCCTACGAAGGCCAGAGCGTGAAGTTCACTTGTCGCGTGATCGCGATTGCCGACCCGACTCTCACGTGGTTCCACAACAACCAGGAACTTCGACAGTCTGTCAAATTCATGAAACGATACCATGGTGATGACTACACCTTCATCATCAACAGAGTGAAGCTAGAGGACAGAGGAGAATACGTGATCAGGGCGGAGAATCATTATGGTTACAGGGAGGAGGTTGTCTTCCTGAACGTGCAACGTAAGTCTTAATACGTATTTACAGTAGCTGAGTAAAAAATTACCACTTTTCGAATTCTTTATAAAGTAAATCTCCCAACTACTGCCATTCTATTTATTTTATTTAGTAAAAACGTAACGTATAAAGTATTGTGTCCAGAAAATTTTATTGTTAAGTTGGGACTCTAATTTACTTAAAGACAAAGAAATACATACACTTCTATGTATCTGGTATGCAAAAATTAATGTTGAAAAACAAAAATGCAATTTGAGCGTCAACACGACAATATGTAAGTAGGAAGTGATGGCGAAAACATACTAAAGAAAGGGTCATAATTTTACTATTTAACCCATATATCCAGTGTATAAAATGAATTGTTCAAGTATATAAGAATTACTTTCATTTTTGAGGTGACAGTTATAGGGACATTGAGTTCGCTCGCAGATTTTTATTAATTATTAATTAACTATTCATATTTAATATTTGGAACTATTTTTTTTTTAAGAAACAGGTGTTAAACAATATTACGTACGAAACTGAGACGATTTTTAGGTTTAACAACACGTAAAATCATTAAATGAAGTGACGCCACAATCTTAAGGTGACAGTAATTGGGACCATCAGATGCACGCCTTAAAACCAGCACATCCTATTTAGTCATTTTTTCTTACTTTCAATAGTAACGAAAATAATTTAGGTGCTCTAGTTAAAATTGACACCCTGTATACACGAAACATAGTAATAATAGTAATAATAGTTTATTGAGACGGGCGTACATTCGCCCAATATACATTCATATAATACAAAGCACTTATTGTAATAGAATTAAACTCAATCATATTTAACGTGAATATTAAAGAAAAGGAAGGAACAAAAGAGATAGAAAATAGAAGTAGAAGTAATAATACTTAATACTTAACACAATGCATAAATTTACGCGAGTATGTGCGCGTGCTAATACACGTTTACACAGTAATATACTGCTGCAGTAGAAGTAAAGTGAAACTTGTAACTGTAGGTGTTAATGTACCAAGTTGAGAGATACATCTTATATACCTAAAGTCTTCAATGAATGTTTAAAAATGTTGATAGTGTAACATTTTAAGTATATTCTAGTTGTAAATGTTTTATATAAACGAGTACCTCCTTTCGATCCTCAGCACTGCCCAGAGAGATTCCAAAGTACAGGCCGGAATTACACCCGGTCCGAAGAAGAGAACCCCTCGGCTACAACATCTGGATGGAAACGATCGAATCCGCGCCCAGTTTCACCTTCCTCCTTCGACCCCGTGTCATTCAAGTCAGGCAAACTTGCAAGCTCCTCTGCTGCCTGAGCGGCAACCCACCGCCCTCTGTGAAATGGTACAAGGACAGGGACGAGCTCTCCAAGCATCACTACGCGATGACCCACTCGGACGGTGTAGTGACGATGGAGATAATCGACTGCAAGCCGGAAGACAGTGGGAAATACCGTTGCGTGGCGACCAACAAGCACGGAAAGGACGAGACCAGCTGTGTCGTTATTGTCGAAGGTACGGTGAAATATAAAAACAACAGAAAGAAGGTCGTGGTTACGAAGTATCGTATGGATTAAATAATTTTATTATGGAGTTATATGTGTATCTAGTGTGTCGACGAAAGACTGATCGAATATTTATTTGTAGGCACTGGAGAAACTGAGGAGCAAGTTAAATTAGCGCACGACCTCCTACATTCCGGAGGTACTATACCGAGTGTAGACCTCTCCCATTTGTGATCCCCTCTAATTTTAGACTGGTTATACATCAGAGTTTTATGAAAGCACAGAGGTCCGAAACCGTAAAAAACAATGCTGAAAAGTCAGATTTTCGACTTCTTTAGAAATGCATGATATTTTGGGCATTGATTCTTGTATCTGTGAACAAAGTTTTGGCATGCATAAGGCTTCCTGTGAGTCACCGAAAATTGTCTGGGAAAGCTTTGAAAATTGGAAACAATGCCTGCTTCAAAACGATCGTATTTTTTTCCTGAAATTGGCGTATTTCGCCTTGGTATATTTTTCTATGGATACGAATTGACTTGAATCTAACTATACACCGTTAGAGAATGTCTATTCAGCTATAAGCACGTGTAATTATAAATGCGATAAACTTATTACAACCCCTTGAAAGATACCCCCTCGTAAATCTCTATTTTATCCCTCTTTTCCGGTTTAGTTAGACTTACAAAAGAAAATTTTCGTGAAGTTGCGGTTAATTCTATACGAGAGTATATGTCAGAACCTACTTAAAATGGCTGCATAATAATCATTTGCATCTACATGTCGAATCAGAATTTATAATGATTTATTTATAATCAATGCGTCAGACCCTGTTAATAACTTACGGAATACAGAACTTTTAAGTGTTTATAAGGACCATAACGTAGACAAAGTTGTAGATGTAATTTAGAGATATTAAGAACATAATACTCGAGATTTACTTGTAAACAAAAAGTAGTTGCACGCAAAACTGTTTGCAAATGATATGCAACAGCTCAGTTGTTTTAAAGTCTATGCGGTCATTCATAAGTTTTTTCCCCTCGAGTCCCAACACCCTCACTGCTTTATATGCTCCTCAGAAGTAGTTTGTAGATAATCCCTCAAATTCGAGCAATATTTTCGTAACATTGCCACCATATCGTTTTATGAAACAATCGGTTGTTTCGAGTGCTTATTATACAGGGTGGCTGAAAAATCACTAGACCATTTTAAAATATAATAACTTTTTAGAAAGAGCCCGCCACTGTCAAGAACAAAATGGTGGCCACTTTTATTGTTTGTAAAAGCATAAACATGAATTTTTAATACATAACAGTTATTCTATTATTAGATGATATAGTGACTTTTGGGCCACCCTTAAGAAACTATTTTATTTATTTACGGGCCAAACGGTGGTTGAGGTATATTTAAACACACGTGTCAATTTAGAAACACCGTTAGTCACTCTCGGACTCTGATCAATGCTACCATAAACTGCGACCCGAAATTTTTTTTTACATCCCTTATTTACTGAATATAATTATACATTCGTAACAATTGTTAGATTTCACTTAAGTTTCTTGCAACTTCAAAAACCTCTGTGATGAGAGTCATTGTTGTAAAAGTCTGTACACATACGGTAACAAATTCTATTTGCTGCTATCTGGTGGATAATTGTGAACCACGTATAAGACTACTATTGTTTTGAAAAAGATTATAATTCATAACTTTCTGTTTCTATAAGGGTGATTCACGAGAAACAGAACACCTAAATATCTGTCAGAATTGAAGATAGGGAAAAATGTTAAATAGGAAAATGGGTACTGTTCCCAGATAGCACATGACGCCTTTAAGACGCCCATGTTACAGCTATTTTCGGTCTGAGGCGCCTTTAAACCATCATTAAGCCATTATTAAGCCGTCTGTGTGCTATCTTGGTTCAAGGGGAAAAATATGATGATACAAACAGATTTTTTTATCGTTGTTATCCTAAGAGTTTTTTCAAAGTTGTCGACGGATCGATTTTTAAATGTCACCATATATTTTTGACCTCATAGTATAAGTAGCTAATATCAAGGCGAGTTCAACGATATAGAATACTATGACCTTGAGATAACCAGACTCTTCTTTTCAAGTTCATTTTAGCATTTTCCTATAGCCAGAACACATTTATGCCGTCGAAGTATTAAAAAGCAAATCTAAAAAAAATTAATTAGTGATGACCGAAGAAGAAGACAGAATAAAATTAGTTTATAAAGGTAGTTCCTTATCTTAGTGAAAAACTATTATCAGTGTCGGATTCTGAGACTCAAAAGACCCCTAAAATCGTTCTTTTAAATAAGAGCGCTATGAATTTTGAACACATATTTATGGTTTCGATCCATTGTGCGTAGTCTGTTATCCCTAATCTCCTCTCGAGCATTTGTTTCTTTATTTTATTTTTTTTACGAAACCTGACTTCCGACTAACTATTTTGTTTAATTTCGTTTGCCAATAACTTCCAATCCAGGTAGTGCCATAAGAGGCGCATGTCGATGATCAGTTGCTTTTTTGGCAGTTTAGTCCTGCTCACAGCGAACGAGCTAGATAGTGGGCGTGTTTTGAATACCGATCATCGAACGAGAACACCATCGATCGTGTAAAAATTTATATCGCTTGTTCCCCGTAGATCGAAGATTTATCGAGCAACCATTGAAACCGGCACCACCGCCGATCGTGACCGTTCACAAGGCCGGCGGATACAGCGGATATAGTTCCACCACCACGCAGGGTTATTCGAGCAGTTCGTCGACCAATTACAATAGTTCTACCACTAAGCAAAATTCCACGACTTCCTCTTCCTACAAAGTAAGCGATTCCATAAAAAAAAAAACTTGCTAGACATCTCTAGAAATTATTTTTGGGTTGAACGGTGTTAACAAAAATATATTCATTTCAGGCTACAGACTCCAGCACGGACAAACGAAGCGTCAAGAAATACGGTCTCGACGCCACCGGAAGCCCATCTCGTTCCAGGAGCACCACCAAGGAATTAATCCGTAATTAAATCGCATAATGTTTCTAGAATACAGTGGACTCTCACTATATTACCACGCGAGAGCACAGAATTTCGTGCAGAAAAATCCAGCTTTTATATAACTTAACATCGAGAGGGCTCTGAACTCATTGCTATTTTACTCCCCTACAGCCCCGACCATGGCAATATAGTTAAAGTCCACTGTAAATTGTACGGCAGGATGATTCACAATTATTATTCTTCGTTGTCGTTCTTGTAGATCCCCCGGACGACTCGATGAGAGCGCCCAAATTTACACAGAAGCTGAACGATCTTACCATCAACGACGGTGAACAGCTAGAGCTCAGCGCGAAGGTCGACGGTGATCCAGAACCGCAAGTCACCTGGTCCAAGAACGGCAAGACCCTCAGCTCGTCTGGTATCATGGATCTGAAGTACAAAGCCGGAGTCGCGACACTTGTTATCAACGAAGTGTTCCCCGAGGACGAGGGTGAATACACTTGCCAAGCGACCAACAGTATGGGTACCGTAACTACCTCGTGCAAGCTGACCGTGAAACGTAAGTGAACGGAATAAAACCTATCCAGATAGCACATGACGCCTTGAAGACACCCATTTTACGGCTATTTTAGGTCTAAGGCGTGTTTAAGTCGTCTTCAAGGCGTCATGTGCTATCCGGGAGTCTGTTAGAAAGACCGAAAGAAAAAGCTTGTGACGTGCTAAACGTGTATGCTTTTTTTCTTTTCAGCCAACGCGAATGCGTCTGCGAAAAAGAAAACCGACGACAAACCTCCGAAGATCGTGGATCATCTGACGAGTATGTTCGTGAAAGACGGCGAGACTGTGCTGTTGAGCTGTCGAATAATCGGCGCGAAGAAGTTCGACGTGGTCTGGCTTCACAATAACAAAGAGATCAAGCCCAGCAAGGACTTCCAGTACAGCAACGAGGCGAATATCTACAAACTTAATATTGCCGAGATCTTCCCCGAGGATTCCGGCACCTATACCTGCGAGGCGTTCAACGACGCTGGGGAGAGCTTCTCGTCGTGCACATTAAACGTCCTTGGTACGTGTAGAAACGTGTGAATCTGTACGTATACAGTTTGTTACAATTACGATAATCAAATACATGTTTTCGTAGTTCCAAACGAGGAACCGAAGAGCCCAGTCTTCACGACATTCCCGCAATCTGCAACGGTGAGCGAAGGCGAATCGGTTACGTTCACATGCAAGACTGAAACCGCGCCTTTAAAAGGTAAGTGAAACGTCACGAATCAACACCATTTTGTTTCACAAAGGGAGGAGGGCGAATTATCCGAATGAAGGCCTATTTATACACATCCGAGCCGTATGACGACGGACACCGCCCAGATTAATATAAATTGTTACATCCACGAGCAAACTCTTCTTCCACTAGGGGAAAAAGTAGCATAAGAGAAAGGCCTCCTATCACTTGGTAAATTTAATTCAAGTACGGAAATAAATGTTAAATTAAATGTTAATTTGATATAAATTTCAATAAGTCCCGAGACCAAGTGATAGAAGGCCCTTCACCTACATTCCTTTTTCCCCTAGCGAAAGGCGAGTTTGCTCGCGATGATAGATATAAAAATACGGTAATCAATTCGAGTCCGGGGCACGGATCAGATGTGTATAAATGGGCCTTAAAATGAAGGGATCGATCCTCACCTTGTGAACAATGAACACTCAACAATAACGTTTGATAACTCTAACGAAAATTATTTTATCTATGGATAAACAGTAACGTGGTTGAAAGACGGAAAAGCGATCCCAGAAACTAGTAGCAGGTACCTCTTCAGTTCGGACGGCGACAAATCGTTCGAATTAGGTATAAAATCATGCACGGCCAGCGACGTTGGCCAATACGTTGCCCGTGCGATCGGCAAGAAGGGCGAAACGAACGCAGCGTTTGCCCTGAACGTCACCAGCGAGCAGTAACATCGTTAATTTTCAACCAGCGCAAAGATCGCAATACGACAAGGTTTGGGCCGAGATCTGATTTATTTTTTACCGTCTCATATTATGTATATCGATAAGCTCTACCGGTACTGTTTTTTTTTTTCTTATTTTCGGTTCGTTGATCATATTTGTGTTTCTAATTCGTCTGTTTTCAGCTGCTTCAATATTACCGAGAGAACAATGATTAGACAAACACAGAAAAGAGATAAAATGTATAAACGGACTGTAAAAATTTGCGACTCGCGAAGAATTGCGACCCGATAAGTGTGTGGTATTATAAGGTTCGTGTATAAATGAGATATCGGAGAACCGCTGGTATTCGCAACTATTCTCTATATGTAAATTTTCATGGAACGCTGTATTTTCCTTTTTTGTGTGCTTATCATATCGCAAACAATGAAACACAATCGTGTCGTTGTATGACGAAAGATGAATCCGGAACGTCGAGCAAACACACACGGACAGCACGCGCAAACTATACGCTAATACGAGCTTTGCTGCATACACGAATTAGCATATTTTAAGTACACAATGGTGTCATAACGACAGTAACGAAATTGAGAAAACAATTGAAACGTTCACGGTCGATCTCGGCACGACATCCAGCATCCTCGACATCCATCGGAACATCAACGTGTGACCATCTTGTCTCGCCGAGATTACTGTACGAATTAACTGATACTGTCGAAATGTACGTTCTTATTCCATGTAATCGTACGCACTGTCGTGTTATACTTGTTTGAAGACTGCTTCCGTTACAAAATTTACGATTAATAAAATATGATTAAAACATAAAAGGTTGAATCTTCCCCCTTCCCGACAAGTATATTTTACGTTTCGTTACAATACCGCTTTAACCTTTGTTAAAGCGCAGGATTACGAAAGAATCATTTCTTAATTTCATAAAATATTTCAGTATTATACAGATGCAAAAAACGTGTATGTACAGATACAAAAGGAAACTACAATTATATAGTGTCGTACAAAGTGTCAGGATCAATGATCTTGAAACACCCCGTTCGGGGAATGACGGAATTTCCAAAATCTCTTCTAAATTCTATATGTACATGCAAATACTGGTATTTTTCATGACGATGATCATTCAGTACCATTACACCCATACCGGCTACCTGAGCGTATCTTAATTCGCATGAGTCATCCTCGTGCACGATGTTCTCGGTCTTTATTATACTATGTTCAAAACACTGTTGTTTCATACAGTTTTCTTTCTCGCAATGCGAGTCTCTCACGACGTCGACTCTGGACACAACCGCCTCGTCCAGCACATCACCTTGTAGCAATATTAAATATTAAATCTCAACAAAAAGAAGTAAAGAAAAAACTTCTTATATTCTTATTCCTAACATTTACCGATTTGAAATAAGGTTGCGCTATAAGCAAGACACGCGTCGACCTGTTGTACAGCGGGGTTACTGTAAATCAGTATAGTTTTCCAGTAATTTTCATTTGGATAATAAATATACAATGCAGACTTTATCAAATATAGTTTTCCGTCCATAACGCAATAAGGAGGAACCTCGGTAAAACTTTCGGGAACTTTCGCCCCCCTGCTCCATATACCTGAATATGAAGAAGGAAATATTAAAACGACTACAAAAACAGTTCACGATTTTATGAAACGATTCTTCACCTGTATGAATGTCAAGAATATCAACAGTATATAACTTCAATCTATGCCTTCCTACACCACCTGCTATTACCAATCTATTTTTCAAAAACACAGCAACCATATGTCTCCTTGGAACTGGCAATTTCGTCTGATAGTACCATTTCTTAGATATTAGGCAGTAACGCCAAATAATATGATTAAATTTTCCAGTTCCTAAACCCATTTCTCCCCCAATTGTATATACACTGAAACCTGAGAAAATATTTAAAATGTCTGAGTGTTGTATTATGTGAAATAGTAAAATCCTTACAACACAAGTAATCAAACTTATACCTCTACCAGTAACTTGCATCCCAATAATCCCTTTCTCCGAGTCTTGCACAGTTTTTAATTGTACACATTTAGACAAACTATTACCATTCCAAGTGTACAAGTATGTATCCTTATTAATGTACTCGTATATTTTGTACACAACTACACCCTGTATAAGCGTGAATTGTCTTTCCTCCCTCACATCGGGAATATCTGATGTCTAAAATTAACTTACATTATTGTGTGCTATAAAAACACAAGGTAATAGTAGCATATTAATTACCGTGTGATGCTGTATCCATTCATTTCTGACAAAACGTAAATATTCGCTAGATGCTCTTGTGTTAACATTTTGTAATAGATAAGTAATGTTCTCTTTATTCAATTCAACAAGCAAAGGTAATGGAAGTTCATCGAAACGGTCTAAACATACAGACAGACAGATGTCCTGTAATACCTTCACATTCAGCTCTTGTGCTAATAGCCATACATCGATTACTTTATCTGGCATCAACCAGCACAAAACTATAATATCTACAATATCGTTTGTTAATTCATCAACCATGAATAGTACACTCAGTTGTATCAAATTTAATAATTCCGTAAAATTGTCTTCTACAAACTTTGTCATAGAAACTTTCACAGAATGGCAATGCACGTCTACGCATTCCTCATCGTCGTGAATCCATTCGACAAAATTCTAAAATGTAAAGAATTACCTTGTAACATGAAAATATGATACCGATATATTTTGTTTAATCAGAAAGATGAACAACCTGTAAAGTAGGCAAAGCAATATCGTAATTTATAGAGTGTTCCTTGCTATGAGAATCATTGAAATTGTGCGAAAAAAGGGATGCGAAGTAACGACTCTTATTCGCAAGTTTCCTTTTACTCGCTTCAATGCGATTTTCGTCGAGAATCAAAGTTAGACTTCCCTCCATTATGACGTTTTGCATTAAACGTTGTTTAAAACTAAATTACCAAATGACATTGCCACTCTTTTTCATATTTTGTACGAACTTATGAATTGTACAAACAGCTGTAAACAGCAATGTTTATTTCAGTCTGTTTACACTGTCACCACCATTTAACAAAAGTACATCCACCCCATGATGTAGGACATCGACCCCACTCCTGCCTTCCAGCAGACTGCAGAAGACGTTACCAAAAATAGCATTCCTATCTATACCACATTATTCTGTGGTATAAATCGCAGCGCGGTAAGAGAACAGAAGAATCAATTCGAATGTAGGTGTTGAATGAAAAGGGTCGATGTTGTTCCATTCAAAAACACATAAGCGTTGGAACAGTATATACGTTTATAAAAAGTTGTAAATAATAAATTAAAAGTTCATGTGTTGAAATTTCAAAATCCACACCAAGTCCAATCAAGCTCATTCCTAACCTCTGTGAAGTTAGCCGGACAACTTTAACTTTTCAACGTTTCATTATACCCAATCGATTGGTGGTCATTGGTGGCCTAATTAGAACATTTGGTGGTACCACTGACTAGGTATAGGATAGACTTATCATCTTATGGGACTTCGTGTCTCATGTTCTGAAATACCGATAGTGTAAAAAGTCAAGGATTTTCTGCTGCGTTTCATGTTTTATGACTGTCATATTTATCCCTTAACCTTAAACTGAAGCATCGGATATTTTTATTCCTGTCAAATCATATAGATACACACAATATGAATGGAATAACACTTCATTTGTGCTAATAATACCCAGAATTCATGATTTATCGGTAACGTCGGATATTGACACTAAAATGGTAACAGGGCTACGTAGTCCTATGAACGTGGGACAGAAAAAAGCATTGGATGATAGGTCTATTCTATACCTAGTCGGTGGTGGTACTTAGTTTTTATAAAAAACGAAAAAAACGATGTAGTCATCTGGTGGATACACGATACACGTGTACCAACGCACGTTGAAGTTGATGAAACAGATATTTCTGGATTGATTGTCTTTTTGGATGAATCAATTGATCCAGAAATATCTGTTTCATCGACTGTAAACGTGCGTTCGTACACCTGTATCCTGTATCCGCCAGATGACTACATCGTTTTTTCGTTTTTTATAGAAACTAAGTACCACCAAATGTTTTAATTAGGCTGGCAATAAATTAGGATTGAGCATTTAAAAAACTGAATCCGGCGAAAAAAAATTTTGGGCTAACTTCACGGTCAAATTTTGATCACTTAATTACAAAAGAACGCGTGACCACCAAATGTTCTAATTAGGCCACCAATGACCACCAATCCGACCACCAATCGATTGGGTATAATGAAATGTTAAAAAGTCATAATTGCCCGGCTAACTTCACAAAGGTCCATTCCTAATTCTTAATAGAACGTTATCTAGTGTTATCTACTCTACGTTATCATCGTATCTGATGCTACATTTCGACCACAGAATATCGTCGTATAGATGAGAATGTTGTTCTTCGTAACGCCTCTTGATCTAGAAATTCTAATTAGCTTATATGTATATTTGATTGTCTAAAATTTCTTATAGTAAAAAGTTTACTAAAGCTTAACGGGGACCTTATTTTATTACAAAACTGATGAAATTGTTAATAAGACAATTTTCTATTTAATCCCACTTTTTGTAAACTAACCCATTACATTTCGTATTTGCATATGCATAGAGATGTCCGCAGTGTGTGCTGTGTTAGTTTGTTATGACATTGTTGTAATTGTTATAATTTTCATTAGAATTATTAGTTTGTTATAATCGTATATTATAATCATTCATTAGCAAATACTAGGTTCTTACAAAACGTGACTTTGTTTAGTTGCTCCTCTGCTAGTGGAATGTTGATGACGCTCTACAGAGAAGATTAAAAGTTTTGCTTTGGAGCAGAAACTGGTGCTACAAAAACGTGAATTTGCACTGAAAAAAACCAAACATCGATTAATTTAAATAAACACCGATATAAAGTTTTTTCAACATGAACAGTAAATCCGGTTACATTAAATCACACTACACAGTAGAACGTAAAATGGCAACTTTACGTGAGTGATGATCGCGTCACTGTTCGCTGTCCGGATTTCTTCCATCGAGTTTTTCGTTCGTCTACCAAGAAATGTATTCTGTAGTGTTTGTGTAACGTAGAAATTACTTTTGGGTAGGTAGTTTTCAGTAAAAGGCGATGAATTTCGTTGTGCAATTAACTGTTACGTTATGCTAGTAAAAGTATATAATCCTACCAGTTAACCTACTGACATCTCTTATAAAGAATTACACAGTTTTTGACATAAAATAGTTTGAAGATGACTAAAGGTAGATTTACAAAGAAAATTTTATCGAATGAAGTAAATGAAAAATGCGACAGAAAATGGATTAGGTATCAGCAGCTAAATGCGTTGCAACCAATATTTTTAAGTGTCTGAGATACATCTTGTATTACATAAATATTCTATTTGAAATACGTGTAGCAAACAGAATCACTACATTTTGCTAATAATATGGGTAAGTAAAGAATTTTTGAATTCTTTCCTGAAGCTGGATCGTGTTAATTATCAATGTATTTTCCTTTTTAAGTGATGGCAGGGAACGAAAATACCTCTGGATCTTTGGCAGAAGATTCATTATCCACCAGATTGCAATGGCTTCGTCAACGGCGGGAAGCGCTCCAAGAAAAATTAGCTCAGAAAAATAATGAACTTAAAAACTTATGCGTTGAGGAAGCCGAACTGACTGGTGTCTTGCCACCAGAAATTCCATTAGAACCTGGAGAAAGCCCACCAGTATTCCGTAAAAGGGTCGGAACAGCGTTCTCTTATCCACAGAATTTAATTAATAAATTGAAAACAAATGAAGTTGTAAGTTTCATAATTATGTGAATTTCCTATCTTCGGCAATTGAATATATTGTAACACGACTCTAAAATATTGTTTTCTGTCCTATACAGGAGGAGTCTGCCTTAGAATTAGAACGACAGGTTCAAATTGGTATAGTGGAAGCTGCTTTAGGAATAGTAAATGATTCGACAGAGAGCAAGGCGGTTCGTCGTAAGCACAGGCTAGTTTATCAGCAAAGTCAGCGTAGGCTCCAAGAATTGGAAGCGCGTTTGAATTTCTTAAGGCAGAGTCGTACAAAAACGCATCAGTCTGTGCAACCGCAGCACACTGCAGTGTACAATACCCAGTCGCATTTGTATACAAATGTAAAGCACAGAACGAAAAAGCCTCGGCCACCGTTAGACAACGCAGGTACCATATTTATTTATACACGGTAACGAATGCTGTCCTTAATTCCTGTTTAAACGGATTCTTTCTCTAGCGAACGACCTGAAAGGCTCGAGAGGTTTACTTCAAGAGGGTGGCATAAGTTTAAGTCCATTAGGATCGGAGGATAAGTGTAGTCCATATCCTGGTCATGGATACGACGATCAGTCATTGGTACCTAACACTTGTAATCATGGGCATGTAGGTAATGCTTATTGCCCCACGATAGCCGATCAGCGGCAAAATATCAAAATAATAGAGCACGATCATAATGACAATCAAAATATTTACATACTACCCGACCAATATCGGGCACGAACGTATTCACATGGCAGCGGGGGTTCGCGCAATCAGAATCACTATCAGGAGAACGAACGATTATATCGCCCACTGCCAAACACGTACACGGAGGAAGAAAGACAGATACGGTATCGTCAGATTCAGCAACAGCAATTGCACGAACAGACTCATAATTATCCACAGTATAACGATTACAAACACTTGGACAATGATGTTCAGCGGAGATCCGGTCAGGAGTATTACGACAGGGACTTCCGTACGGTGCATTACACGCACATGCCCGAATTTCCAGTCTATCATAAAAACAACTCTCAGCCGCAATCCCTGCTGAGACGGGATCGTGATTCCGGAGGAAGTAAAAATTTACGGTTCACAGATTCGCCCAGCGAGACGCAAATACCGTCCGGCTATTGGATGCGATACGAGGATGAGATTGTCTGGTGTCCCGACGATCAGCTTGTCGCAGACAGATTCGGGAGCTTGGATCGAAGGAAGCGTAACGCGGTGCAGCATACCGCCAACATAGGTGCTGATGTACAGCCACGATATCGCACGGTCTCCATAGGGGGCAGTAAAACCACCTCGTCTTGCGTTCCGTCGCATCAGACCACTTCCGTTCATTTGCTCCCGTTGTCCGAACAAACATCGACCAACAACAAAATGTTGCTGCGCACGCAATCGCTGGGCAGCGTCGAGAAGTGGCATTCGAATCATTTACACGAGCTGCACGATGGCAAGGACACCACCGACAACGTTAGTCGTAAAGGGAAGGAGAAGGAATGGTACGAAACCTCGTTGGATTCGGGCACGAGTCCTGGATTAGATCTCGGATTGTTGAAGTCCCATAAGAATATCCATTATCAATCAACGATTCCTGCTTGCACGAAACACTCTAATGCTAGTAACAGCGACGATGGAAAAGGTAATTACATGCCTTCGATGAATCATCGCAAGACTGAGATAGTCGCCGCCGAACTCGAACAGCATTTGCAACCGTTAGCATCGACTAGATACGAACAGACGCGAAAGAAAGTCCTGGAGATTCCAGCAGAGTCGAAATCGTCACAAGATCCAAGCGACGAGACGATTCGTTTGGGATCGTCTCAGAATTGCACGATCGTTCAGGCGGGAAAGTACCAACCTTATAGAGAAGTTACGAAACCGTTCGAAATGTCCGACTTTTATAAATATTCCACCAAGTTCCGGAAAAGAAACGAGGCGAATGGACGGAACTCGTCGAGCGAGGCACAAGACGACCCTCGAGGGGCGCATTATACAGGAACAAATACAGATCTCCATGGAGAATCCGAAGCTACAAACACGGCTCATGATGGATCAGCTGCTAGTTCGGTTCAGAAACGAATCTACCAGCCTGTCCAACGAATGACATGTCAACCTTATCTGGCGTCATTGAGATAAGTTTTTTTTTCTTCTCTTTATTTACGTATAGATTGTGAAAAAGGCTGAAGGACCGATAGGCTGGACCTATCCGAAAAATATCACAATTCGTTTTGATTATAAGAAATTGAGGTACGGTGTACCATCCAAATGAATTTTTTGCTACGATTAGCAATTGTGTTAAGAGAATCTTCTTTCAGAAATATTCTGGGAGGATCGCAACAGTTTCATCGCGATCTCCCAATTACCTGATCTAATTGAGAAAGAATTAATTCGACGTTATAAATATTGCACTGGTGGTCGCAACAAAAATTGTATTTTCATACATTTTGAGAGAGAAAGGTTTATCGCCTGTTACAAAATTTGATCCCACTAGGTGTTCGAGTATTCTTCAGAACAGACTGAATCGATATTGAGACCTGATTAGTGCCTTATTTTAATTGAACTTTTCAAGGAAATTGTATAAATAACATATGCAATTGTTGCATAATGAAATGAAATACAGGGTGTAACAAAAATGTTGGAGAACCAGGAAATGGGAGACTCGTGAGATGATTTGAAACAAATCACCTCACGAGTCTCCCATTTGCAGGTCCTCCAACATTTTTATTACACCCTGTATAAGAGAGTTAATATACATAAACCCGATCGAGCGATTTAACGGGTCTATGTTAGGTCTACGTGCTTGATTCACGATCATGATTTAGCAATAAGAAATGATCTGTCGTCAGAAGATGATCGTGTTTCATTACGTTGACTGTTTCGATTAGTAATATAGAGTATAAATATTTTTATAATTGATTTTATAGTATATTTACCATACATGATCCGGCTGGACGTGCACTAGCAATTATACATTACACCGTTAATTCGGCTGCTATCGTCTACTCAGTCATTACAATTTAAAACGATCAAATATAAGAAAACAGTTGCTTAAGATCTAGTAAGCGCGCGCTTATACGAAATGCATAGTGTGCAGTTCATATAATTTATTTATGTATGTATATATATATACATAATGTTATGTAGTACGTTTCGCAGTTGCCAGTAGCCGTCTAGTTTTTAAAAACTTTTTCCGGAAAATAATGGTTATGTTCAAAAGGAAAGAATACTTGATTGATAACATATTAATAAGTAGAAATATAAAAAGATACATTAATTGAATCTTAACATTAAGGAGTGATATTTCGAATTATATGCTTAAATAGACTATTATATTATTCATAGATATATATATATATATATATCTGTTTTTTTAACGACAGTGTTCTGCACAACGTTCGCTATAAGACATAACAATATATTAGATCCCTTTACTTTTTTTGAGTGCCTTGGACTCTGAGAGCCAAAGACTCGAATGATATTTCGCAATGCTTTGGTTAAAACTGTTTTGTATTTATTTAGATGAAATCTATATGTACGAATGTAACGAAATTACATTTGGTTTCGTGATATATCGATAATAGAATATTATTTTCACTTTAAATGTAATATCGACACTGATGTTAATTAAAAGTTTTCGAAATTAAGCATCGTAAGCTTAAAATTAAATACAATCTAAATAAAGCAACAATATGAGCTCAAGATTGACACGAATGTTTTCGCGATACAGTTAAATTTTTATCAGATTTTTCTTCAGAATTAATAAACAGTTGAATTATACATATATGCCTCATTGGTTCCCCATTGCTTCCATTAAAATATTTAAAAAAAACAAGTGCACTATATTTATCGTGTAAAAAGTACCATCCCATTACAAGAAATAGAATAATTAATTTTTCTTCGTCTTATGTAAAAGGATAGATAGATGAGATGATTTTAGGAAAGTTGACCTCTGTTCATAAACTCACGGTCTACCATTTTTCTTCTTTTTTTTTTTTATTAATCTACTTCCAATAACAAAAATATATCATCGTAAGAAATGAAATTGAAGCCAATATACATATCACTTATTTTTATCATTGAGCTTTACTAACATACAAATTAATGACTATAAACATACTACTCGGCGCTCCAGCAAGAGGGTATATCTATCTTGATCGTAATGACAATTTCAAGAAACGTTATCCTTCGAAGTATACCTTCGTATGGTTTTTTTTCTGCGAATACCTTCGCCCCGCGAATGGCAAAAATTCTATCGGAAAATAAAAACCGTGAATGATTCGTTACGCACAAGATACGAATTGTAAGGTACTTCTCTAACAGCATTATAAATTTTCTATAGTTAATAAATGATTTTAATTACACAGGGCACACGGGTTCTTGGCAATGGTTTCGTATCCTCGCAATGGTTACACCGAAATGATAATATTACGCTTAACTTATTACCACCTTAACTCATGACTTCCATGTTTTTTTTCCTTAACATTCGGATTAAAGGACACATTCCGCATTTGGGACAGTGGCCCGTCACAAACCAGTGTTTCGTAGACCCACTTCGAGTACATAATAATCGAGAAACTCGAGCCTAATTAATGGCCTCTTAAATACGATGCCCAAGTGGCCTAAGGTAAAACACCGATAACAATTAACGCATATATAAATTGTTAACTTTTTTCTGTGCTTTTTTTTTGGACACTTCATAGTTGATCTTTGTGACGGGTGACTGACAACACACATGTCTCTTTGTTTCTTATTGTTCTCTCTTACAATGACGAGCACTCGTTCAAATTAATGCCACCCTTAAAACTCGAGCACAGATTAAAATCCGAAAGACATGAGTGCATCGACGAATCGAACAAACGTAAGATAAAAATTGTACTCTTTCCTTGTGATTATCACATGTGTACTTGGCGAATCAGAAAAAAGAAAAAACACCTCAATAACAGTATTTCTCTTACAGTGTTCCTTTGCCTCCGTAAAAAAAACGGATACACGTTAAAAGTAAATTCCATAAACAGAATATATATATCTATAAAAACGGAAATAAATTTTTCTTTTTTTAATTCTATAGTAACTCGAATCTTATCTAAAACGTTCGTCGATATAGCAGGAAGTAAAAGTCAAGGTCAATTATACACCTAAAATGCATGTCCTACAGCTTAGTATCGCTCAAGCAATTAGATTATAAAGTTTACGATCCATGCAATTACTCGCAAACCATGTAAAAATTCTAATTTCATACATTCGTGTTGCGCACTCGTAAATACATAAACGCCGTAACCTTATCTCCATTAATCTAACACACTGTTTCTACCCTTTAAAATGAAAAATGATTTGTCGTTGGTTACTTGCGATTAAATTTATTGGCATTCGAACGTTATTCTCTTCGCGACATGGTAAATTGCGTAACACGCTTCTGAACGAAACCAAAATCGGAACTCTGTAAGTGGTTGCAATGGCCAGTGTTAACAAATATGGGGAGAGTTCTTGTTATTCTTATTGTTAACGCGCGTAACATAACAAATTTCATTTCAATATTTATTAACTGTTGATGACACTTTGAGAATATAGTAAATACACAGTACGTTATTTAGTCGAGTGAATTTTTGTATAAACAAAACATATTTCCGGTAGACCAAGGAAAACATCAGAACTGGCATTTATCATACATTGTACTATAGCGAATATTTAGGATATTTTCATAAATAGCGTTAGCAATAACAATAAACACCGAATAATAATAACAGTCCTCTATAAAATTAACAGTATAGAAATTTTATAGAAAGTACAGGCACTTGCATACGTAGAAAGTTTGTCTGGTAAAGTAACGTTAACTGACTTTCAATGAAAGGCAACACTGAGAGTGGACTCTTATGAAATAAAAATTTTCTCTTATTGCTACTATGGGCTACAGATCGAATTTGTATAATTTGTTTGTAATATTTAATATAATACTCATTCAGACAAATTCGTTTAATGCCTTCAAAAACTATTCACATAAAGTATTTCTATCGAAAAATGGATACCATATTCTTTGGTTATTATTTTTCTTTATACGGCTGTCGTCGCCTTCATTCATTATTACAGACAATTATTACTTCTTTACAACAAGACCATGAATTCTGAAAAAATATTATTTAAAAATGTAAAAGTAATAATAAATAATAAAATATAAAGAAATGATAAAAACCCCAAACTAGTTTGAGTTCGCCTATCGTTCGTTAACAGTTTTTTTTTATTTTTTAGTTCTTTTTAAATTCGGAATTTATTAGTGGATATTCACCAAAAATTGTTATCTCTTTTTGTTATATATTTAGCCGTACACACACACACATTCATCCGAATTTTCATACTATCACACAGAGAGACACACGTACTACATGATACACTCGATTTGCGCATTTATCACGAATATCTTAAAACTATCAATTAAAAACTAACACTATACAGTTGAATAATTTAAGGAATTTTTTAAATGTTCACAGAGCCGTAACAGGAGGTAGGATGAAACTCGTTAATTGTATTCTCGATATGAATTATTGATAATCAAACAGATGCAACACACTGATTATTATAAATAACAGTTTAGTATTTTCTGCAACACGTAAATCAAACACTATTTTCCATGAATTCTTCTTTATTTGCCAAGTCGTATAACAAGTAAATATAATAAAAATTTGACTTGGTTTTCTTTGCTCGCAGAATAAGTATCCAATCGAAAATATAGTTAATTCTAAGAAAAAAAAAAAAAAGTTAATACTATGTCGTAGGAAAAGTGACAATACATGTCCATCTTATTCAACAAGTTCTTAATCAAGCATTAAGTTTCGAGCCAAAAATCAATAACAATATCAATAAAATTAATTTTTATTTAAAAGCATGGACAATAATAGCACACTTATTCTGCTCGTAGAAATAAAGAAAATTCATTTTGTTACTAACGCAGGCATCGCTGAACAAAAATTTATAAGCGTACGTATGATTTTTTTTTTGCAATGCATTTCTCATGTACTCATTGTTGCAAAGCAAAAATAACAAAAGTAGGACCACAGCTGAGCGGAATTTCTATGTCGGCAAAAGAATAGTGATGAATAATATTGACGTATGTTCTCTATTCTCTGAAGTAATTTGGACCACTGATGTAACATTTCTGATGCGTACTTCTTATGAGTGAGTATTACATGTAAGAATATTGGTCAAGATACGCGAAAAAAAGTGATTACAAAGTGACAGTATAGTATTAAAAACCTTGTCATTATTATACATGCGACTCGTTGCTACTGCTAGTTTCTATTTACCAACCTGATGCCATTTACACAGTTTCTCCTGTAAACATCACCAAGCGAAGCACACAACATAGGCATGATACCTTTGAACCATAACCATTCAAACAATTCGTAAACTACTTGTCTATTCAGCCACTGAAACCACATTGCAAGTGGTGGATGTGATAGATAATACAGATAACAGTAACAGCAGAAATGATTACTGAGGTAATAGAACTACTCGAGAGAAAATTCGTATTCAGACCAGTCAGAATCTTCCGAGCCTGAAAACACAGTAACAATATCCTCAAGATCTAAGTCGTATATCCAGCGGTCATCTCTCTCGTCGAAGAAGTCCCACAAAAAAAATTGCTGTAAAAGAACTTATCACTGACCCAGTTCTGTCTAGGATAAAACGAAATTGAAACGGTATATAAAATGTGTCACAAAAACTTACACGTAGGATATCAATGTCTGCATCAGCATTGCGTCGTTGACGAACAGGTGGACCAACGTCTGTTTTAGTGCCATCGGGAAGTGCATGTAGATAAAAGCACTTATTACCGAAAGGACATTTGCCACGTCCCTTATTGAAGTACTTGCAATCTTTGGTGCTGCAATACATAAACGATATAACGTAACTAAACACTGTACCAACAGATGTTTCTTCCTACCTCAATGCACTTTTGTAATCCATTATCAATTTTTCTTTTTCTTCTTTTGTATCTACCCAGTACATACTTGGACACACAAAGTCAGAGGTGACACGGCATTCCGGACAAGCTCTAATGATCTTATTGTCGAACTGTTTGGCCTGCCTCCATTTTTTAATACAGCTCAGACAAAAACAATGGTTGCAGTTCGGTAGAATACCAAATCTCTGCTCTCTCGATGCTTTTTCCATTACCACTTCGAAGCAAACTCCACAAGACTTATCTCTGCTACGCTGGATTGCAAAGGATAGCTCCATATCTACTTCGTGCTGTTTAATACATGCCTAGAAGAAGAATAGTAAGACATATTATACATCCTAACGACGTCACGATTGTTCGATATAGTAGAAACCTAGAAAAATTAAAGCGGGATTCGGCTAGTGGGATTCGAATAATTTCTGAATTTCTTCAACTAGCCAAGCCATTGTGCTGTAAGTAATAGTCACACTGCCCTCCCGCTTTTTCTAGTTTCCTAACTGTTTTTAACGGATCTAGAAATCCCGATCTCATATGGTTTAAATTACATTTGTATGTTTTTTTCGAAGATCTTCGTTATGAGGATGAAGGGCAGCGCGATTACACAATTCACATATGTCCCCGTGCAAGTATGTACAGTTATGTTTTTTACAAATTCCAGTTGCCAATGAATACGGGCAAAGAGGTTCTACAGACAGACTGGATGCTTGACCGGAAGGATTTACAGCTTGAGCATAAGATACTGGCAACGAAGAGCCTGTCGATGTACCCGAAGTGGCATCGTTCGCAGAAAATGAACCAGCAACAGACGAAGGTACAAACTCTGGTGCTTTAATCCATTCTTCTGCTATAAAGGCACTTTCTTTACTAGAAATATATAAATCTGTTTTATCGCACAATATCTACTGCTTTAATATACATATATATATACATATATTTTATATACATATATGTATACATATATATATCACATGTTTTTATATACCATATTACTATGTATTAAGTGATATGCAAATGGTATTACGATCTAAATCTTGCTGAATTATAATGTCACCTGACAACATACACATTTTTTATCGTTGTTGAAGCTGAGGTGTTTGAAGTGTGTTGTCCAGGCGAAGAACTATCTACCAAATTTGCATTCACTGAATTATTATCGGCAGTTTCAGCATTGTGACGAAAATGGCACTGGTTTCCAAATTTACAGTTGCCTTGCTTGAAAAAGTGACAGGGAACATTAAAAGGTGGGGCAGATGCAGATATTACTGTGTCATTGGTACTTCCATCGTTTCTAATTCCTTGGGTATGCCGATATCTGCAATTATTCCCTTCTCTGCACATACCATTTTTGAAATAACTAAACCCAAAAAAGAATCGAAATGTAAGAAAAATTTGTATTGACACAAAAAAAAATGAAAACAAATAAGTTGTGTTAATCCTTTTGCATCAAAAAACAGAATATTCTATATTTGGTACATAATTTAACAGACATAAATACTTGAAGAATTAGAACTTGAATTTGAAAAAACTATGGAATTTGCAAGTATGGTTTAAAATACATATAATCGTTGCACATTTAATTCTTATTCGGTTTTGTTAAATTTATTATATTATTCATTTAACTGTAATATATTTGGATTATTGATGCAAATGGATTAAATATCGTACCTTATCACTACATTATCAACTTCATGTATTTATGGTACAATTAAGCAAGTATGGTACAGACATAGATATCTGCAGAAAGATCCACAGTTTAATTGTTACATAGACAAATATTTAAATAAACATCTTTTATACAGAAATAATTTTACACGCAAAGTTTCAAAGTAAACAAATCAAAAGTACATACAAGGATAAACTTAGTGTTTATCCAACAAATGGAAATGATAAACGAACTATGTTATTTCTTTCCCATTAACAAACGATTTTCGGTATATTAAAAAATAAATAAAATTACGTGATAAAAACCGAATTTATTCGAGAAAAATAAGAATAACAGTTGCACACAATCCAAGAAATATCAATATTCGCGTGCTGTAATTGATTGACATGTTACAGAATGTCTTTCTATCGAAGCAGTTGCTGTTCGCCCTTTTGTCATTCTCGCGTGATCATCAAAACATCTTAGAAAAGGACGACAGAAGGGTTTCTTACCGGCAAACAACGCTCTGTGTCCAATTGTCGGCCATTTTCTAAAGCTTCCACCGTAACAATGATCGACAACGCGTCCTCGAAGGGTCGCGTGCACTTTCTTCTCGTTAGAAACGGAACGACACGCGATAGAAATTTTATCAAAATAAATGTGCACACCAGGTTGCACGATACCTCGTAGTGTGTCACCAGTTCTATCCAACAAGTATCTCTTTGCAGGATCTCTCGAATACCGTAGAAAAACACCTCGTTTAGAATCCGATTCCTCACTGTACTCCCACCTCTTCTGTCGCACTTTGGCTGTCCCTCTATGTAATTTTATTCCCGTCGAAAATTTTCCAATTGTATATGTGTACTCTCAGTTTTCGCTCGCTATCGACAAATGTTTAACATTTGCTATATATGTAACTCGTCAACTTTAGGCGTGAGGGCATACATATATACGTCACGATGGAACGACCAACAACAGAAGCAAATTCACATTTGACCAGGGTTGCCGGGAATAAAGCCTTTATGTCATCGACGTACGTATAATGTCTAGAGCGTTCGGTTACGTGTCTCCCATAGTCGCGTCAACGTTACCAGGATTGGTCAGAAATAGGACAGGGTCTGACCATGGGAAACATGAAACCGCACGCTCTAGACATTATACGTATGTCGATGACATAAAGGCTCTATCCCCGGCAACCCTGCATTTGACCGATACACAGCGAACCACGAGCATGCGCCCAACTTTAAACCGTTCAAAAGCGTTTTGTAAGACCAACGAATTCAACCATGAATCCCCAACCCAACCCTTCGATCCGTCGTTGATCAGGAAAGAAAATTAAAAGAAACCGGTCGTAAAGTATCCGATCACCAAATTCAATTCCATTTCTTTGTTATGTTCGCTTACATTACTATAGCAACTGGATGCTTTCGTTCTGATGTAATTTTAATTAAGACATAATGTATTTAGAAGAGTTTCATTACGAGAAAAGAAATGAATTTGTTGGTTTGGATAATAAGGGGATTTTTTATTCATGTTACAGGATCTGGAGACACGAATATTGATTCGTAAATATCGAAACGAAATTTCTTTACCTACATCGCCATTCTTATTGTTTAAGTTTTAATATTTATTCATTTTAAATATGCATTCGTAGGTTATTTTTTTCAATTGCTACATACAGCCCTTTACATAATTTCATAGATCTAAATACTGTCTATGAAAATTTTAAAGAATAATTCAGAAAACTGGAATCAAACGGAAATCCACTTCTGCTTTTAATGGTCGTATTAAATTGAAAGTAAAGTAAAAAGTTGATTAAGTTTCATAGAAATTGTTATTTTATTGTGTAATTTACACTTGTACATCCGATAAATATATCACATCCTCAGCCTACTTATTGTTTTCATTTATAATACGTGAATAAGTCGAATACATGTATTTATAATGTAGTGAATGCTTTGAAAAGTTCGTATGCTGTTGTTTTTTTTGAAAACCCACTAAAATAAAGATCCAATGATAATGTGAAAATAGCGACTATTACATACTGGTGCTGCAGTTTGTACACATTTTGTGTATATTTCCAAAATATATGTACAGAATTATTTAGTAAAAAATAAAACAATGTTGATAATGTAGTTGTTATGAGAACGCGGCTTCATTTAGTTTGATCCAAATAAGAGATTATGATTATATGTTGGTAGTGTACGCGGATTGCCGCCACGGCAGCTATATTTCGACGATGAATACTGATTTGTAGTTTTAATTAAAAATTTGTGAGACTGAGTGCTGTTTAGCATCGATATCAAAAGGTGATAGTTATTTCCTGCTATTTAGAAGCACTAGAGTGTTGTATACTTTTAAATATACCCCAGTGCTCCACTGGTTAAATTTTAAACTGAATGTAATATTTAATTTTCAATCGATAAATTGTGTAGTTCAGTTCGACTTTTGTTTACGAGAAATTAGCCACTGTTTATCGAGGAACGTAAATATAATCTCTATCTTCCTTTATTTATGTTTTACTATTACTGTCAGACTCTGATTAAATCACAAGTCCAAAACTCAACATGGCGAAGCGAAGCTACTTTTTGCGATAACCTCAATTTCTTATACAGTGGTCTACTGTATTGGCGAAAAAAATGTAATGTCAATTGTTTTCGGGAAATATTTCATTGTTTCTTCTTATTATCTAATATTCTCATCGTAACTGCATCAGTTTATTGTATTTTTATGTTTGGATTGTACGTGTTTCTCCTATTGAGTTGAGAAATTTGTTTATACTAGTCAAAACAACTTTATACAATTTATATATATACACATGTTACGCATATAAAATATGTTATTTGTGTCGAAGTGCACATTTATAACAACTTTTTTTGATCTTTGCATACATTTTTCGAACATTTTAAAATTTTTTTCATCAAAATTTCCTTTAATTCACCTATTTAATAGTGTTTTTACATATTTTTAGGTACATGTAAACACTCTGTTACATGATTGAGTATGGATTCTAATACTGATGTAGAACTATCAGCAGACAAACTTGAAAACGATTCACCTGTAAAAAATGAAGAAAATACTGCAAGTTTAATTGTTCGAAGTAAGGAGGTAGATAGTGGTAAAGGTGAAATATCAGAAGTTTCATTAAATGCTGAAAGAGAAAAAGAAATTATTGAAACACGCCGTACGAGTGAAACGGTGGTTGACAAAGCCAATGAAACACAACAAGAATCATGCAACAAAGATAAAGATGATATAGAAGTATCAAATACCAAATTAAGTAAAGAAACATCTCTAGGTAAAGATAACCTGTCAGTGAACGATCCGAGTTTACAGAAAAACAATGTAAATACAACATTAACAGATTGTAATAGTGCAGAGTCGGAGAGGATACAGGAAAATGATACAAACACTGTTTTGCAAGAAGATAAATCTGAAACAACATCAACAGTATCTAATATTGTGAACAGCAACAACACAATTGATACATCAAATGTTTCGAATACAGTAGAAGGCACAGAATCTCAAAAAGATTCAGGAGATATAATAGAGGAGTTGAAAATACAAACATCAACGAGTAATAGTACAGGCAATAAATGTAATTTAAATGTAATTGAAAAACAGAATGATGGCACTGACATAGACAAACCTCGGACAGATAAAATTCAATCATCTGTTACTGATGATTCAATTAGTAAGAAGACTGATTCAGAAGGAGTAGTGGATGACTTTGACAGAGACACATCAGAGAAAAGTACAATAGAACCGGAGAACACAGAATTTGTACAGTTTTCTCAAGAGAAACATGGAGATGCACAAATTGAAAATCAATCCATGGATGCAGAGGATCCTTTTGGTGGAGATAATCTTAATGTTGAGAATGTTGAACCAATGGATGCAGATGATCTTAACGAAACCGAAGTGGGTTTTTCTAAATTGTGTACTCAGGCTGACAATCTACGAGATATTGTAAATGTTAGAGAAAGTAGCTTTAGTACCAGCAGTAAAGACAATGAAGGAAATAAAGATATTCCTGCGAATACATTGCAGTCTGCAAATATAATTCAAGACGCTGAGAAGAATCGTACTGAGAGTTCATCTAAGGTAGAAGAAAATGAAAATTTAAATAGAATAGAGGTTGCAGGTTCAACTGAGAAATGTAACGATAGAACAAAAAAAACTCTTAGTGAGATGACATCAATAGAAACAGAAGAAGAACAGTCAAATGTTTTACCAGGACAAGATGACGAATTATGTATTATTCCAGACAGCATGAAATTGATAATTCCTGAACAAACAGAAAAATCTAACTCTAACAGTAGTAAATCTTCGCACGAAATTAATACTGGCCATGATGCAATTACGAAAACTTCACAAGATAATGCACCAAGTACAGATGGTAAGAAAGACACGCAAGAAAATATAGAGGTATTAAATAATAGAAACGAAAATAATGCAAAAGTTGTTGAAAGTATTCAAAAAGAGACAGATTCTGTTAACAGTCTTGCAGCCTCAGCTACAGATGTTATTAATATCGACGAAGAGTCGAAAAACTCTGAAATTGAAGAGATCACGCCTAGAGACGTTTGTAAACAATGTAATGAATTAAGATCATGTAAGATTAAAGTTAAAATTGGTTTTGATAATTATACCGTTTGTTCGAAAACTTGTAAAGCTTTGTTTAAAGCTGCCAATAATAGAGCTGTAGATATTCCCAGCGATGGAGTCAATTCTAAGAGAGAAAAACGTTGCGCAAACTGTTTGCTAATCGTTGAACCTGGCGACGAACGTAATCTCTCGTGGGAGACAATGGAATTTTGTAACGAAGAGTGTTTAGGGAAATTCCAAACAAAGTATGGCAGTTACTGTAGAAATTGCAATGGTTCGGTACAGGCGGTTAGTTTAGGCAAATACTGTGTACGATTTGGCTACGATGTTAGACAATTCTGTTGTTCTACGTGTTTAGAAGAGTTCAAGAAAGGATTAAAAGTATGCACATATTGTCAGAAAGATATAAGTTCTAGCACCGAAGGTTTTCTTGCACCAGTTGGCGATAAGGGGCAATTTAAAGATTTTTGTACGCAAGATTGTATGGAGAAATATTCAAAGATGAGTTCCGTTGAACCTCCGGTTATGGAAAAGAAATGTTGCAGTGTCTGCCAAGAGGTAAGGGAGTATTTACTTTTATTTGCAATATAAAGAATATACTCTTCTTATATTAAAATTATATTGCTTCTAACAGGAAAAGGTTGTCCACTGTGAAGTTCAGATAGACAGATCTGATCCGGTAGCTATTTGCAGTGACCCATGTTTTGCGGCGTTCAAATTTGTAAAAAAAGTCGACCCCGATCAATGTTCTACTTGCAAGAAATTTTTCGAATTACCCAACAAAAAATGTTCCGTTGTGTTTTACGAAAACGAAGCTCATACATTCTGTTCGAAAACATGTTTAAATATCTTCATTATTACAAATAGAAAGATTGTACCTTGCAATTGGTGCAAAGTGAAAAAGTACAATTTCGACATGATTAAAAAGGAGCTGAAGACAGGACAATTGATGATGATGTGCAGCTTAAATTGTCTAACACTGTATCAGGTATGAAGTATCATGTATTATTATTGCAAGTCATTGAAAATAAAATTCACACTGTATACTTCATATTATGTCCAGGTCTCGATCAATGCAGTATCGGCGAAGCGAATTAATTGTGACTTCTGCAGAGAATTCTCCCAGGCACAGTACCATTTAACGATGTCCGACGCAACGATACGAAACTTTTGCTCGTATAGTTGTGTAATGAACTTTCAAGCGCAATACACCAAATCGCCAATCACGATACCAACAGGCGATGATCCGGTGCCTACGGGAATGCCCAAACGAACATTACCTCAAAGAAACACGAATTCGAACAACCAAAAAACGAACGACATACAGAGCAAAAAGAATATGCCAGTAATTTCATCTGTGACAAGTTTAGCCACAATAGCAAACGGACAATCTAGCCCAACAACGCAACAAAATAGTGTAAATAATATGGTAATCCCTTCAGTGAATATCAGTCAAAATCAGGCATCGCAAGTAATTTATAAGCAACACGTTATAACGAGGCCACCGAGTCCGGTACAAATTCACAACAAATCGACTCAATGCAAGCCAGTAATGCACACGAAAGGAGTTTCCGTGCGTCCGCATCCATGTACGAAAGGTACACAAACGGATGGAGTCCAACAGGTCGTTATTCCAATTCCAGTTCCAATTTATGTTCCGTATCCAATGCACATGTACAGTTTGCCATTCCCAGTCCCATTACCGTTCCCATTACCAATTCCTGTACCTATTTTTATACCTACAACAAGAAACAGTGCTAAAGGAATATTTAAAGATATCAAAAGAATACAGGAGAAAATACCAGCGGATCCGTTCGAGGCTGAACTTCTTACGATGGCAGAGATGGTAGCAACAGAAAAGAAAGCCAACGAGAGTGATTCACATTCTGCGGACGATCGGTAAGCTTAATCTGTTATTAATAGAGGCTACAGGACGAACTAATAATTATTCTATTTCACAGAGACGAAGATGCCGGTGATCGTGATCAATCGCATGGCGGAGGTTTTAGTCCAGAAGAAGTTGATTCCAGTAACACATTCGGCGACGATATGTTGCAAATGGCTTTGAAAATGGCGACTGGAGAACTAGACGAACCAGCCGTCGACTTGGAAGCTGCGTTAACTCCAAATACAATTACGGCAACGCAACCACCAGCACAGTCTGAAACAACGATCGAAAATGATGGTAACGAAAGGAATCGAAACTATACAGGGTGGGGAAATAACTATTACCTCCTTAGATGTCTTCGGAATTATAAGGTTCACAGAAATATTTGTTTAACGAAAATTACACAGTATGAAGAGAGCCATCCGATGGTGCTAATAGCTTTTTTTGCAGTTGGAGGTACTTGGGATATTTCAAAGTCACTTCGATTTTTTTAAATGGACCGGTATGTTTTTGTTTCCGTGGAATGATAGAGGAGTTTAAAACGAGTTCAATGACCTATTACATAAGGTCGTTGAAGGTCATAGAAAGTAGAGAAAAACGAGAATGCTTACATGTGGTATCATTATTCATTGATTGCGTGAAAGGAATTCCATGAAAAATTTCAAAATCATTGGATTGGACGCGGCGGTCCAACATCGTGACCAGCTCGTTCACCAGACTTGACATCTCTAGATTTTTTTCTATGGAGAACATTGAAAGATAAAGTGGACAAGGAAGTACGAACTACACCTCAAGACATGCAACAGCGAATTATTACAGCCTGTGTGTTAATAATTTCTGATGTTACAAGACTAGCATGTCAATCAGTCAGAAAAAGAATCCAGTGTTGCATTGGTAGTGATGACCACCATTTCGAACACCTACTATGATCTTATGTAATAGGTCGTTGAACTCGTTTTAAGCTCCTCTATCCTTCTACGGAAACAAAAGCATGCCGATTCATTTTAAAAAAAGGAGGTAACCTTGAAATATCCAAAGTACTTCCACCTGCAAAAAAAATGATTATCGCCATCGTTTTTGTACGACTTTGTTCGTACTGTGCAAGTTTGGTTAAACAAATATTTCTGTGAACCTTATAGTTTCGAAGATATTTGAGGTGGTAATAGTTATTGCCCCACTCTGTATACCGTAACTGAATAATTGGAATTTGCAAGAGAGATTATAGTGAATATATTCCTTTTTTTTAATGCGTTCAGTCCAAACAGAGCGATTAATGGTTAGTTCACGTGGAAGGAAACGAATGGTTCCGTATAAACCACGGTCTACTCCGAATAAACGAGGAAGACGTGTGTCTGCAGCGAACGATATGCCCCTAATGCCGCCACCTGAGGCCCAACCGCCTTCTCAACCAAGGATTATAGAACCCCTGGAGAAACCAGACGCCAATATGGTGTTGAAATACACTTTCGGAATAAACGCGTGGAGACAATGGGTAACTTGAATACATTGTGATTTATACTTCGATTTGAAAACGAACGTGAGAAATCATTAATGCATTGTTAATAGGTAGTTGCAAAAAATACTGAACTAGAGAAACAAAGTACACCGATGAGGAAAATGAAATTGTTTAAAACAGATCTGTTGCAACTCACAGCGGACGAATTAAATTATGCGTTGTGTCTTTTTGTGAAGGAAGTTAAGAAACCAAACGGCTTAGAATATGCGCCGGATACGATTTATTATCTCTGCTTGGGTAAAGTTTCTTGGTTAAGTGTGTTATCAGTCTAAAGAAGTTCCAATGTTTAGCTTATTTGTGCGTTACAGGGATACAGCAGTATTTGTTCGAGAATAATAGAATAGACAACATTTTTACGGATTCATATTATGAAAAGTTTACGGACTGTTTAAACGAAGTTGCAAAAAAATTCTCGGTTCTTTATAATGATACACGTAAGACATTTAATTTTTATTTTCTCAATTCACTTGAAAACGAATCTTTATCCTAGTTAACTGTTTCTTTTCTGTTTCTTAGAATATATTGTCACAAGGGTCGAAGAAGAACATTTATGGGAATGTAAGCAGTTAGGTGCTCATTCGCCTCATGTTCTCTTAAGCACCCTTATGTTTTTTAATACGAAACATTTTAATCTCGTGGTAAGCGTGGATTTTTTGCATTTATGTTTTCTACGGAAATCATTGGAATTTAGTAGTTTTTAAAAGAAAAATTTTGCATTAAAAGTTTAGAGATAACTAAAATCTTTTAGACGGTAGAAGAGCATATGCAGTTGTCGTTTTCTCACATTATGAAACATTGGAAACGTAATCCTGCCGCACAACCGACGGCAACAGGAAAGGTTCCAGGATCTAGGAACGTTCTTCTTCGTTTTTATCCGCCACAGTCAGCATTGGGTTGGTATTGAATGATTATTAGTAATAATTTCTTACGATAAGCGCACTAGAATATTCGAAACTTATGGTTTCTTCTTCTAGAAGGCAATTCACGTAAAAAGAAAGTATACGAGCAACAAGAAAACGAAGAAAATCCATTAAGATGTCCCGTCAAATTGTATGAATTTTACTTATCTAAGTGGTACGTTACTTTCATTGTGAAATTTTTCTAAAAATTATTCTAGAGTATACAATTCATTTTTTTTTCTTTACTGTTATTTTAGCCCAGAAAGCGTGAAAACTCGTAATGATGTGTTCTATTTATTACCTGAAAGAAGTTGCGTACCGGACAGTCCAGTATGGTATTCGACGTCTCCATTGGCTAAGGAACATCTCATAAAAATGCTATATCGCATTAAAATGGTCAAAGAAATTAATGTGGCATTACTAACTAGTTAATTTCATGTTCGCATATTTAACTTCCCTCTGTTAATTCGGTTAATGTAACAGATGAAAAGTAATCGTTTTCCATATACAACAAACAAGAATGTTTGAAAAATGATGTGTAATCATTGAAATTTTATAATTTCTATTGTATATTTTTCACTTCCTAATAAAACAGAAAACTTATCATTAAATGAATCTTTTCATTTTTACATATACAATGCATAGAATATTCTACTTAAATTTGAATTAAATCTAATTATAATGAGCAATAAATGTATGACATGACTGAATTATAATATATATGTACATATTCATAAACATTAGTGGTAAGATAAATTTTTATTTACAAAATAAAAAGAGAATTATACACTCTTCTTTGGTAGTGAAAATGTACGTTTACGTTTCAGAATACTCTTCTTCACCTCTAACTGTTTGAGATCCATTTGTAAGTCGGAGAATATTTCTTCTTGCTCTTCTTGTGGAATAGTTTCCCTAATAAAGTAATAAATCAGAGGAAGTGTTTAAGGGTATAGAATACTTTTAAATGCAAAGTAAATTAATGCATGCTCCGTATTACAAATTTTACCTGTAAATTTTCATTAAATCATATTTCTCCCATGGTGTAACAGCAGCTGCTGCCTTTCTTCTACGATTTTGGCTAACAAATGGCATTAGTTCTACCACTCCTTTCAAATTTTGACGTTCCCATTTTTCTAACCATTTTTGGTCTTTAAGAGTAATTACAATTTCATTCACTGGTACAGGTGTTCCCTCGGGTAATTTTTCTGGTTCCATGTCAAATGGGAATGTACTATATTCTGCTGGTGCATCTCTGAGATAAAGTAGTTTATTGTCTAATCTTTTTTCCAACCTGTAAGTATCATATACATTCAGTATTAAATTCCAAATACATTCTAACGCAATGATTCAATAAAAAAAGAAAAATACAATTGCTGTCTACCTTAAGCATTCAATTTTCTGAATAGCTGGATCGTATAATTCATAACGTACTTCTACACCTTCATTATCCACAACGTTTCTTAGAAGAAATGAGGCCCTTAAACCACAACCTTCTCTCAAAATGCATATACCGACGAATCTGTTTACTTTTCCAGTTGCATGTGGCTCGGCATAAGTTACCGCCACTATAGAACCGACATAAAATTCAGGAATAGTTATTACAGCTCTTCTAGCTAACATATCATTGCGTTCCAATTTTTCTCTCAAACTGTTACGATACAGTGGATTCGGATCTGGTAAAAACTCTGGATAAATGTGTCTGTAATTTGAAAACAATGAATCGGACGACCGTTCCGTGGTTTTCTTTTTAGAATCATTGCTTTGAGGTATTGTTTCTTGCTGCGATGTTTGTGCAAGGGATGAAAAGGCTCTCCCTTCTTTGCCTGAAAATAGCAGGATAATAATTCTGAACCGGTTTTGTATATAAACATGCAATAACGAAAATAAAACATACTTATCGATTTCAAAAAGTGTTGATTTTGCCATATTCTATAAGACAACACCCTCCATGAAACAACCATTCTTCAATATCAATATATTGTTTATAATTCCTCCGCTTTACAACAGTAATAATAGGTTAAAGCGTGACTGAAATGATTTCGATAGATGGCTCTACTATCTTGCAAAAGCTCCGTACACATTTATTCAAACTAATGTGAATTGATCATTGTAAAAACATGTCAAAGTATTTACGTGCCGCACGTGGTCTGTCGAAGTGAGAATATTTCAACTACGTTATGTTTTCTTATTCTTTTGACGTATTGAAACGTGCAAAATTTTCAAATAATTAATTTTGCACTGCAAGCATAATGAAGAAAATATACTTAATTTTAGTAAATTTAACCAATATTCGTTGATCGAAACATCTGACAGATGTAATTATTTAAACAAACTTTCAATTATGTTCGGTGATACTGTAGAACTTTATACTATTAAAAATAATATTTTTTTTAGGGATCTTTGCATCAGTATTGGAAAATGTATGAAATGGACTTTACTGATATGGGTTAACAAGAATCTGTGTTAAATTTGAGTTAAAAACCATACCTTATGTTAGACAATTTATAATTTTATGTAATAAACGCACAGTTTAAAAGGTAATGATACATATTTCGTTGATTCCTGTATATGTAAGTTGCAGTACACATATTTGTTGTAATTTAAATATAAAATTTCTTTTTAGGTTTCTTGTATTATCATTTTTGCAAAGTAATATTTTTTAAATGGTTGAAAACGAGGCAATATTGTGAATGCATTAAGAGTTTCTCTATACAACTAAAAAATTATAATTGGGTTGTTTAATTTGTATGTATTAATATGATAGAATCTGTAACATTAGAATTAAGACCTAGACTCCAGATATGCAATGCTTTCATTCATCTTCGAACAATAGTTAACTCAGAAAATGTTAGAGTGAAGCTTCTGGAAGAGAGTATTGAAATAAGTATAGGAAATGAAATGTTGAAGTTATTAGTGAAATCTATAAAATTTATACCAAATTCATTGTCAGCATTAAGTGTAACGAACAATTGGATTTGTTTCCGCATACAAATAAGATCCAATTCAGTGTTTGGATCCTTCCAAACAGAATTAGTTAATAACTCAGTACCAAAGATCAATTTTCCAAATGATTCTGTAAATAAATGTACTTTGGAAAACAGTGAGCTACTTAATGCATCCGACTGCCACATATTGTGCACATGCTGTAAAACTGTCCTTTCGAAAAAAATACTTGTTAAAAGAGTGTTGCCTGTACCAGATATGAATTACGATCCAGGCGAATGGTTTTGCTGTACACACAATCACGATGATATTTCACAAAATTTGGTGCCATCAGAGTCTGATATCTTTTATACTGCTCTTTTCTTTGTTGTTCAATCAAGTCTGTTCAATAATAATTTGAAAGTAGATGGAAATAGTATAATTTGCAACAGATGCTTACAATATTTGGGAAAAACTGATAAAAATAATTTGTTTAAACTATGGAGTTATTGTATCGATTACAGTTCATCGAACGATGTAAAGTTGAGAAGTGCGTCTGACCCCTTCAATGACTTCTTATTAGCTATAAAAACTTCCATGACCGGTATGTTTGGCGAAGAGATAATTTTACAATCTTTTGTGGGGAAAGAAACTCATTGCCTTATTCTAAAACCAATGGACTGGAATTTGAATTTAATGATAGAACCGAAACAAATCACTAATAATAATAGTATAACTCTGCAGAAAGTATCTATTGTTAAAGCATTATATAAATATGAGACAAAGAAGAGTATCATAGATTCCACAAATAGATCGTATTGCGAAGTAGGTCCCTCAGTGATAAAGGCAGGTTTGGAGCATTTATTATTATCAACAAAACGATTTCCGCAACTTCACAGAGTTGCATCCGATTATTATATTGGGCACATATATTTGGAGAAACCTACAAGTGAAAGTTAATTATGTTTTTTATATTTTCATAGAAAGACAATTTGTAATACTTTGTGCAAAGATAACATATATTTTTGTATTAATTTTTATAACATAAACTAAAATATCATAATTCTAATTTAAATCGAATCAATATTTCTGTATTATATGAATGCATGAATAAAGTTTTATTTTATCAGAAATTTACACATCTATTAATATTTTACATTCCATATCCGATAATGAAAATTTCATATGCCAAACATATTTTCAAACGTTTCATTTAAATGAAGAATAATGTACAAACATGAAACACTGAACACAAAAATTTACAAGACCTAAGTAGGTATACGTATTTATGTTATGTAAATGCTAACTGTCTAAATTCAATGTAAGAAATAATTGTATAAGTACATTCATACAATGTACATACTATAGATTTTCATAATTATGGATCAAAGGGTTTTTTTTGTACGTAGTTTATCGTCTAAATTGATTAAACGCGTTTTGTAAAATTAACTGACATTTATAATTATTTGAAATCTATGGTTTTCGAAATCTTTGCATAGAGTTTCTCGTGCATAAGGCATTGAATACATGAAATATATTAAACCAATTAGTTTGTAACGAATTCAGTAAAGTGTCAATTCATCTTCAAAATTTATGTTCGCATCTGATAAAGATGTATTTTTATGTGTACTCTAATATCATTTAATTAAATTTTTTATCATTTTATCTTTTATCAACAAAGATCAAAATGTTAAGAATATCATTTTTACAAGTACTTGGTTTTTGTAACGCTAAACCTACCATAACAAGTCAAATGACCGGTTCTGCCGTTTTAATTTCTATCTTTCCGAAGGTTTCGGTAGGTTTAGTATTAATAGTACATAAGCTTTGTAAATCTATGTTTACATATAATACATCGCACGATACTATGATGATTTTTAACATCGTGACTGTCAATAGCTATACTTTATAAAAAATAATTTGCCAGCTATCAAAATACTTATACAACGTTGAATGAAACCTTAATGTTACGTACCATTTTAATATTTTCTATTGTACTTAATCAGGTTCAAACGAAAAGTAACATTTTAGAGAAAAGAACGCGTGATCTCTTTCAATTTTCTTTGTTTCAAGGTAATGAAGTCATTAGGCTTAAAAACGGTATTTCGAAAAGCATTAAAATATAATTGTATAAATTAAATAATATTAGGATGAGTCATGCCTTTGTTAGGCCTTCTTATACTTATAGTACTGTGCAATATCTAAGTCTGTGACGAAACATTTTGTGGAATTTACGTTGCTGCCGCTTGATCCGGGGACGAATGTAATCTGTCTGCAAGAGGTTTTACGTATACCCAACCACCATCTTTAGTTTCTTTAAACAGCTGTTAAAGAAAAAAAGTTTTGACACAATTCCTCGAAAAATTGAAAACAGAATTTGGGAGATTTTTAAGAATATGTACCTTCGTTTGCCAGTTCATATTATTTTCCTTTCTAATACGTGCCTCTTCTCGTTGTTTCTGTTCAATTGTACACTTGGCAGCGGTAGCTTTTTCCATATCATTAATCCTCAATCCAACGGTCACATCCCGCCAAACTTTTCGAGATTCATGTTCTTCTTGTTCGCAGACTGGCTTTACTAATTTCCTTTGAGTATGAAGTTCTCTGACATCCGCAAATATTTCAGTTCTCTATAGAATTGAAATTTATTAGAATAAGTAATTAGAATTACGAATTAAAATTGTTTGATTATTGTAGAAAACAGTAACACCCTTTATACTTACACCGTCGATCCATTTCGCTTCCATAGCACCATTCCACTCTCCATTTATTGAAATAAATGGTTTTTTATCTCCTGGTTGTGTAATATGACACGAAATTCGATTACGTTTACCTCCATAGAAAGGTTTCGTTAAGAATTCTACAGTAGCTTGGAAACCAGTTTGTGCACAATGTATAGTCGCAGTTCCCCCTAATTCTATCCATGGTACAGTGAGGATAGATCTACCATAACCATTTGGAAAAGTTAATACATATTCTTCTCCATATTGTAATACGTTTACCCAACCCTTTCCTACATTATGTACTCCTATACTCAATCCGAGGAATTTACTTTTTGTCCATACATGTGCTCCGAAGCTGATTCGCTTTGTGTAATGTTCAGCATAAAACGCGCTTACTATATGAAAAAAATGTTGTTTTCATTAAAAATTTCTCTAAAATGTTGATGATTATATAAATTTACATTCTTATGCACTAATTTACGAGAATAAGAATTAAATAGAAACGTGTGACCTTAAATAGTGATTGATTATACTAGGTAAAAGAGGAAAGGATATCTGCGTCAAGCTTTATTAAACTTAATACTTAATTATGTTTTAAGAGTATAGTCTAGCTAACGATTAATAAATAAGGAACTTACTTGGAGGATGATGAGAAACTTGTTCTGCGATAAATGAAAGTTGATTCTCGTTGCACCAAGGTACAGGACCTTCAGCGACTAATTTCGAATCAATTGCACTATCTACGGTATCATTGGGAATGTCCCAATGACATTTAAACATTTCACCTAATATCGGATTATATGGTTTTTTAGCCACTCCTGATTTGCGACCTGCATGGAAGCTACATAAATACCAGCGAACTACCTGAACCATTCTATCTCTTGGGGTGGGCATATCTGCTATGCTAAAATGCACAAAGTGATACTATCATATATGATCGAGTTTAACTCGTCTTTTACAAGACATTTCAGTAATATTACATACCTTATAAACTGATCAGGGTGGGTGAAGTAATCTGCATACATTTCCAAAAGCGACCTGCGCTCCAAAATAAATGTAGGTAATGCTACTTTTGTCAAATCCATACCAATCTTCACTTGCGATAAGAGATGGGTCACAACCGAACCATGGGATTCCATGGAATCCACTGAAAAGCAGTATACAACAAGTTAAGCGATACATTTATCTCCATACCTCAGTTATTCTTTTAATAATTACAAGATATATTAATACGATAATTACTAACTTTCGGTTTCGCTTTCCTCCTCGTAAAGAGCTGAATGAAACAAATAAGAGACAGATATGAAATGTTTAATTTAGAAATTAACATCAAATGCTAATAAAGTAATATTCTTAGTGGTACAAATCTTATATAAATCCCTTATATATTCATAAATATTAAAGAAATATGGAAAACATTGAAAAAATTTCCTATTTGGTGAGGACTCGCAGGAGTTGACTCACTACATAGATTTCACTGTAATTTAAAAACTTACTTTTTGAATCTGCACCCTGCATATTGTCTTTTTCTAAAATACCAGCTAATATCCATTCCTAAACACTTTCACTGTATGAAGTTAACTATACGTGACATAAAGGCTTTTTTCTGAGAAATAAAATCCACAAACCAAGAGAAAATATTAAAGACTGTTGAAATTTTTCTATCAGTAAATTTGCCATATTATCAGACATTCAAGCGTGACTTTCAGTACAAATTTGACGACTACTTTGAAATAACGTTACGTTAACACGACAGTTCACGTGTTGTATAAGAGCTGACGAAAATCAATAATTTTAGTTGCGGGTAAAGTCGAATGGTATATATACGTAACGGTACCTGTATTATCGGTACCAACGAATACATTTTATTACGAATTTCTAACATTCATTTTCTTAATGATTTATTTGAACTTTCAAATGTAAAAATGAAATACATTTTAATATAAGGTCTGAGCAATTCTAACAGTCACACGTGTTAGAGTTTTATGTCATATTAGTATGCCCTAATCTGATTTGACTAATCTAAATATACATATACATACTCATTTGTAATTTATTCACTCACATCTTAGCTTCGATTATTTTTTTTTTTGATTCCAAATATAAAGATTACATGCAACAGTACAGTAGACAAATATAACACAGTGATCATTTCATCCTTATTAAATATAAAATATTGCCTCTTATATTTATTAAATTGTATGAAATATGTAATTTTTTATATGCTTATCTGTTTATACACTTACCATCGTAATCAACAGATCCATCGCCCTTTATAGGCGGTAACGGATTTTGTTTCCGGTTTTCACTCGAACTAGTATCTGAATGTGTTTGTAATTGTTCGCTATCCCGTCGTCTACTAAAACATTTCAATGTCATTATAAAATAATTCAACTATCTTTTAAGCCTTATATGCATATTTAATGAAATTCATGAATACTTACACAATAATATGATTTTGTACTGCAGACGGGTGTGATATTTCGTCTGCTGCATCATAATAATCATCATCTTCGTCCGAAGACGAGTAAGAAAATTGTGGTACTGGAAGATCTCTATCTACAACAGCTTTACAAGTAAAATTTAAAGGATATATACATAATTCAAACTATTTTTCTTAATTAATAATAAAGTATTATATAATAAATATTAAGTAATATATTTAGTATTTCTGAGTAGATGTTCCATATCTACTTTTACCGTTCCGATCGTATGTCTGCTCTCAGTCACCAGACTTTGTATAATTAGCATATGTTCAATGAAAAATAATTTTGACTAGTAGGAAACCCGTGTCTAAAATAAATACCACCGCAAAGGATTGATACATATAACTAAGAAAAGCTGGATTACCATTTGGCAATGTAGGTACTCTTGGTTCTACGCATTCGGAACCTAGTTCAATTCCAGTTTGTACAGTTGCTTCTGGTTGTCTAGTAGCAACTAATATTGACTTCATTAGAATGTTTTTGTTATAGATACATTTTATATGTTATATCTGAATAATTACCATGAGATAAAGGAGATGAAACATGTATTGAGTCGGTGGGTCCCCTATATATCCCATTCACGGGTATTGCTGTATTCTGAAAGTATTATTATGTGTACTATATGCGATTCATATTAAATGTGAAAACTTTAGTTGTAGAATTTCGACTAAAACATATATTATAATTATACTCTTCGTTTACCTTTGCAATTTGCAGTTGAACTATTGTATGTTTAACAGAATTAAGCATTGCATTCGCTTGCAATAAAATTGCCGCGTACTTCTGTTGTTTTTCTTCATCCTCTGTGGCAGCACTTGTCTGTTTCGTTTCAATTACTTTTATTTGATCGATTAACAACTGAAGATAAGCATCTGCCTCTGCTACCTTACGATCAAAATCCTGCCTAGGAGGAGACTTCTTAGGATCCCATCTCTGAAATAATAATAAATTTTTTACTGTAAAACAAAAGAACATGTAAATATGTAAAAGGAAAACTTGTTGCTCGTGATAAAAAAATAAATTAATCGTACAGCATGAGAATGACGTAATATAGTATCTTCCAAAGCACGAATCCAACGTTCTCGTTCCTCTGCATTTCGTGTTTGAAAGTGAAATGTTTTTGGATCATCTTTGTACGATGATGTAGTAATTGTAAATGTGCTATCGTCTTCATCATCTATACCAATGATTGCATCTCTTAAACGTACACATCCTCTGCGTGCTCCTCTCATCATCTTCTCTTTACTCTGAAATATAATTAGTGTAAAGCTTAATTCAACATTTAACATTAATAGATAATGTCGATGTTATACATCTCAATACAATCAAATATGCTTTATGAACATTAAAAATAATATTTCTGAGATAGTTGTGTAATTGTAACCATCAATGATAAAATTACTAATTCTATTAAAATGAAAACATTTCTGCTAATATTAGATAATCCTTCTCAAAAAACGGCTTACTTTTACCATATACATTTGATCAGGATTTTCCTTAGAAGTAACTTAATCGTTTGAAATTCAAAGATCAGCTACTTATGACAGATAGACAAATTATTTTTAATAAACGTCAGTAATGGTGAAGAACTGAATCAACAAACAAACCAACATAATAAAAACAGATTGAATTAGAATTTCTAGGTGGATGTTAGTTAAATTTTTTGAAAATGTATTAGAGTGTAACCTATTAATAACACGGGCTAAACAACATAAAACATGTTTAAATCGTTCAAAAAACCTTACCGTGTAGTATGACAAGAGACCAGCATTGTCATCCAGAACAAACCACCGATATTGCCATCCGTTAACAACATTTGTCCATTTGCTGAGTGAACCTTCCATCGTCGACATTGTTATTTGTTGCTCACTGTTGCCTATAAATGTATATACACGAGAATATATAGCGTGCTGTATGTATAATATGTGTTTCTGTGCGAATGTATAGAAAGGTAACTCTATAAGAAGGATTTACATAAGACGAATTTTCAAATATATTCGTGTTGAATTTATAAATTTCTTTCTTGCAGTCAAGAGATGCCACATTCGAATTGTGCTAATTGATCGGTGACACGTACTTTTTAATTCGAATATATTATACACATCTTATTAAAAGTCAGACGCACTTTTCTTGATTTAGATCGAATCCCATCGAATCCTGTGTGAAAAAAAAATCATCTGTACCGGCTCTCCGTCTTCCTAGTTACTTCCTGTAGTCTACGATTACAAAAGATTCCGTTAAGATAATAATAAAATAACAAATACATATAGAGCACTGAAAAGCTGTGGAAATGGTTAAGTGTACGTTAATGCAATAATTAATATTCTTTTGTAAATTAAAGTCGATTCGAGTAGATTCTGCTAAGTAAACGAATTATTCCTGATCCAGATAAATATTTAAGGAGACAAGTGATTTAGCCCTTTAGAAAGATCAGGCAAGTACTATTATCTATGTCAGTCAGCTGATTAACTGGTTTTTCGTTGTGACAAAGCTACCCTAACGTCCGTTTGTGTAGAACCGTACCAAGTATACGTATATTTGTGGTAACTGTGTAACAGTGAGAGACGAATTGTGCAAATAAATTCGCACGATATGTAAATCTGATTAATAGATGTTTTGTAAATGTGCATGGTTTTCTATAATTTATCACAGAATATCTATTTGACGTACTTCATCGTGTTTCTTTATGAAAATTATAAGAGAGGCATGACATTCATAGAGACAAAGAAAATTCTGTGCTGAAATAGACGATATTAAAAGTTGAAATGCTACGTTTATTCTGATTATTATACGCAGGTGAATCAAAATATTTATCTTGGTGTGTTTGGAATTTAGTAGCAAATATTACAACATGGAAGAGAAACATGGTTCAAGTGTCTTGGATGATGAGGAAGTAGAAGATTCCGAAAATATAATAATAAACGAAATTGATGGGCTACCAAATTTGCATCCTAATTATCAACAATTAGAATTAGAATTCGATGTTGAAAAAGGCCATAGAGAGGCGAACACAAGATCTATAGAAGATTTGGTGTACGATGAAGATTTACCAACATCTGTTATTGTAACCAATGTGGATCCTCGAGTATTTAAAAGTGATGAATTAAAGGTGACACAATTATATATTAAAGTCAAACAAAGTGGATGTGTACTTAGTTAAACAATTTTCCTTGTAGCACGAAATGGAAGATTTATTTAAGCAATTTGGAGAGGATGCTACTTTTCAGTATTTTAGATCATTTAGAAGAATGAGAGTAAACTACACTTCTCCGAATGCAGCTGCAAATGCTAGGATACAGCTACACCAAATTCATTTTGGTGACACCGACATCAATTGTTACTTTGCGCAACCTGTCACCCCAATAGGTTTGTAAAAATACATTTTATATCACAACTAACGTTAATTTTTGCAAAGGATAACAATATCGATTTTTACAGCTACTGAAGACCAGCATCTTCAACCACCAGCACTTACCAAACAGTTCCTAATTTCACCACCTGCTTCACCACCTGTTGGTTGGGAGCCTAGGGAGGAAAACGAACCTTTAGTTAATCATGATTTATTAGCAGCTATAGCAAACTTATCTGCAGGTCCAGATAATATTTGTTATTATTTAAATAATTCGTTTTATGGTTTCTGTGTTACTGGTTACATAGTTAACATTGCAGGAGGTAGTCATGAATTGCATCCCGGAGGTTCAGGACAGCCTGGAATAGTTGTTCATGTTTGTGAAACGGCGAATACTGCAAAAAATGCCCCACGCATACAACATACACGTTGTCCAGAACATTCGTAAATAGCATTGCTAGAGATATTGTCCATTCTACGACAATGAATTATTTATCCATCCAAGAAGAAACTAGAGGCATTACAGACAATGGAATTCAACGTTCAAAAATTTGTATTGCTATATCGCAAAATTGAAATGTTTTTCACTTGTGGCAATAGTGTCGCAGGAAATAATTTGTAAACGTGTTTTGCTAAGGCAAATACATGTGAGTATTTTTTATAAAAATTATAGATGTAGAATGGAATTGTACTTTACAGGTATTATCATAGGAATTGTTTCTCTTTCCAGATATACGATATTATTTTATGCTGAGATTGCAAACAAAAATATATCATCGAAAACGTTACGTAATGAAATATTAGGTTGTTACACATGACACAATTGGTTTTACTAATAAGTTATTAACAGAAATCAGTATTTGCATATTAAATAAAGGCTTATATTTTGCTGTTTTTATGACATTACACATTGCAAAAATAAAATTGGTTGAACATTGTATTAAAATGGACAATGAGTCTGAACCAAATTCGGCTAATTTCTCTACATATACTATACTACACATACCAAAATATGAAAATTTTTAATGAAATTAGTGATTACGCTTTATCAGAAGCTCAGATAAAGTTCTATAAATACTGTTTACCAAAGAAATTATTTAACATAAATGTAGAAGTTGAAAATATCTTCAAAGAGATAAATTAAAATTCATAAAAATCTATTGATATTTATGTCTACTAAAATTCATTTGATGTTTAATGTAATATTAAATACGAAAAACTCAATCATTTCATGTGCAACAACCTGAAAAATCTTAGCGTAAAAATCATCAAATATTTATTAACGTACAAATCAATTATTAGAAAGAATCGATGCACACATTATTTTAGAACAACTTTCCAGTTGTTCTCGACTTCTTTTTCCGTAAAAAAGAAAAAAATAATGTAAAATGCTGAAAGCTTATTTGCCATCATAAAATCTAATAAAACTAATATTAATGTATCTACAGTAAAAGGTATTAAAATTAGTGATATCAAAGTTATATTTCGAGTTGTCGATGTTACTTGTATTCTCACAAAAAATACGTAAATTTAAGACTTTAGAAACTATCAGGAGGCAAGTAGAAATAAAAATTTCTTCTGATAATTATTTGAAAATTTGAAATAACTTTAGCTTGAGAAGTACAAAGGGAATGTGTGTGCAATGAGTTTAGTAAGGGCAATTATAAACATTGATGTATATTTAATGTACATACATGTGACTGTGAGTGTATACCATGTGAACGCATGAAAATTAATATCATTAATACCTTTCTGTATTAATTTCAAGTTAATTTATATTGAAATGGAAGTGAGAAATGATTTCATTTTTTCCAAAGAATGCTACTTACTTTGGGTAATGAATAATCGATAAATGAATCTCGAAAAAAAAACTCAACGCAACCAAAACTATACATATTACTTGCGATATATCGGTGTTACTGTTTTATTGCAACAGTAATGCGTATGTATATGTATATGTAAATGTATATAATGTTCTCACTCAAATGGAATATATCTCATGTTGGTGTAAGATTTAAACTAATATAAAGCTGTTGAAAATTTATAAATATGTTATAGCAAATTACTTTTGTGTGAATAAATACGTTACCAAAAATTTTTTTGTGTTTACATCACATACAGATATATTGAATAAAAATGTTGAAAAACAATATTTTGCTTTACTTTATTTTTGGGCGGAACTAAAGTAGTAAAAACAAATACATGAAAAAATATAAAAAATTTCGTTCTTTTAATTTAGAAATTGTTTACTTTTACACTGTCATTAGCTTATTCAATAATGTAGAAGCTTTATACACATAAATGTTATTAATAGTGGTAAGTCAACATGCTATGCTTCATGATGTGTCCGTGCAAAATTCAGCATAAGGATTATACATTGCATTACTAGTCTAATAAAATGAATTTGATTTTCTTGACCGTGACATTTACATGTATTGGTATAGGCCATTTATTATATTTTATTGTATTTCCGTTCAATTAAAATTTTTCCAGTCGAAAATACACATTTATTTCATGTAAAAAATACGACATAATTAATACAAAACAAAATGCAAAATCATGTAAAGAAATTTCCATAATCGATATTCTTTTTACAATTGAAATAAACTGACAAAAAATCGATTGTGTTTTAAAATATGTACAAATATCGTAAATAAACATACGCACACGCCTACATCGTTCAAGTTTAGATTTTTTCTTTGTGTTAGGTCAACACAAAAAAGTAGGAATATTTCTGTCTGTGTTCATTTAAAGTATGAAAATAAATTTTTGTGATTGGGTACATAGATTAGAATTTTTAAATGTTACAATAATTTCTTTGTCAACTATGCACAACTTGTAATCAAAGGTAGAATCTCATTTAAACATAATTCCAGAACGATATGACTTTGTGCCCAAACACTAATCCATCATGTTAACGATGTGTCTTTCTTCTTTCTGAATGTGTTACAAAAACATTAAATATTCTTCAATTACATTATGATTCTTTGAGCATACACTTTCGTACACAAAAACTGAATCTTTTATAAAAATATAATATTAATCGTAAGAGTTCCAACACTCTTGTATGTATATGTAAACCCATTTTATGCCACATACACAAAAGTGTTAATGTCGTCGTCGTGTCTGCGAATATATTCGTGTTCAATAAGCCATTCGATTTGTTCCTTTATCATCTTTTTACTTGGCAAAAACATATTCTTTAGTATATCAACTAATTCGGTTTGTAACTGAGCGTTACTAATTTTCTTGCGCATTTTTAAGATTTTAATGATTGCTTCCTGTAAAACAATATATCTAAATTACAACACTCACTTATTAAAAAGTAACATTTAATTGTATAAAATATACCTGAACCCTTAATATTCTAAGTTGTACAATAGATTGGTTGTCTTCCTCTTTACTTCGTTCTGTTGATAACTGAAGCCTTCCTATTAAATTAATTTTACCCCTCTTCTGTAATTTTCCATTTTTTCTGAAAATTAAGATTAAAATTGTACAATTAATCATGCATCTTTTACATACCAATTTACAGATATATTAACGAAATATACTAACACAATGGCGAATTCTTGATTCACCCAGAATCTCGTGTCATTCGCAAAATCTTTGGGACTGTGTGCATGTGGTTCTACCGATAAAAGTTGCCGTTTGAGTTTTGGAAAAGCACACAAGGACCATAACGTTCGTCTAAGTTCAGGATCAGGAAGTTCCGTAGCCAATCGTAAATTTTCATAAGATATTCTTTCAAACGGTCGTTGATTCCAGGCAAATAAAACCGCCATTTGAAATGTTGTTACGTCCACATCGAAGCGTCCCACTTGGTTGGAAAATGTTATCTGGAACACCATCCAAATTGGTTGCAAGTTGAAGCTGAAAATTAGAACCGATATATTGAATTTTTTGAAAGGTTCTATTTTATACCCTGGTTTACTGCATCAGAAAAATTTAGCTTGTTCTGTTTCGATAAATATTGAAATAGTCAATTAACAATTACACTGATATCTTTGTTATTTAAAAGAAACTCTTATTATATAAAAATTACAATCATAAACATAAAAATATTTATCTTAATATTCTCTGACAAGACATTTTATTTCTTACCGTGCCATTAGACATATGATGGTACCATTGCAACTTTCTCCCACTATGTTTTCTCTTATAAAATTCCTCTACCTCGGGAATATAATCTTCTAATTGTAACGGTAAACTTACAGTGACACGTTCACTGCCTCTAGCCCATGCACCTGCATTTAATATCTATAAACAATTGAATTCAATCAGTACACATTTAATTGTATGCAGATCGAAATAATCCATTCATTCTATCTAGTACCTTAATATTTATACTATCCGCAATAGCAGCTCTACACTGTTCTTTGAACTGCTGATTGAGATCGTGCGACACTTTAATGTCTTGGAACATTCTAGCTAATTTATTAACATAATCGGCAGGCATTCCGACTTCACGAAGCCATTCTACCATATTCTCCTCTTTCTCAGAATCCGCAGATGTGTCTAATATTAAGCGGCGAGTTAAATGAGCCTTATGATAGCGCATGAATACATCCTTATTCTGAACATACTTTAACACTAACAACTAAAACGAAATCAATAGAATATGAACGTTTAATAACGTTTATTGTATAAACATTTGGGGAAAAAGAAATACTTACTACATCCCTTAACTTGCTTTCAATTTCATCGGAAGTCAACTTCTTACTTAGGGGTGTCTTCCTAAGTAGCATATCACAGTAATTAGCGAGGAGTTCTGGGCACTTCGATTCCGGTTGACCGTTATTGTTGTTGTTAGGTTTATTATTTAAAATTGTTGTACCGATACCAGTGCTTTGGCGAGCCGGTAATTCTAATTTGAATACTGTCGCGTCGTTTACGACAAGTTTGTAAGCTTTATCTCTGGCTGTTAAAAATCTAGGATCGTCGTCAAACGCTTCTTTAACGAGGGTTGAAAAGCGACGGAAAAGATCTAGTAGTCTTTCAACGTATTTTTCGGAATCCTGAGTGATTACATCTACAGCTGCCATCATATCGGCAAGACCCGCACTGGCAATATGTTCTTCTAAATTTCTTAACATTGGACCAACACCCTCGGGTACTCTATCCATTAACTTTAGCATCAACCTAAGTTCTGTAATTATAATGTAAACAGTATCATTATTGTAAGAGTTTTAATTAACCTATTTTTAGGAGATTAATTAAACAAATTTCTGTTTTGAACACGACATATGAAGTTATATCCAATCTGTTTTAATTAAACTAATTCTAGGAGGTTAATTAAATAATTAATATATTGTTAAATACAAATTAAAATACCCTTACGATCCGTTTGATGATGTTGAATCATTCTTGGACATTCCGCCAGTATAGCTGGCTTAAAAGTTGCTACTAAAACACGTACACAACAATCCGTTAAAAGTTGTACACTTGCACTGTTTGGTTCTAAATATTTCTGTGCACGAAGTTCTTCTTCCCTCAATTTCGCCTCTGCATAACGCATGTAATTCTCGACACCATGTAACGATAATTGTTCCGGTGCTTTAACCCAATAAAACGCTTCTGTTGCTTCTATATATGCGGCTTCGAAGTTTTCTCTATAGATTTGAAGCTGATCCGTTGTATTGGAGCATAAATTTACTGCAATTATAACACAATTCTATGTATATAATAGCATATAGAGTACACCTTACATTAGCGAACAATTTATTACCATAAGATTCTCTAACACCAATAACAAGTTGCGAATCAAATGCTTCTCCATTTCTTTCAGCTCGTATAAGTCGCATAGCCGAGTCTTGAAGTTTCTGTTTTATTTCTCCAAATATGCTTTGGTTCCAACTATCCAACATTAACTGTAATTAAAGCACATGTGTTACGAAATCATTAACTAAAAACAGCAAGGAATCTTGATTTCTTTGCACCTTTCTAACAATATCATCAGGTTGATTCCTTTTTTGAACGCTGGAAGTTGTCTTTCCAGCAAGACTTGTTTCTAATTGTCTAAACGGCGTTGGTAGATAAATACACTGAGTAAAAAACTTCCTCCATTCTGCTATATATGCTTTTAATAAAGCTTGTTCTTCTTGATGTGCTAAAACCCTCTGTGAAAATTGAAATATTAATATTCTTTTTTGCTTTAAAGTATGTATATATATTATATATCATAAGTGTGTATTACCTGTTGAGCTTGTTTTATAAAATCCATTATATCTTCTTTGAGTGCATCCCTTAACTTAGGTGGACCTTTTTCATCCCACACACATACCAAATGAACAGAGTAAAATAAATCTTGCCATTCTGCTTGAGTTACCGGTTCTTGTTTGAGTAGTTTCAAAATAATTGGACGCATACATGGCCATTTATCTTCAAACGTGGATTGACTTTTATCCTAATCATATAAATATTGTCAAATAAAAGAAACAAAATGTTAGATTTCAATGTTTTTTGTGTATATAATAAATACACAAATATTTAAAATGGTGTTTATACTACATTCTGTATACAAGAAACATAAATATATGGTTTACACAAATTTTGATCTGGATAGCGTTTTTATTAACTTTTAATTCTTGATTTAAATTAATGTAGACAAATAAGTATTAAGAGAAATCGTTTAATTACTAAATAGAAAATCAACGATATGTATTAATTACTGACTAATTGTTATAACAGCAAGATTTTGCAGGCATTTTCAATTAAATTAAAATTGTATACATGCTTCTAGTAAAAAAATTTCAAACCGTTGTTTGACAATTTAAATATTGCATAGGTTATTAACATTTGCATGATACCGTCGAGAATAAGAAGGTATAAAAAGAAAATTGAAACATTTCAAATATTATACTGACACACGTTTGTCTATTTAAAACGACGATAATTACAAATTTCGTTATTTAATGACAACTAACCTTCAACATCGTCGCCATCACAAATTTTTGACATGACCTATACTATACCACAATGCGTTACGCCAATGAGTATACATACATACGTATGATATGCAATACTGGAATCTGGAATTGACTGTGATGCTATAACTATATTTCTAACATTTCCAATTTTTATTTTAATAACATTAAAATATGCTCAGTTTTTCTGCCACTTATAAGTAATTAAGTAATACACTTAATATAAACAAAATCCTTTTATATTCTGTACTTAACATATTTTATTATTTGAAGTACAAAATAAACATTTTAGATTACATGCATATGATACACGGTATAAGATAATCCTTACAAAAATAATGAAAAAATCTTAGCATTTTCTTGCAACCATTTTTAAGAGTTCAAATTTTTTACGAAAATATAATTTCCTAGATAGCACATGACGCCTTAAAGATGCCTATTTTACGGCTATTTTAGGTCTAAGGCATCTTTAAGCCGTCTTCAAGGCGTCATGTGCTATCGGGGCTGTAAGGTACATATTTTAGAGTAGAAGATTTAAATTTTGATTGACTGTTTTTGTTATTGAATGATGCTCAACAAAAAGTAATTAAGCATTTATGTCTTATATCTTATTATTAACCAAATTTAATGTGTTACTTTATTCATAACTGACCTACGGTTTTATATGTTCATTATTAGAAAGATGTAATGGAATGAAAGGTGAATAAATCATCCTTTTTTTATACGTAATCCTAGACAGCAGAGAAACATCTTACGTACATCTTAAAGACGTCTGTTTAAGACGTTCACAATGTCTTAAAAAGTATCGTAATATCGTATAAACGCCCAAAACGTGTTCTCTCAACATCGTATGTTAGAAAACTGAACATCTTTAAGGTGTCTAATTTAGGTCGTATCTTAGTCGTAATCAAACCTTCTGAAGACGTACCTGAGATGCTGGTAAGCTATTTTTAATACATAATATAGAATTTCAATAAGGTATTCATGTCATGTCGTAATATAATGAACAAAAAGATCTGCATACGGTTTTTGAGAAATCCTAAATTATAATATTTAATTGGTTTCCGTAACGTCAGCTATTATGCAGTATCATTTTATTTATAGTCAGTAACAAATAATGTTTGTACACGTGGTACCAAATTTGAATGTAAATAGTTAATGGTAGAAGAGGGGAGTAAATGTCTGTATCTTATATACGATTGAATTTATTTTAGTACTCTTCCTGGACTTGAAAGTAAGTTAACGAAAAATTAAACAATACAGATTTTCAAGTAGTTGAAAATTATTACATACGTAGAATACTTGAAATCTGCTATCGATAAATCGATATTAAACAATCTATATTTTTCTAAGGTGTTGATCATATTGATTCTGAATTTAACATTTATTATTAGAATATAAATAGGATATCATATCGTGCTTTTCATGTAATGTCGTGCGATCCATAATTATAATTGTATTATTTAAAATTCTAAATGTATTCGTAACCACATGACCCCTGTCACGTCTCCGAGATCACGGATTATCTCTCACGAACGAAGTAATACATACACATACATAATCATTCCAACCCGTGGTACCGTTACACAGTTTTAAGTTTTACTGAATCTGTACATTCGTTCAAGTGAAATCATTTTCTATCTAGATAAACATATATGTATATATATATATGGATTTATATACAATTATAATTATAATAAAGTAGCGTTAGACAATCAATGACACCTGAAACGTTAAAAATGTTAGTAAAGTTAAATTTTGAAAGTAACATTTACGTTTCTGATGGCACGTAGTCTGTCGATGTCGTCAATAGTGGGAAACGTGTTCTATCATCGTAATAATCTGCGATAATAATTTATTATCGGTTTCGAACGTGATCGAAAGTCACACCAGTGAGCTCAACTATGAAAGACAAATCCAGTGGAAATATGTTCACCTTACTGATGCTGTTCACTGTGTTCCTACCTTCTATTGTACACAGCAATTATTTTGGATCAAACAATGAAAAAAACGACCAGTGTTTCTGCAAGGTATTAGTTTTCTTGTTTTCTCGTTTTTCAAATTTTCGATTGTGAAATAATAAACATAACCTACGAAGACGTGTCACTATTGTCAAACAGATTGTTGTGCATGGGTAGTCTTAACCACTAATTTGTGTAAATTTTATACACGTTTGTTGTCTTCGTAATTTTACTATTACGTAAGATGAAATACATTTATAATAAGTCTGTATGAATATACTTGTATTTGACAGTTTGTGTTAACGATAATACATGATAATAATTGTTAGTTGAAAGGGTCTATTGATGACTGTAGCTGCAATGTGGACACAGTGGATTATTTTAATAACATGAAGATATATCCAAGACTTTATAAAGTAAATTTGAAGCAGGAATGTCCTTTTTGGACTGATGACAGTAAATGTGCTATGCGATATTGTCATGTGCAACCATGTCAAGATGTAAGTGCTTGATGAAATATGTTGGTCAATATGTAAGAACATTATAATAAGATCGTGTAAACAGATAAAATTTATAATAGTAATATTCATCATATCTTTGTTTGCAGGAAGACATTCCAGATGGATTGAAAGGAGATACATTAAAAAATATTCACTTTAATGAAAGTCCTGCAGATAAATATAAAGTCAAAGCTCAACTACATGATTGTTTACGTAGTGTTAATGATCATAACAAAGAACTTGGATATTTAAACACAACGATCAGGTAACAAAATTTTCATATTTTATGGTTAAATTAATTTTTCTTTCATTAAAAAACAATAACATTCCATTTTAGTTCAGAAAATTACAAAGATTTCAAATTGTGGAAACAATATGACGATGCTCAAGATAACTTCTGTGTAAAGGAATCTAGTCCTGGAGAATATGTCGATCTCTTACTTAACCCTGAAAGATATACAGGCTACAAGGGACCCAGTGCACATAGAATATGGCGCACTATTTATATGGAAAATTGTTTTAGGTAACCATCAATGATTCTACAATACAACACAAAAAAATAATCAAATTTATCATTATTAAATATTTGGTTTCAGACCTGAAAATTCTCCTCATAATTTTATTCGGTCTTCAAAAATAAATGGTAAGTTTGTTCAATGTATTATCGCATTATTAATGTATTTGAAGATAAGTTAATTTTATTTTATCATGTATATATATATTATTTTAGGAATGTGTTTGGAAAAACGAGTTTTTTATCGTGTTATCTCAGGTCTTCATGCTAGTATCAATATTCATTTATGTTCGAAATATTTATTGTCAATGAAAGATAGTCTGGAAATAATACCTAGTGGTCAGTGGGGTCCTAATTTACAAGAGTTTCAAGCAAGATTCGCACCAGAGCGCACTGGAAGTGAAGGTCCAAATTGGTTAAGAAATTTGTACTTTACTTACCTTCTAGAACTAAGGGCTCTAGCCAAAGCTGCGCCATATTTAGAACGGGAAGAATATTATACTGGTAACAGAGTGCAAGATAAAGATACACGTCTAGCGATAAATGATATTTTAAATGTTGTTAGGTAAGATAGATTCTTTAAATTTATATACTGAAACTGTACTTTATTATTATTATTCTAACTAACTGCGATTCTTTAGGTCATTTCCGGACCACTTTAATGAAAGTGTTATGTTTACTGGTGGAGCTGAGGCTCAACTGTTGAAAGAACAATTTAGGCAGCATTTCAGAAATATCTCTCGTATTATGGATTGCGTAGGCTGTGACAAATGCAAACTTTGGGGAAAACTTCAAATACAAGGATTGGGTACAGCATTAAAAATTTTATTCTCGGGAAAATTTGATAGATGGGAACCAACGTTACATAATTTCAGCAGAAAACAATTCTTTTTAGAAAGAAGTGAAATTGTTGCTCTTATAAATAGTTTAGGAAGGTAAGGATTGCTTTTTAAACCATACGCACGTACAATTAACTGACTATATTTTTCAAAAACTTTGTAATGTTAATTATACATGTCTAATGTTGCAGATTATCGGAAAGTATTTTCGAGTTGGATAAATTTAGACAAATGATGAGATAGCAGGGTAATAATATATAATTAATTAATAACGTTGCTCTCAAAAAACACATCACACAAACGTACTAATATAATTTACAATTGTATAATAAGTTATAGGTGTCAGGTTTATATCGGTTTCATGTTATTTAAAACATTTATACCTTTTATTAAAATAGGTATAAAGTCGCAATAAAAATTTATTATAAATTACATGTAATCCATACTATCGCTATTAATTTCTCATGACATACGTAATGTTGTTATTACAAGACACTGTACTTACATTCAGTGTTTCACAAGTTTGTTACGAGACATTTCGTCGTTAAAATTTTATTGCGATTTTAACGATAACTTCGACTCCATCTGTGATAAACAGTTTATCTGTGGGAAAGGCTCTCATACTAGTTTTGAAAGTAGCATATATACAGTTATAATTCAATTGAAACTTTATTTCTCTTTATCAGTTTTATGAAATTTTTGGATGCAATCGTCGATACTCTGCTGTATGCTCTGAAAAACAATTATTGGTAATATATTGTAAGATTTTATACTGCAATGTCTTTTATTTAATAAGGCACCAAGCATTATAATGATCACTGCGGCCACTTAATTTGGTGTAATTATGAACACGAGTGTATACTTTTTTGAAGAATCTTAATATTCGACATTTTTAGATTCTTGCTACAGCGATGACGACATAAAGTATTATATTATTTTCCGATAAATTTATACATAAAACGCCAGTGTATTATATTTCTATATTTTATAAAGTGTAAAATGTTTCATACTATTGTATATACACTTGTACGCTACCGCTCATAAGTAATTGGACACTTGGTTGATCCGAGGAAAATGTAAATTGTGACTTGAAACTTATAATATTAGAAACTAACTTATTACCATATTTCACTTTCATAAAAGATAATGATATTAAATAAATACATGTCTAATTCCGTCGAGAATAATTTCAAACGTATAGAAAATGATAATCCATTGCGATATACGCAATGGTTACCGTAATTTATTGTTTTTAATTCGATTGTAAACTGGAGGCACCGAACGACAAAACAAGAAAAATAAGTTTTAAATAGAAATTGAATTGAAATTTATAAGTATTCATAAGAATTTTTTAATAGAGTACCGTAACTAATTTGAATTAGCGTTTCTAGACGAAATGAATATTTTTAAAAGAAAACCATAAAAATTATTCACAACATTCAGTATAATTTCTATACATCTAGGATACAATACAGAAAATTAGTTTCTTGTTATAATTTACATAACATTTCCATGACATTAACTCTTTCTTACCTTACACTTAGTAAGCGCCTGTTGCCTTATGAACGGTAGCGTGGATTTAATTTATTGTAAAATCGCCAAATTATACTGTTTGAAGATTATGAAATATCTATGTTTCTTTCAATTTCTCGACGAAACATATAAATGAATTGTATTTATTGATAGGACCCTAGGCTCGACTCAAAGTAAAGTAAATGAATGTAGTTGCGTACTTATTTCCAAATGAATAAAAGCACATTAATCAAAAACATTTCATACCACTTGAAGCTTATCGAAGTTGTACAATGTGATTAAATAAGTTGATACGCTTGAGGAAAGTTCAATTTGATCTTCAGCGATATCGGTGTATATTAACGTTTATAATTTAATGATAAAATTACGCGGAGTTTTCAGTTATTGGAAAATACATCTTATCAAATCCCATCCCATTTTTGGCCCAGTCAGCCAAACCTGCAAAGGAAAATTTTGTCCAATGTCTGTCATAAAATTGACTACAAGTTGATGCAAGGTTTGCTATAAACAACTTGCACGCACATTGGCAGCAACATATGCAGCAAATTGATTTGCGCAAACCTTGTTCCGGTTTTGCCCTCAATTTAACCAATGGCGTAACTAGGATTTTTGTCTGAGGCAGGCCAGGTCTCCTGACTTTCGCCCATACACACCCCATTAGGCACATATATGTATTTTATACTATGTGCGTGGGTTGCACATAATAAATTTACACATTTTACAATAATTATTTACATATTTATTTAACACTAAAACTAAGAATAGAAAGATATATTAAACATAATTCTCAAAAATAAATAAAAAATGCAAAAAGAAATTGGAGATTGATTAAAAGCAAGACTATATTATGTACAAATACCTATAGTTAAAATCTATATAAGCTTCAATTTGTTGCTTCTTTCTGCAAAAATATTTTTCGCATTCTCCAGCGCTAGTTTCCTTATTGCATTGGACCCTTCAATTGATGTTACAGGATTATTAGTTACAGTTGAATGTTAAAATTAAACAGCTTAATTCTAATACAATTTTATTTAATACTTTAACGTAATGAGGAGAGTATTTAATTTTTTGTATTTAGTTGCATTGCGTGTTGCATTTTGACACAAGTATTTATTTTTTATAACATACAATTTTACTAACTGACGAATGTTTTTTTACATATTTCAATAATTTCTAGACGGGGGGGGGGGCAGGCCGCCCTGGCCTCTACCTAGTTACGCCAATCAATTTAACATACAGTGGATAAAAAAAATATTTGTACACCCTTTAAAACAGAAAAACTCTTTCAAAATTGGACCAAGTGACTTGAGTTTCTTTGTAAATTTAAAAGGATTAGTGTACTAGATGATGTGTTAACAAAATGTTGAAAAAATTACAATTGGTCAGAATCGCGAAGAAAATAGTAAAGTAGTAATCCTCCGTATCATTGTTATATCTTTTCACGAATAAAGTTTCAGGCTCGCATCGGCACGCAAGGCATGATACGGATACCAACGCATCGTCTTGAACATATTCTCGGATAACTGACACCATAAAAACAATTCGGTGTCCGTTCTCCGAAACCCATCGAACAGGATCACGAGCTCGTCCAAGAATAATTCTCGCCACCCTGACAGTGATACCAACGCAACGGGGCGACCGAATAATTTGCGATAATATTTTTACCATCCAGCGATGCACGGAATGAACACATTTCTTTTAGTTTAAAGTGGAAAAAATCATCTACAAAAAAATCTCTGTGCTCCTTAGGAACGGAGGCCCGAATACTTTGAGTACGATTTTTAGTATTTTTACTATTTTTTACCCATTACAAAACGTCCACGGTGTTTGCCTTTGGCACATTGGAGGGGGCTCCCAGATTTCAAGATGCTGGTTGTAACGTGTACCCATTGTTGGAGTATCGACTATGATGTATACTCCGTAGGTAAAACTTTTCTTACGATTGTGAAATAATAATTTGGAGTTCAGTTGTATCATAAAATGTTCATACTTTTATGGGATTACTAATTTTTCAAGGACGCTTTTTACACGTTTTAGTGTATAGTAAATATACTTTGGGATTAAGCTTTTCCAGAAAGGGACAACGATAGTAAAGTGATGGGAGAGGTTGTTTATAACAATTTTTCGTTTTTGCTGATGTTCCATTCTTCAGGGTGAAATCGCCCCTCAAATGTTAATGTGTGTTTACCTATTTTCATGTATATCTTGAAAACTACAGTAGATATAAAAACAATTGTTACAACAAAAATTTTATAATTTCTTATGCTCTATAAAACTGAGTAATGAAATTGTTAAAAATTTGTTTGTTTACTTATTTGTTAATTTAAAAATAAATTTTTAACCATTGTACTACACAGCTTTATAGAGCATAAAAAGCTATTAAAATTTTATTCTAACAATTTTTGTATATCTACTAGACACACATGGTCCTTCAAGTGGTGTGTTCATCCTGAAGAACCCAATATCGGAAAAAACAAAAAATGGCCAGATACTTCTATAGATGTTCCATGCAAATCTACGGAATTTAAAAGAAATCGTAATTTTTGGGATCTCCTCGTAAGCCTAAAGTAAGACATAAAAAGTTGTTAGAGAATATCTTCCAAATAATAAAAAAATAACCTTTTTGCTTCGAAATTTCACCAAACAGTCAACGCGTTTGGCGCGCGCACGCAGCGACAATTACAGCGGGGCATCTCAAATTCACACGACGGATGGGGTCGAAACGAAAGAGATTCTTCACACCGCTTGGAGTCGTGTGATGAACGATCTCAAATGTCGTCTCCCTTTCGCGAGTGAGAAACGCTACCAACGTTCGATCGAACCGTGTTACCCTGTTTAAAATCAGTCGTCGATCCAAGCCTTCGAGTATTAACTCACTCCACACCGGCTCGGTTGCGCGCGCGTTCCCGATAACGCGTCAGGCTCGACCGATTTCGCGCGCGCGAGAAAATAACCGTCGAATGGAGAACGCTTTCCTCGTCGAACGAAACGGACAAAGAAACTGAATCTACGTAAGTAACCCCGTCGATTAAGACCCTTCAGTGTTGAATTAATTTTAAAGAATCCAAAAAATATATATTTACATATTTTACTCTGCTCGGGTTCAAATACGACTAAAATAATGTTGTATTTTAACTGTTCCTTATTTGTACAGAAAAACGTAACGTGCATAATTATGCACAACTGTTTTTGATGGTTATATATGCAGATGATTATGAAAGTGGTCCCAAATAGCACATGACGCCTTAAAGACGCCCATTTTACGGCTATTTTAGGTCTAAGGCGCCTTTAAGCCGTCTTCAAGGCGTCATTGGGCGTTATGTGCTATCTGGGGTGTATCTACGTAAGTTTTATGTTATATTGATTTATATTCCAATATTGTGACAGAATTTTCGTAACGAAAAATACATGAGTTACACCATTTTCATTATCACTCAGCACTAAATATACTGACATTTTGATAGGGCATAAAAAAAAAGCAAAAAAATTCTTGCAAGTGAACAATTTCATTCTTTACATCATATAAATACAAGAAAAAATCGATTTTCGGAACACTTTTAGTAACTATATCAAATTGAAAAACATCTTACCTCGTCATCCCGTGGATGGTTCCTCCATGTCGACTTAATCATTAAATATCCCAGGAACCAATGAACACTCAACCGGTCACCAACTTTAGGTTATGTTCACACAAATCTTGCCAGTATTAAAAAACACCAACAGCAAGTAAAAAAGTTAATCGCATTAGCGTAACTAGGTAGGGGCCAGGGTGGGCCTGGCCTCCCCGTCCAAAAATTTATGGAAATATATAAAAAAAAGCATTTGTCAATTATTAAAATTTATACGCAACACAACTAAGTACTAAATTTCAATACTATACTCATTACGTTAAAGTATTAAATAAAATTGTATTAGAATTAAGCTGTTTAATTTTTACATTCTACTTAACTAATAATCTTGCAACATCAATTGAAGGGTCGGATGCAATTAAGGGAATTAGCGCTTGAGAATGTGAAAAATATTTTTTCAGAAAAAAAGACAGTAAATTGAAGGTTATATACGACAGATTTTAATTGTAGGTATCTGCACATAATATACTCTTGATTTCAATCAATCACAAATTTCTTTTATTTTTAAGAATTATATTTATATCCTTCTATTCTTAGTTTTAGTGTTAAACAAATTTGTAAATAATTATTGTAAAATGTGTAATTTTATTTTGTGCAACCCACACACGTGGTATAAATTACATATAGTGTTATAGGCGAAAGTTAGGGGACCTGGCCCCCCTCAGACAAAAATCCTAGTTACGCCAATGGTTAATCGTAAGTATTCTTAAAAAATATTTACAGTAAATATGCATAATTATGAGCAAGAGAGTCTGAGGGAATGAAATTCTCGATATTCTATACATATGTGTACACGTTTATTATATCGAGTGTGTGGTAGAATCGAAATGAAACGCGAGGAGGAACGGTGGTCGAGCACCCAACCCGGTTTCTATCCTGTCACTTACACCCCTTTATCGCATTTCCGGGCAGTATTATGTCTAGGGCACTCGTGTTGCGATGTAAACAAACACTCCGTATCGTGAACTGTCATCAACCATTTCGGTTGGTCATAGTCTTCAGAGAGCGCGCCGAGATACAGAGACCGTTCCAGGGGCCTCAGTCTGTGGATCGTCGGTCGAAACGAACGCATCGTAAAATTCTTCTTTTTCGCATTCCTCCTAAACGGTGCTTTTCGGTCATCCTGCTCTACAATCGATTAATCGAGACGCAGACGTCGTGTTTCGCGTAAATGACACGTGGGTACTTGTTGGTCACGTTTAGAGGAACCGAAGTGTATACCGGAATCACCCGCGTCTCGCCCTCGGTAAGCAGAGTATAAGAGCTTTGAGATACGAGATTTAAAGTATTATGCTCTGTTCACTGTAGGCGCGGCGCGAGACGAGCATCGATGGATGGTGGACTGTTGTGCAGATATCGTAAGTTGCCGAGCACCCAGAAACCGATGTGCTTCTGTCACACTTTGTATCTCGATGTTGGGATGTTCGATTTCGATTCGATTCTTCGGAAGATCGATTTTCTTGGATACCACGTGTCACTGGCATGGATGAGGCTAACGGCTAAATGCATGGGACCAGGTCTGATAATTAAAGACAGAGGAAAATGTTATTCTACAAAGAGTTAAACGAGGGTATTCTTATTTAGAGCTGTCAATCTTAGACTATTTATGAGATGAAAAATGGTTAGGTTATTATAGGTTTTATAATTTTGTATACATGTCCGGTTATATTCAAAGTCGGCAACTTACGATTTTTGCGTAGTACTTATTACACAACGCAAGCTCGGTCCACAATAGTCGTTACAACCCCCGCAGCACGGCAACCGTTCCAGCGCGCTGACTCTCGCGGTTCCCATATTCTAGCGTAACACTGCCGAGTTATATGTGGGTATTATGCTAGGAATATGAGGTATCGTAAGTTCATGGCGAGCTTCGGTTGATTGTCAACGATTCGGGCGAGAAAAATAGGAGTGTTACGAGCGATTATCGAAGGCAGGTTTGTGAATTCCTTTGTTTTCGCTCACGTTTCGACTAGGATAAATGACCGATTTACGGATGGTGTTCGTATATTGGAGGGTTATAACCCTTATTCGTCCCTTGTGGCAATTCTGACACATTTCTCTTCTAAGAAATTATGTTTAGTTTATCGTATGTAGGTTTTAGCGGAGGTTCCGTGACCTTTATTTCAAAGAATCTGCAAATTTAACTATTTAATTTAATTTATTGCCATTAACGGAAAAACCAATTTTATTCAGTTTAACAAGAAAATTATTTATCTCTTCGTTATATTAATTTTTATTTATCAATGACTAGAAGACTCAAAATATGTAAACCACCTGACCTACGAAAACGGTTTGATTAAATTACAAGAATAATCAAAAGAATAAGCATCAATTATAATCTGTCATTAAATAATAATAAACTTTCTGTCAACAAATTGTTTATTATTATTTAATGACATATTATAATTTGACGGTATAGAAAAGACAGAAAAAAAGCAACAGAATAACTACTACTGTAAAACCACCAAATATCTCCAAAGTTGAAAATTTGTAATTTAAAAAAAAATTGATTGTTACAAAAACCGTGCGTTCCGGGGGAAAACAGTTTGTATATTCATATTCAGCTCATGATCTATAAGAGGCGTTTATTAAACGTTACAAAATCGGAAAACAGTTTAAGTGCAACTTTTCAATCGCGAACACGCTCGTTAAACACGGAAACGGTTTTATCGAACCGATTGGTCGAGCAATCGAACGTTCTCGAGACCCCCGTGGGAAGGTTATCGCTTCGAGAAATTCCACTTTCTTTTTTTATGCTCCCGGATGGCAACGTTGCAAGAGAAATCATGCAAACAGATACATCCCGCGACTGTTCGCGGATTAATCGACTTTGTTCGAAGCTTGTTTTCGCCGGAAAATGAGCGTGGCGGTGGTGGGCGCTGGGGTGATCGGTATGACGACGTCGGTCGCGTTGAAAACCGCCTTTCCGGAACTGAAAGTGCACGTGTTCGCGGAGGATTTTTCCCCGAACACCACCGGCGACGGAAGTGCCGGGCTTTGGGGCCCTTATCTTCTCGGTGACACACCTCGCGAGAAAGTGCTGTGAGTATTCTAAGGATTTTTTAAAGTAGGGTAGACTGAGGTGAATCGGATCTATTGGAAATAGGTTAAAGTAAATAGTAAATAATATATGTATAATAAGATATGTACCGTGGCGGGCTCGACAGAAAATGGGCTGGAACCACGCATCGATGGCTGGAGGAATTCTGGAGAACGGGTCGAGCTTCGGAAATTGGAATTTCGTTGTTGCCGATTTACCGTGTGACCAGTGATCCCCATGGATTTCCCGATTCTAGCTGGACTAAATTGGTGTACGGTGCGCACAGGCTAACGTCGAAGGATCTGACGAGACTGAACGAAGAATACGGAACGAACTACAAGTACGGTATTGGTGAAATTAAAATGTCAACGAACCACATGACTGTCCGAAATTTTTATAAAGTCGCCATATTTTTTGATAGATTCTTATAATTATTCCATAACAATGAAAATTTTCAGATCAATTACAGAAAGCGTATACGTCGGTTTCAGAAAATCAATATAACATTTATTTAAAAAAAGAAAAGAAAAATATAATTCAGCAGAAAACAAACTGCGAAATTTCTATAAAGTCATTCAATCACATGTAATTACAATTATTACATTATTATAAGTAATTACAAATATTAAATAATTATAATTACTTTGCGATTACATCTGGCAATTACAATCATAATCGAAGTTAGTGACAATTACAATTATAGAATGTAATTTATAATTTCCATAGCAGTTACATTGTAACTGTAATTTAGATTTCGTAATTAGATTACATTTTGCCCATCTCTGTCGGAGGGTTAATTTATCGGACATTAAAATTTCCATAAAAATCCACAGTCTACTCGTGACTTTATTACGAATTAATGTTCTCAGTCACCTCAGCGAATAACACGGTCGATTCTAGGGACGGATGGATGTTTGTGACGTACACCAGCGAGCCAGCACGTTTATTGCCCTGGTTGGAAGAAACATTCGTAGCTTCCGGCGGAGAACTTCGAAGGCGAAAAATCGAGACGTTGCACGAGTTGATCGACGACGGCTACGATTCGATAATAAATTGCAGCGGTCTTGGCGCTCGTCGGCTCGCCGGCGATATCACGGTTACGCCTGTCAGAGGTCAAGTTGCCAGGGTTCGTAATCCCGGCGAACAAAGCGTCGTCTTCCCGGCGAATTGCGTTCACGTTTCGTTTCGTTCAAGGTGACCGCATCCTGGGCTATGCACGGGCACATTGTGGACGACGAGGACTCGCATTACATAATTCCAAAGTAACGAATTTCAATTGTACTACTAGAACTACTAAGCAAATCAAAATGACTTGCCAACACACTCTTATAACGACGATTAAAATGTTATAACAATACATTTTCTCAGATGTTGTGCAACTTTTACTACGATATGAAAGAGAAGAAATTAGTCAATTTATAGATTCGTAAATTTTTAAAAATTTGTCATGTTCATCGACCGATAGTTATGCGTTTATCATCAGTAATTTTAGTGTTAAAACCAGCACCGTACTAACCCTAGAACGCCCAAAGGAGGGGGGGAGGGGGCTCATCGAGCCCACAAATTGAATAGCGTAAAATTATAACTACTTATTTGCCGTCTGCAAAAAATTTTCAAAGAAATTATTTACTGTCGTATACATGTTTAAGTTTGCTATTCAAAAGTCCTCGTTATTATACTGGGTGTAATAAAAATGTTGGAGGACCCGGAAATGGGAGACTCGTGAGGTGATTTGAAACTAGTTTTTCCTTTGCAAAAATGTTTTCCGAGGCTTTGTTAACGAGATATTACCAAAAAACCCCGACCAATTAGAACGCGAGTCTTCCGTTTATGTCAAATAGTAACTGAATGAAATTTTGTAGAAACAAATCGGATGAAACTTGTTAGAATATAACAAAGCATTGTTCGTTATAATCAAGCGTTCGTTACGATGAAATGTTATTTAATTGCATTTAGGGTAAATTGCAATTTTTGAAGATTTTATGCCCCCCGCTTCTCAACCAAAGTGGCCCTCGAAGGTTTGATAGCCCTTGGCCACAAAAAATCTTAATTCGGACCTGCTTAAAGCACTGTTTTAATCAAGGACTTCTAACGAAACGTAAAATACCGGTGTTTTCGGTTGTACCTTCGCCCTATATAACCCTATATAAGCCCTACCCTTATAGAAACCGAAATAATACCGGTATTTATTTCAGTGTTCGGTAATGTATCGGTTTCAGTATAGCTTTGATAGCATAATACCGGTATTAAAATTATATCGGTTTAAGTCCCTGGTTTTAATGCCACGATCGGTATACTTACACGTTCGATTTCTTTAAAGTTACGAGACCACCGTGCTGGGCGGCACACATCAGATGAACGATTACGATTGCTCGCCCCGAAAGGAGGACTCGAAGTTTATTTACGACGGATGCTGTCGAATTTTACCTGCGCTCAAGGTACGGCGAAAGCAGTGTTCGGCACAATTTCTTATCGAATAATATATAGTGTGATAAGAAGTAGTATCTAGTAATAAGAGGCGTGATCGTTATCGAAATATATTATAAATAATTTATTATGAAAAATGATAGTTTCAATTAAAGTACGGAAATGTGAACTTATATATATTTTTTATGGTATTATTTTTGCTAAAGGGTGTCACATCGATAAAAGAATGGGTTGGTCTCCGTCCGGGAAGACCCACCGTTCGCCTGGAATCCGAAGTGCTCGAATCCTCCCAAGGCAAGAAGTTTACGGTATCGAAATCGAAAGAAAACACTTACACGAGTCGTAGAATATCGTCGAATCGGTTCGTTTATAAACATCGATTTCCAGGTGATACACAATTATGGACACGGCGGAAGCGGAGTGACGCTGAGTTGGGGCTGTGCATTGGACGTTGTTGCGATTTTTCGAGACACTTGGAGACTGAAGTCGAATCTGTAAAGTTTAACGAAGGAAGAATAAAGTGTGGAGTTTTTTTTTTGGAAATACATATTTTCCGCCTTTACCTACGATCTCAATTCTCATGATTCTTTCTACAACTACGCGAACTTCGTACAACGTCAAAATGGCTGCAATTTAAGGAACTTTAGTGTTATTGACGAAGTTACGTCGATTGTACCCGTTTAACCCTTAATTGGTAAATTGGGGTCTTGAAAACCCCAAGATCATTTTTGGAATATTTTATTTTTATTCAACAGTTACTTCAAGAGATGTTTATTTTTATATTCTCTTACGAGGGATGTTCGCGAAGTGCCATTTGCCATATTTGGTTGGTGGTACTTTTAAATTTTGGAAGAAACCACCCTTTCTATCCGAAGCGTCCCTTTCACTTATTCGCGTGTAACTCGTAGACTACAAATGCTGTCGAAAAATAGTTTAGATAAACTTTATATCGTTTTTAGTTGTTCATATATTACTTAGTTGGAAGAAATATTTAAACAAAAATTGTTTAGAAAATTATTGTTTGAAAATTTCTTTCCATCGATATGTGAATAATTAAACTATTCTTACTTCTTAGTAAATCCTCGATGACTGTTCGAAGGCTCCTGGGCACTAAATATTAAATATTTTATAAACTAATGGCCATATGCGGCTGAAGCAAATATCATTGGCGTCAGAATTCCAAGCTCTATCGCAGTGCTAAACCTCATTAAAAATCCCAGTTAAGGGTTAAGTCGAAACGTCGAGCCACGTCGATATCGTTCGATAGGATCCTCTCGATTTCGTCCAGTTCGCCTTTCTTCTTGCGAATGAAAATGGCAAAACAATTGATGGGGGTTGGCGAGGCGCGACACGCGACCTACTATTCTCGGCAGAAGTAGTGACTTTCGAATTTCGTGTGGTGCCTGCGATAAAATTCACCTCAGTTGAATCCCTCCTGTCGTTCGTGAAACATCGGTTTGTCATCGCGTATGTATCGGTTCTGTGTCGGTTTGTCGACGGTTCGGGATTTCATGGAAAATCGACGGATACGATGCACGTCCTGTTCGACCTAACAATACAAATTGATGCCGGCCGACGAAGGATCCTTTGAAATAATGAGATACCCTGGTCATGAACATCGCCGGGCACAACAAGAAACAACGTCCATTGATGCCGACGCGAGAACACGAGGCGATCGACGCGACGAAAATCAACGCGTACAACGAGACCGACAGCGAGTCCGATTCCAGTACGCAATCCTGTAAAATCGTTTACAAAAATCGATGCAAGAAACCGACGGTGTCCGACACGTCGTCCATTGTCGTTCCGTTCGTCGATTCGACGAGAAACGATCGAAATACGATCGTCCGTAGAAATGTAACGACGAAAAGGGACGAGAAAGGTATTGCAACCTAACCTATACGCGCGATCGGGAGGCATGTTCCGTCCCTGATAACACTGGTGAACAAAATTTAACTTTTTGTTTGTCTTCGAACATCCAGTTGCTGATTCTTATAGATTCTTCTGTGCTGAATACGAATCCGTAAACAGCTTTTTGCCATCACCCTCAGTTTCCGAGAAATTTGATTTAAAAAAAAATGCAAATTTCACTGACAAAACTGTTCACTGATTCAGACTGTATTTCCGAAAACTCCCATGTTCCGAATTGGATAAAATTTTCAAAATAGATTGTTTTTTGACAAAAATAATGATTGCGAGAAGGCGACTCGAAAAATTTTTTTTATCATTTTAGTGTCACTCCCTATGTTACCGACACAGTCGTAATAGTGGAAATACATATGAATTAATTTCTACAAAAAAATGACCTATGTCAAATTGAGGGCAAAATCGGAACAAGGTTTGTGCAAGAAAATTTGCTGCATGGTGTTTATAGCAAATATTGTATAAAACTTGTAGCTATAATTTTATAACAGGCATCGGGCAAAATTTGGCTTTGCAGGTTTGGCTGACTGGGGTTGTTTGGAACGATCGGATGGGGATGAAAGAAGGGCTTGAACGAAAAATAATTATTTCAAATTGTTGTATAAAGGTTCCGATCGAAATAGTTATAAAGAAGAAATTTATTCTGAATAACTGTTACGAGGAACCTAAATTTCAGACTATATCGTCCAGTGAGCCAAACCTGCACAGCCAGATATTGTTCAATGCCACTTATAATCTTTATACGCGTCATGTGCTATCTGGGACAACTGTTTCAAGAATCGAAATGGATTCCATTTGAAGTTTGCGTATCACGAACTAAGTCCTCGATAATCATCGATTAAATTCTTGAATTCTGCCTCCGCGCGTTCTGTATTCTTTAAAAATGATCTCTGGAGCAATAACGATTCGACAGCGGATCCTTCGTTCGCGGATTCCGACCCCGAGTCACGAAAAGACAACGCGGACGAATCTCCGACGAAGTCGAAGAAGAAGAAAAAACGAAGGTACGATCGAACATCCGACACTTTCCTTTAAAAAAAAATTTTTTCAATAATTTTTCGTCCGGGAAAGAAGTTAAGGTTCAGCCATGATTTTTCGAATAATTCGAGGTATTTAACAATATGCACGAGCAACTGCAAGTACGAGGTGGTGAGACGCGTGGCGGGGCGTTACGGAATGAAAGAGGTCACCGAGGACAGCAGCTGGAACTTATATTGGACGGACCTGAGCGTGAGCGTGGAACGTGCCAAGGACATGAAGAGGTACCAGAAGGTCAATCATTTCCCTGGGATGACGGAGATCTGCCGAAAGGATCTGTTGGCGCGTAACCTGAATCGGATGCTGAAGCTGTTCCCGAAAGATTACAATTTCTTCCCGAAGACCTGGTGCTTCCCCGCGGAGTAAGAGAAACACCGTGACTCTCGAATCCTTAATTCCATATACAGGGTGTAACAAAAATATTGGAGGACCCGGAAATGGGAGACTCGTGGCGTGATTTGAAACAAGTTTTTCCTTAGCAAAAATGTTATCCGAGGCTTTGTTAACGAGATATTAACGAAAAACCTCGACCAATCAGAGCGCGAGTCTGCCGGCCGAGTTCCCGCGGCAACGCTGGCTACCAATCGCAGCGCGTGGATGTGCCCTTTGATGCCATTTAAGTTCCACGCCTCAAAATTTTCATAAAATGTACCGTTAAGTCATTATTCGAGGCGATCTCAAGTTAGTTTAGACACCCTATATTTCCATAAAAAATTAGGGGGGCATTGATTTTTTAACGATCAAATAAAACTAAAAATTAAGATCACACTTTTGTTCGTTGCCTTCTCGCCCGACGCACCGATCGAAATTTTTCCAGCCACGGAGAAGCGATGGCCTATGCGAAACTGAGACGCTCGAAAACATTCATTATCAAGCCGGACACGGGTTGTCAGGGACGCGGGATTTACTTGACCCGGAACTTGAAGGACGTCAAACCTACCGAACGGATGATCTGTCAGGTGTACGTGGCCAGGGTATGGCTATTTTTTTTGTAACGTTCGATTTTCGTTCCTATAATCGGTGGACACTGTATAGCGTGGTCGTAAATTAAAGCGTCAAGCAACGACATCCACTGATGTAAACTCAGGGTCGATTAGGGGGGGGACTATAGCCCTGGGCCCTACTTTCAAGGGGTTTCTCCCATTTATGTCAAAAAATAATCGAATGAAATTTTGTTTACTGTTTCCCTTTTGAAATTATACTAAATGTAAAAATAAATCGGATTAAAGTTGTTAAAATATAATATTGTATTGTTCGTTATAATCAAGCGATATTTAATTTTACTTAGAATAAATTTCAACTATTAAAGATTTATGTATTTTATTGTATGTTGCATCAAAAAAATGTTGGAATTGTTAAGAATTAAGACACGTATTTCTTTCCAAGTTAACATTGTACAAACCTGAACGAGGGCTCTAGCTTCTTGTTTCCCCCTGCTGTTGGCGTTCGAAATATGTAAACTTTCACGCCTGACAAATTTTACCACCACGCTATATAAGTTCCATTGACTATAAGGTTGTCCCATTTAAATCGACCCACTCGAATATCTCCGAAACTGTTGACGATATTAAAAAATGATTCAGACAAAAATTAAATGGTATTAGGGAGCTCACTTTCCAATGTGAGTAACTTTTTTCTACGTGGGCGCGTAGCGGTCATACGAAAATCAACCTTGTGTTTTAAAAATGAAATCGTATATTTTTTTAATGCACTACTTAATACTACTCGTTATTCTCTAAAGACCTAAATCACTTACGGCGAATTAATGCATTCAAAAATATACGATTCCATCCAAAAAAAAACAAAGTTGTCCTTCATACGTACGTAAAGTGTGTGCCCCTGATATCATTTAACCGTTGTCTGAAACATTTTTTACTATCGTCAACACCTTCGGAGATGTTCAAGTGGATCGATTTAAATGGGACACCCTGCACATAGTGATGGGTAACCAAGCCGGATTCAAGCCGACCAAGCCAGATGACGTTACGGGATCTCGGCGAGGGGAGATGGTATCTGATCCCTATAAGCCTCCGGCGACCGATGCTCGGGTCACAATGTAACACACAGAATGAATCACCCAAGAATAAAAATTGAAACTTTTACTCCTTTCAGCGTAGTTTCTTAACCTTCAGTCTCTGCATTGGGGTCAAATGGACCCCAGTTATTGTAACATGCAACGTAATAAGTTTTTGGACCAAATAAATATGCCAGGCAACTAAAATTGCCTCAACTAAGGTTTTACACACACATTACTAAAAAAAATATTTCTTATAAATTAATAAAATAAAATAAAAATAATTATTTTCTAAAAAAAAACTTTACAAAATAGATAAAAATATATATGGGGTAAGCTTGACCCCGTGCACAGAACATGGAAAATTTACTATGCACAGAGTGAAGGTTAAAAGTGTTATGAATAAATTTAGGAGATTCTCCTGATGAAACATAAATCAGATTATATTTAATAACATACAATTCGTGTCGTGACTCGCTATCTGACTTGGTCGACTTGAATCCGGTTTGGTTACCCACCACTACCTACACACACACGCATTCGCTGACCATCCGTCGTGTCCTTTAGCCCTTTCTAGTCGACGGCTACAAATTCGACCTTCGTATCTATGCTCTGATCACCTCGTGCGACCCTCTCAGAGTGTACGTGTACAATGACGGTCTGGCTAGGTAAAAGCTACACATTGCTCTCTTCTGTTGCGTTCATACGGGCGGTCGTGTCCAATTCGAATTTTATTTATTTATTTTTTATTTATTTATTTATTTAGTAATTTAATTATTTAGTAATTTTCTTGTATATGCGTGGGCAATCCGTGCATCGCCACGTTTCCATGTGTGTGTCGCGTCCGTCAGGTTCGCCACGAGCCGATACAAGGAACCGACCGGTCACAACACCTCGAACGTTTTTATGCATCTAACGAACTACGCCGTGAACAAGCACAGCCGTATGTACGTTATCGACGACGAAGTGGGCAGTAAAAGGTCGGTGGGTAACTCCTTTCGCCTTGATTCGCCGCGTAAAATCGGCGTTGAAGTTAAACGACGGCGAGGCTTTTTCACGCGCAGAAAGATATCCACGCTGAACAAATGGCTGAAGGTGAAGGAGGTCGATGTGGACGAGCTGTGGTGCAAAATCGACGAGGTTATAATAAAAACGATCCTGGCGGCGTATCCGATCTTGAAGCACAGCTATCACACGTGCTTCCCGACCCATGACAAAACGTACGCGTGTTTCGAGCTGCTCGGCTTCGACGTGCTGCTCGATTGGAAACTGAAACCGTATCTTTTGGAGGTGAAGGATCAAAGAAAGTACAGACACGTTCGGTATATTTAGTCCAGTGCCGAGTAATTTAGTGACTTAACGTGTGTGGACACTAAACTTTAATCGAATGGTTTAGTGAAACGATTTAGTCGAGCAGATCCATGTCGTTAGATGTTTCTAATCGAGTAGGGTTCCCTTAACCAATCACTACGAATCAAATAAACTTGTCCGGACGTGTTTTTGACTGTCCTCATCTAAACCTTTTCGCTAAGGAAAAAGTTGTTTTAAATCACCCCTTTTAAGGACTTATACTTATTTTGGGACACCCTGTATATGTATAAGTAGCTACTCATCATTCGATTAAATTACCCGACGTGTCTAAACCAGCCTTTATGATGGCAAATTGTCGACGAAACGATGTATAGAGTATGTAATTTTTAACTGGAAATGATGGCTATCATATTGTATAAAAAAATATAGTATTCCGTTTAAAAAATTAACTCGATCTTGAAATCTCTCCGCCATTAGTTTACCCGCGAGAAAATTATTTATACCACATAATGTCCCGCTTCATATCAAATAACTTTTGCAAGAACATTTCTTCCATATCTTCTGTTCCTTGGGAGATACTCCACCATTTCCAGTATATGTATACGTATACACGAATGAACGAAATTTCCGTGAAAATACGATAGGTGAACCATTCACCGAGCTTCCACACGGACGCGCAAATCGACAAAGATATAAAAGAGGGTTTACTGATGGACACATTCGCGATGCTCAATTTGCAACAATGCGACAAAAGGAAGATCATCGAGGAGGACAGGAGGCGTGTCAGGGATCGATTGCTTCAAGGGATAACCTGCAAGGACGGCAGGTAAAATGATAAGTCGAAAAAGTTCTCTGGTTCCCGTACCTATTCGTTCAGACATCGAAAGAGACTAATAGGACGTTCTTACGTTTGTGCAAGTTCGAACGACGCGACGTACGTCGCGACGAAGCTCGACAAACAGGAGGAGGATTTCCTGGGACGGCAGTTTCAATGGGAGGACGAGCATATCGGTAACTTTCGTCGAATCTATCCGTCAAAAGATATGGAGAAGTACGAACCTTTCTTCAAGCAGAACAGCATATCCGTGTTCCAAGACACGGTGGCGTCGCGAGCGCGGGAGGAAGCCTCGCGGATCCAGAAAGAGGAAAACGAGGTTAGACCTGTCCAGACTGTCGCGACACGACAACGATACTCGCCAGCTTCACGTCGTAAAGAGTACGGAACAGAGGCAAACCGATTTCTTTCCAGGCAAAGCTCAAGGAACAGGAGACCAAAAGAATCACCGGTAAATGGAGCGATTCGAAAGTACACCCGGAAAGTCCAAACGTCGCGTCCAAACCGTTGAATCGGGAGAGGAGCAAATCCGCGGTCCTGTCCAAGAAACTTCCTTCGAACGTCAGTTGAGGGAAGCGCAAGGGGAAGCTATGCTACACAAACAGTAGCGTAGTGAGATATTAAAGGGGTATTCTACTGTAGCCAGTCAAAAAAACAAAAGAATCTTTTTGTTCTTTTATTTTAGATGAACAGAACGGCCAGAAACATGGCAACCAATAGAGCTACTTTTTCGAAGTGGTCGACTTTCGTGAACTGCACCGCCATGTTTATTTCATATTTTCAACCAAAGAAAATTTTTATTTACAGTCTCAAGTTATAGTAAATATACAAGAGAAAGGTTCAGCAAAAAAATCTTTCATTCAGTACTGAAAAAAAGTACCTGAAATTTTTAAAAAATTGTATGTCAGAAGAATACCCCTTTAATGTTTTTATGAAAAGCAATGTACATCATAGTAAACGATTATCCTACTATCATAGTATATATTACGTATATGTGTCAGAATTAATGAAAATCTAATTTTTCAACTTTTTTGTGGCATAGCTACCTCTTGCACTGGTTCTTTCAGTTAATTCGAAAATGATCATCGGTTTCTTGACTGGTTAATCGCCCCTCGTGTCTCCCGTTTTCAGACGAAAAAGCAGAGTTTAAATACCCTTTCCCCCGTTAACACATTGTACTCGTTCGAGCCGGAGATTATCTGCGAGTCCGAGGAAAGGGAACGTGTCACGGCGTTAGCTCAGCGGGACTTTTTGATCAAGAGCTACGGCATGCTCGAGCAGATCTACATGGCGATGAAAAGGAACGGCACACTGCGTGCAATCGACGAGAAGAAATACGGGCTCTACGGAAGGCTGGGTCACGCGGACAACGGGGCCAAGAGCGCCATCTCGTGCAGACATAAATGCCACCACCGTAACCAGCAAAACACGACGGAGACGAATCACTCGTCGCAGTATTGTTTGAAAGCAAGTGAATCATATGTACAATTGTTTCTTTTGCGATTGACCCCGCCGCACAGTGTGATATTTCAACAATCTAGAGGGACAAAAATTGAATTTTGACGATCATCCAGTTTTGTAAAAATACATTGTGAATCAACTCAGTCAGCCAAACCTGCAAAACCAATTTTGTAAGTTATGGCTACAAGTTTTATACAAGATTTAATATAAACAATTTTCGCGCACGTTAGCAGCAATATAGTTGGAAAAAATGACCTTCGGAGAAAAAAACGTCACGCATCGCAATCTAGATAGCACAAGACGCCTAATGACGCCTTGCAGACGGCTTAAAGGCGCCTTAGACTTATAAGATTAATACTATTTTTACGCCTAAGACTAATACTATTTTTTTATGGAATATACAAAACCAACGAGTATTTATATGTAATTTTGTCCCATTAGGATTGCTGAAATGTCACTCAGCGCGCCTTCGAGCGGGGATTAAACGTACATGTCCCTTTTCTTTTTCTCCCGCAGGGTAAAGTAGCGGAAGGTGACTAACACGTTTAACGAACACGGGTGGCGATCGTGGATAAAGCGTGTTCGAAAAAAATGCTTGCGCTTGGTTCACGTTCCTTTATTTTTTTTTCTTGTTTCTTTATCTTTTCAGAGGACGTGAATTCACGGTAGGGATGTTCGATTCTCTTCAAAGAATCGATTCTCAATCGAATTATGGAGAATCGATTGCCTTAAAAATCTAATACAAAGAATCGATTAAAAAATTGTAATAAATTTCATATTAGATTAATTCTTGATTTCAAGGTATATTTTTCATGATGTATATGTATATCTTCTCTTGTATGTGCCAGGCATAGATATGTAATTTTATAAAATTTAAATTCTATAAATGTTAAAGTCTATAATGCTAAACGAGTTTCGCAAAAATCGAATAGCAGAGAATCAATTAAAAAAATCGACTTTTTAAGTAAAAGAATCGAATCGAAATCGAACATCCCTAATTCATGGGGGCTCGATCGAGCGGGAACGAGATTTGTAAAAAGTTGTCCGACGCGTTTACAGATCTCAAAGTGACCTGCAACGAGGCGCCGGTGTTCGTTCGACCGAGAATACCGAGGAAATTCTGGATGGACGAACTCAACTCGAACGATCGAACCGGCCGTATCACGAGGACCCACGTCGTTCGTATGCTGTCGAACGTGGTGCGTCTTCACACCCTCGAGAAACGAAGCTCGCTGAACATGACAAAATTTTAACTAGCCGTATTCGCGACAAATTAACGAACTAGTCTAACTATCCAATCGACGGATACTAATTTCTGTGTATGTATATTCTTGAAACGGATACTTTTCGAAATATCGAATGTTTAAACTTTTGACGGATCTACGAATAAAATGTAACATGTCAATAAATGAATCGTTTTGGCTCGAATATTCGCGTTACTTGTAACCGAATCGTTGGTATAATGCTAAACTCTGCTAACACCTGTGGGACTCTTCCAGTTATTGCGTAAGAGCCTTCGAACACTCATCGGAGATTTACTGTACTGTGTATTCGATGAGTGTTATCGTACTTATGAGCAGGCGTTGTATGGTTCGACCGAGTGGACAACGATCTCGTAAAGGTACACAAAGAGACAATATAAAAACCAACATGGTATGGATTTGTTATTTAAAGTGCCATATAAATATGTACAATGAGTGAACATGTACACGCCGCAGAAAAAACGAGAATGATTCCGCACGCATTTGATTGCGTATCGAGATAACGGGATACGCACACGCCGATCTGTAATATGTATAACAATTTCGTTTTATTGCTGACATATGTATATATATATACACATACATACACGTATATATGTATATATATTCAGTATTCACAAGATAAAAAATAATCTATGAACAATTTTGTTCCGTATATACTATATTTTTTTTTTTTCAGTAATGATAACGTGTCCACATTTTCTTTTTCCTCTGGAATTTGCGTGACTGCGATTCTACCAGGGTGACACATAATTATCGATACACTGTGTAGGTGTCCATGACTTTCGCTCTCCCCCAGAATCCCGAAATTGATAAACTGCGACCCGAAGACATAATCCATATAGCCCATGACGCCTTGAAGACGGCTTAAAGGCGTCTTAGACCTGAAACAGCCGTAAAATGGACGTCTTAAAGGCGTCATGTGCTATCTGGGGATATGTGATATACTTATGAGTCACCCTAGTACATACCCTCCCCCCCGTCGAATCTTTTGATTAATTTAATCGAGCGCATTAAAATTAACAATCAATATAAATAGTCGGTCGACTATAACAAACATCGATCCCGTACAAAGCAACGATCCAACCGTGACAATGACGACGTACGTAGGTAAAAGTGATGCAACAAAAAAGCGTGTGTGTGTAGGTAGGATCTTTCCAGGTTTTCCACGAGTCTCGATTCGTAACCGAACACTGAACTAGTACAGGGCTAGCCAACAAGATCTACAGCGATCCCTCGATGAACGCGACATGAACAACGGCGTTATTCCCACCACTGGGGCAGGCCCCCCGTGGAACCAATCAAAACAGAGTAAACAGAAGCTATCAAAGGCTCGGTTTTGGGCAAAAAAACAATTTATGAGAGGCTGAAAACCATTCCGCCTTGCCATGAGTGCATCTGAAGTGGACCCGAGTACGACGCACTCATCGAGACATTACGGTACTATCTAAAATAACTCATTACCTATTGGTTCTATCAAAAAACGTTTCAATGAATTATGTACCATTTTAAGCAACCCATCGGATCAATAGGACCTAAAAAAGTCAAATTGTATCCATCCGATGCGTCCTTTAAAATGCTACGTATATAAGTCATTAAAATGTTTTCTGATACAATCAATAGGTAATGAGTTATTTTAGACAGTAGCTTTTATTGACTCACCCTGTATATAAATTTATTGAGAGAGAGAGAGAGAGAGAGAGAGAGAGAGAGAGAGAGCGAGAGAGAAACAGATGTAGCTAGATAATCTCGATTCGGAAATCGAGACGGAAAACCACACGGCGGTGCAACGTAACATTCGTTTCCTTCCATTTCGTGATCGCACGTACAGAAGCTAAAAAAGCAAACGGAACCAGTGGCCACGATACGCTCTCCGCGCAAATTACCGATTCGTAATTGCGATAAAGAGAATTATTTACAAGTCGCGATATCGCGCAATACGTGCGTCCTGCGGTTGTGATTAATCAGCACCGTGTCAAGTTTCGTCGAGAAATGGCTTACATAATGTATATACAATAAACGAGCAGTTGATCGGTAGCCAAGATAGTTTCGCGATAGTACAAACATTCTTCGAGAAAACGAAAAAAAAAAAGAAAAAAAAAACAGTTAAACCATCGTGCACAGTGGTGGTGCGCGAGAGACATTCGGTTCCGAAGTACAGTGAAGTCTCGATAAGTGTTACAGAGCTTGGAATTCCGAAGTAAATGATATTTGTTTCAACCGCGTATGACCATTAGTTCATGAAATATTTGATGTTCAGTGCCGAGGAATTTTCGAGCACTCATCGAGGATTCGCTGTATCAACGTGAATCAAAGTTGAAACAAGTCAGGTGACTAAAAATTAAAAAAAAAACAGGGTGTGTACAATGAGACAAAGATTCAAGACACATATGAAATGCATTTGTTTCGAAACAAATTGTACAGGGATTAAGCTACTCGGTGTTCGAACAAATAATACGCCGACGAACGATGTTTTTCGAACGAAAACGCCAACGGACGTGTCCAAGTTTTGAAAGAGCGCGCGCACCCGTGTTTCGACGATTTTCAACATATAAACCGCGTGAACTCTGCGAAAAATAGACGCTATTAATTGCTACTTAAATTACAATTCGCGCTCGTTTGTACTAGAAACCGACTATCCCCGACCGACTTGAGTATCCGACATCGTCCCTGGTTGCAAATTACACGTTTCTTTTTTCCATCCTCACGCCGAATTAACCACGCATTTTTCCTTTTTGAGAGCTTACACCGTTTTCTTTTTCCCGCTTAATCCCTCTCATACGGTTTTTTTCTCCCTCGAGGGTAACAGAGAGACAAAGAAAAGTGACGTAATTATTTCTCAGCGTGATCTCTCCCCCCCCCTCCTTTCTCCGCGACACGACGAAAGAAAAAACATACATACAAGAATCGAAGATACGTGTGAAGATGGTACTCTATTCGTTGTAATACTAATAATGAGCATTATGTAGTTTATAGGTTCCTGTGGTTTATGTATTACGCGCGTGTTATATTCGTTAAAAAGGGGATTACAGTTAAAAAAAAACAAGCCTTAAAAAGCGTGGATTAGACGGAGAGATACTTCCCCTGGAACAAAGGATCACGGGACTAACTAGTCGATTCCTCCCCGGTTTTCATGATTCGAGTCGGGGACAACAGAATGAACTAGTTACTTCCGTGTTGATCTTGAAAGTTTTTGAAATATCTTTATATGTATATATATATATATATATATAAAAAACTATACAATCCGTGGACTCGTTTAATTTTGCGATTAGCTGCCGACGGAATTCAGTTTTCCTCTTTACTTCTCTCTCTTTTTTCACCGTTTTCTTTTTCCCACTTGCTGCGGTTAAATCGATTTTTACGTTGATAATACTCAGTTCGTTTCTTTCTATTTTTTTTTTTTTTGTATTTTTTCGCGACGACGTAGCTTTTACGTTCACTGACACCGAAAAAAAAAACATGTGACAGATGCGACGACGATATTAAATTTGAATTCAATGAAATAGGGCGTGTCTGTGTGTGTGTAATGCGAAGTAACGTCTCTGTGTGTGTGTGTGTGTGTGTGTGTGTGTGTGCATTAGAGATTTCGTTAACTGCAAACTAAATACGACACTCCATTCAAGTATATTTATGAAGTGTATCTTGAATTCGACTCGTTATATTCGCACGAGAGAATCTGTTACTGACGGTTTACAAGGAACACGCTGTATCGAGAAAAGAGACGGGCCCCTGCTAGCGAAATGTGTGTGTATTGTGGTGTTTTTCTTTCGAATGCATGCGTATTCGCCATAGTTCAGTTCTCTTTGCGGGGAGGACTTTAAATCGTACGATCGGTTCGTACCGTAATCGGTCCTTTTTCGTCGTGATTTTCAACGTGTCAATGCTTCCTCGTGCAATTCGATCATTAATCGCGAGACTTTCTCGTTTAATATATTATAAAGGACCCTGCAAATAATCAGTCAAACGAATCCCTGCTGTTGCGTCATTTCGGAATACACGGAGAACCGTATTTACGAGGTTAAAACGCTCGTTCGTTACTCATACGCGTCGAATTAATTAACAGCATAAACCATGGCAAGAAACGATATATACGATCCTCGGTAAAAGAAACAAAAAAGAAAAAGAAAAAAAAAACACAGAAAGTCGTCTCTTGCCCGCGTCATGTCTCCTGGGATACAAGAGCCCTCGCAAACAGATATTTTTATACATTATTTGTATGAAAACTTCTATTTACAATTCTGAATATACTCTAAACTATAACACTAACATATCTCGAAAGTATATAACTGACCATGGTTTATACCAAAATACTTGAAATATAAAAATACAAGAATTGCAGCACTTTCATATGTAACATTTTGGGAACAAGAAAAAGAAAAACAGCGTTTGATAACGCGTTCGAGGGCGCGTAGTGACGGATAATATCGCCTTTGTGTCGAATTCACACTAGTTGGATTCGTTTGCTCAAACGCGAGTTTTCTTTTTTTTTTTTTTTTTTTGGCGACCCAAAATACTCTGGTAATAATTTAATAATACGAAAAAGTGGATTTAGGATTTTTCCGATGTATCAATACTCGATGGTAGATATGAACATTTACAATAAAATATCGCATTATGAGAACGATTTACATTGTCGGATATTCACATTACTTTGTGTTCTTATATAACTAAATGTGTATTCTTCTATCGAAAGTACCACTTAGATCCATTGGATTCCTTTAATCGACACGACGAGCCTGATGACAAATGGCAACGAGATAAATAGAAATCAGTTCGTTAAATAATGTACGTTTGTTACATTCTTTGATGTCAATTATAGATTATCAGGAACGATCATCAGTGTCCAAACGAAGCAACCAGAACATTCAGCTTTCATCCCCCATAGGGTGAATATCTTTTATCGTCAATCACGTATATCTCTTTTTCCCTTTATACATATGATTATCTTTTTAATTTCGAACTAAACACAATTAACAGGAAGAAATTGAACAAGGTCCTTCGACGTTATCATTTTTAACATGTTTTCTTTTCACTTTTTTTTCTCACAGCTTTCCTTAAAAAAAAAAAAAAAACGTGTATACCCCCTTTTGGACTTGGTTATAATAATGTTTGATGTTCTAACGGCAACAGAAAACAAATCAACCGTTTCAGAAATTTTCGAGTTTAAAATGTTATAAATAAATTTTCCAAACGGAACAACTCCACTTGTCATGAACAGACTCAGAATTTTAATTTAACTTTCGAACATTATGTTGCTCCTGCCATCCTCAGTTATTGATACCACTCATAATGATACCCTAATATTTCAACAAGTTAAAGCTAAGATATTAACAAACAGCGCATGTTTATATTGTATGCACGATTTCGCCCGTGCACTAGTGTGTATGTCGCATGTGTATACGTGTGTGCAATCGCACGCGCACATGTGCGTGTACAGGGGTGTAAACGCTAACAAAGAGTCACTCGTGCGTCGCATATACGACGTGTCAAGAAGTGTTATGGTTTAAATTTAACCAACGGTATGTTTTTCGATTGCAAGCACTTATCACACACCCATTCTGCGTAAACTTCTGCGGTTAATAATTGATAGGCGGTTTCCGATAAACCCGTGCATCCCCTGGAAGAAAGTGTATCATGTAATTTAGTAAACGCGTAACCGTTAAATCCGCGTTGTGTTACGGCCAAAAAAAGGAATTTCCAGCGTACCTGTGAAACCAAAAATTACAACCCGATTCGCAAAGTATCGCTTGATCGTTATCGTGTACTTCTTTGTGACAGACTCCGCAGGGATATATAGGCGGAGCGTTGGGATTCTGTGGATTAAACACCATCGGCTGATCTGGAGGGTATATCTGTAACCAGTTATTAAAACGATGATAACATGGGTCTTGTGAATTTCAGTATCGAACCAATTGTAAATGTAAGAAAATATATATAAAAAAAAATAAATATCAGTAACATATGTGATTACCTTTCCTGCAGAAACTGGCATTGGTTTTGGTCCCATTCCTGGTGGACCTTGGAAACCGTGGGGTGGCATGGAACCTCCCATATTAATTGGATGACCCATCGGTGGACCGCCACTCATATTACTAGACATCGTGCCCATTGGGCCCGCCATGTGACTCATTTGATTGTGATGACTGATACTCATGTTGGACATATTGTTCATCGGTGGTCCGGCCATATTCATGTTATTTATCTGATTTGGACCGCTCATGTTCATGTTATTAGACACCATTGAACTCATTGTGGTCATAGGCCCATTAATGGGCCTACCTAAATTGTTAAGGTTATTCCCCATGTGATTTGGATGTGGTTGAGATCCGTTGTGTCCCAGTGGACTGTTCACATTATTCATAGATGGCCCGTTTAATGGGCTGTTAGGTGGTATATGACTGTTAATGTTATTCATATTCATTGGTCCATTAGGCATGTGATTGGACCCTCCCATTGTGTTCATGGGAGAACCTAATGGGCCACCCATAGGGCTACCCATACTGTGTCCCATATTATTCATCGGACTACCCATCGGTCCGCTATTCATGTTATTCATCGGACTTCCCATAGGTGGACCACTGAGTTGAGAATTACCCATGTGACTCATATTCATGTGATTATTCATAGTGTTCATTGGACCCGGTGGCATATTTGGGCCCATATTATTCATGGGACTCATACCACCTATCGGCGCATGATTCATGGGGGACATAGCCCCCATGTGATTCATGTGATTCGCCATAGGTGAGTTCCCCATTGGACTCATGCTGCCCATGTTATGAGGCATCATAGGGCTCATTCCACCTATGGAAGTTAACGGACTCATACCTCTCATGGGTGGTCCACCCATGTGATGCGGGTGATGCGGATGCATATGGGGAGGTCCGCCATGCATCATAGGAGTTTGGGTAGTTTGCGGTGGTGTATCATCAAAAGGGTTACTTGCCACTATCGTATCTCCATAACCAGTCAAAGGTGGAGGTAATAAATCCTAAAAATACATTTTTGTTAGTTCGACAAACATAGAAATGTAATGAGTTACATGCGCAAGGATTAGAAATGAAAGTGAAATCAAATTACCTGAACAGTTGGAGGTTGTTGTGGAGGTGGCTGAGCAACATTTGCGTTTGTACGCCTTTTCTTTTTGGGATTGGCACCAGCTGGAGGTGGTGGTGGAGGATGAGGGTGGGCAGAAGATTCAGGATGTGGGGCACTAGGTCCCATATTCACACCCATACCCATACCCCCCAAAGGCATCCTTGCAAAGGGTGGCATGCCTGCAATATTATGGCTCATCTCCTTCCCTTATTTTAACATGCCGTGTCAGCACCACAATATTTTTGGTGGTAAATGTGTATTGCTGCTCCACTGTATTTAAGGACAAAACAGTACATGGTACAATTACACCAAATTCATCTATGTTGCATAAAAGACATAAATCTAAATATTTTCAAAGTAAATACACAATAACCCTAATATTAATTTAATACACTTTGTATTGCATTATTTTTCATAATTACGCACAATTATACATTTACAACTGTCTACAAATGAATGAATATTAGGTATGAATGGAAGCTATTACATCTGTGGTATGTAAATATAAATAAGGTATACATTAGAGTGCCTTTACGAATCAACGATCATTCGAGTAAAAATAATACGTGTTCCCAAACGACAGTACGTTCGAAGCGACAAAAGTAACGTAAAAAAAATAGGCAACCCCTTGCAAAGAGAGCAAAATAAAATCGGCCGATGCCAGTTTCTCAGACCAACCTAACCTACACATTTTTCCAAACCCATTTATCTATTCATTACCGTTCATCGATAACGCAAGAAGATCTGTACGGTTTAGTATAAACTCGAGGCTGGAATATGAATGCGATTCGTCTACTTACCAGCGCATTATAATTGGCAAGATATCGATGTATACATGGCTTTCCCGTTTTTTCGGCAGGGACCAACACCATTGAATTGTGTCGTGCGCCTAGCTAGCTTTAACGGTTGGATCGACGCGATTTTTCGTTTCTCGCGTTTTCTACTTCACCAATCACATATTTTACGGTGGCACGAGCGTGTTTCACAGTCACGAATCCGCGAAAAGAGCACGGTAAACACCAGCGAGATGTCAAAAGTACACGAAGGAAGGAAACGCACGCCAGCCTTTCAGGTCGCCATTGTCGCGTTACGCGTGTCCCTGTAGTTGTATTGTTCGCGTAAAGTGTAGTGCACGGTGCGTCGTGCAGATGGCGTTACCGACTACATTCCTGGAAGCTTTCGTACGATCGACAGTTTAGGGCAGTTTCGTAGCGTCGTGACGATCGCTTACATTTCTTTCACCTCCAAGAGATTTTATTGGTCACCAATGCGGATTCTGACACCCGCGTATATGCGATGTACGACTTTGAACAAAGCTTCGATACAATTTCGTTAAACATAATATTTCAATCCTTATTGCATCGAAATTACTTCACGATTGCGAAACTGACGATAAACAATGAAACTTTAATTTAAAACACATACATTATACGTGGAATTTGTAAATTATTTCGCGTGTTGCAAATGTAATGCTGAAGATTCGAACACGTATATAAAATAGCCGTTTGTACAATTCATTCTCTAGTATAGTGTTTTAAATTTGAGGGGAAAGTCAAACGACCGAAGTTTCTCTAAGACAGAGCAGTTTAGTTTAGAACATACACGTTACTTAGACGGCACTATTACGCGAGCCTGAAATTCTCCCTCGCTCTCCTTGTCCCCCTCTCGACAATTTCGCCACGTTATACCTTCCATCCACATTCAGGATCCAGGAGTTGTCTCTGTAACCTCCGAACAGAGGCTGTGCGCGTCACTTTAATTATTTGAGTTACATTAGCAAGTTAGCACGGTTTAACAGCTGGAAAATGGGTTTCGCGTACTATCCACTGCGAATAGTGGGGCAGTTGCCTTTCAGCTATTCATGGATATAGTTCACGAAGATACGATCAGCTTGTCTTTATCGTCGTTTAGTTTTATTTCCACAGAGATTTGTAAGGCGGCTTTGATTAAAATATTCCAGACAGCATATGACGTCTTAAAGACGTTCATTTTACGGCTGTTTAGGTCTAAGGCGTCTTTAAGCCGTCTTCAAGGCGTCACTAGGCGTTGTGTGCTATCTATATATAGATAGAACGTTTCGTTTCGTTTCATCACAGGGAATAAAGTCTGAACGACGTTCGCAATTGAACTAAAATAAGGCTTAAGAATCGTTCGAGGTTGAAAGAAGATTCTCTGTATTTCACATTTCGACGTATTCCGGCGCATTACTCAAGGCAGCCCGATAAGATGTAATATCCAAAGCCCTTGAATCGTGAGAAAAAGAGAAAGAAGAAAATCTCGAAGATTCAGGTCAGACGTTCTCGGCGGGGAGTGCCTACTGCTTCATCGATTCCGTTAATCACCCGGACCACTTACAATTTATATCTATCAAGAGACGGATGTACAGCGTGGATGAAACATCCGGTGCCAAGCTTCTCGCTGAGAAAAGATCGTCTTCGCTATAAATCACAAGACTTCTCTACGTACATTCAATGCAAGCCTGATGGACAACAGTCTTTAAGTCACTTTGAAGTAACTGTCACTATTAAGTGAAGTAGGCGTGTACCTAACCTAGACGTATCATTGAAGTTCATCAATCCTGGGACAGAATGGGCATTAGCAACTACCCCAGTTAGCGTGTTAAGATAATTTATCATGATATTATACTAAGAGGTACGATTTGTCGTTAACTCGAGCTACTTCTCTTTGAAGATACAAGAAATAAAGCGTAACCAATAAGGTTAACCGACGATGATATGAGATTTGAGAATGTCGACAAAAGATTGCCAGCAAGCCCGATGATTTGGACTCGTGAGTGACGTGTGAAAAGAACGAAAGAATGAAAAGAACGTGAAAGAGAAGGAATCGTAGGGGAGAATGGAAAGGGGAAAAGTACAAAAGAGACTGGGGAAGTCGGTCGTGTCGCGATTTGACGATCGAAAGAACGACGCAAATGGATTCCACAAATACCGGCATTCCCCAAACAAATATGTACGGCACGCCAATCAATCCACCGCGTGCATAAGCGTGTCCCGCATAAGAACGACTGATTTGCGCGAATTATAGAAAAACGGAGGAGTCACCGATGAGTATATACATGTATTTCATTCGAGAGGGGAATGCATCGAGGAATCTCCTGCGTCACCGATGTGATCATCCGTCGCCGTACGCACACACACGCTCGCTCGTTTAAAATTTCACTTTCGATTCAGGCCTAGGGAGAAACCATCCTTGACCCGACGCTCGAACAGTTTGTTGGGATTCGACCGTGTTCCACCGACGTAGAAACGTTACAGTACACATTAGTTTCAATCAGAGAAACGAATCAGTCGCTTCAGATCGGAGATTTGGGTCTCGAGCGTCGAGTAACGGTTTTCAATATTCAGATCTCGTGGTTCGATGCTTCGATGATCGATGGCTCTGTGCAACGCTCGAAGCAACATTTAGGCAGTGGCGGATCCAGAAGGGGGCGACAACCCCCCCTCTCAAGAGTAATAAAATATACAAATATTATGTCACTTACACATACTTATAAAAGATGGTTAAAAAAAGTAGCTATGTACTTTTAGACATTTGCCCCCCCCCACCCCAAGAAAGACTCCTGGATCCGCCATTGCATTAAGGTGGTGTATATGTATACATATAGGGTGAGTAAATAAGAACTATTGTCTAAAATAACTCGTTACTTATTAATTGTAGCAGAAAACGTTTTAATGAATTATGTAAAATTTTAAGGGTGCATCGGATGGCTAGAATTAAATTTTTTTATATGGAAATCTTTATTGGTTATGTATCCACACGGCGAGATATTCGTTGATCGCGTTAGAAGTTCGGTGTATAACAAAACGGGTGCATGAAACGAACAAAATTACACTGGTGACTGATCAGACACGCACGAATAAGTCCGAGCCAGCGTAATTTTCATGTGTCCAATCGGTCGATCGATACGCCCTTGTGACCGTGTGGCAAAACACAGTCCCCGCGGGATTTCGATCAACGCTCCCGTCGAAATCCCTCGAGAAATCGTGTGCCTGTTACCAACCACCGCAACCAGTTGAATCCGACATTCGAGTGTTCTGGGCCATACGATCTTATGCTCATTAGGGCGTGTTTACACCGCTGCAATCTTCGTTTGCGGAACACGTACGGAATTCTGAAATCTGAACAACTGTTACTCGCAACCAGATTGTCAGGAGTAGGGGGTCTTTGAAGTCCATACAACGTAGAAGGAGTAGGGAAGGGGAAACACACCATAGCAATGCTCGCTAGTATAAAGGGTGAGTTACTATTAACTGTATCACCTAAATTTACTCATAAACTACTTGTTCCATAAAAAAATGTTTCAAACGAAAGTTGTTTGATATCGAGCAGAGCATACAATGTGATAATTAGTTTTTTGATGTTTTGCTTTTTTATCGAAATATGTAGGTCACCTTGAGTTTTTGTACTATGATATGTAATGTTTGACTCTGCAATTCGAAAGAATATTTAACGCTGAGTAAAAAAGTACTAAAGTATATGCACATAATATATGCATACATGACAATTAAATAAAAATAAATTTACAGCAACCTAGTATACACTAAGGAATTCATCATAAAGGACAATTTATAATGAAACATTAATTTAAATTAAACAGTAAAAATTGCTTACACTAATCAATCAAGCTGCTAAAAAAAAATCAGTCATACCCATAAATTTATTTATCGAATGTTCATATCGAATGAACAACACGACTTATCGAATGCAACCGACGGCTAACGCTGATAACTTTACGCGTTTTCCATATCACACGAATTAATGTTTGCGACGTTTGTCCAATGCACGCTTGGAGTTAAAGCGGCACGTCAAATGGAAATCACTTTGAGCGACACATATGTCGCTCGTGTTCCTCTACCGGTAAAACGAACGTGAAAATCCCTGCTGAGCGCATTACGCGGACTTGTTGCCGCAGCGTAAACGTGCCCTTAGGCTGTGGACCGCTCTTTATCGTCGCTTATCCCCGATGTGAACGGCCGAATGGATCGTTTCCGGGAAACCTACGCCGCTTCGTGTCCATTCAACAACGGAGAATCCACCTTTTCCTACTTTCACCCGTGCACGGAGCTCGCGCGCGCGCGTATCCGACGAAGCGTAACGCGTTCCAGTGAACTTTCACCTTGGGATTTCCAGTTACGATCAAACTCACAATCGCGTCTCGAATACGTTCAATCCCCTAGTTGTCTATGCAACGGATAGGGAATACTACGTCCATTATATTATATCCTTCAAGAATTTAATTGCATTAGCCTCCCTAACCTCGTCCTGACTTGGTAAACCGCGTTAGAGATCGAAGGACTTAGTGTATCTGTTACAGTTTTTACAAACGATATATCGTCGACCTTATCCAAGGCCGAATTAAGATCTTCAGAGGCCCTAAACACTTAAAAGATTTTTGTGCCCCCATATACACCCACGAGCAAACTCGGCTTCCACTAGGGAAAAAGTAACGTAGGGGTAAGGGCCTGTTACTGCTTGATAAATTAATTTCAAATACTGAAATAAATATTAAACCGAATATGAATTGGGCATAAATTTCAGTAACTCCAAGACCAAGTGGGAGAAGGTCTTTTCGACGAGTCAGTAAACGTAACCAAAAATATTAGCGTGCTAAGCGCAACTATGGTAACTATCTCAGTCTCTGTCGCATCTAAACGGTCACATCACTCCCCTTTGTTTATAATTACCAACACGTCTCATTGGACAAGATATAAATCCTCGATTTCCGTTCCGAGTTTCAGGAACAGTATTAAGGCAGCGAGTGCTTTATCGAGTAATTAGTTTTCAGGAATTAGCAGAAGCACCGAGAGGAACACATGCAGGCACAGATCTCGCGAGCGACATCCACAGTACATGTAGGTACACGCAGCGCCTCGCGTGGGAAGCTCGGACACGATTGGACACGATGATTCTCCGTCGTATCCGGTCGCAAGTGAAACTAATCCCCGCAGTCGTGTGCGCCGCGACTCTTCCCTAATTCCTGCTCGTAACGTCGACTCCCCATGAGAGCGACGTTGCGACGTTTCTCGGGGATACCCAACGCCTTGAGAGTCGACGAAACGCGAGAAAGCGAAGTAACGGCGGCCCCGTAAAGTTTACGTGATTTAATTCGAATTAATGTAATTGCAATGCTGTGAATGGAGATGGGGGGGATGTTGTAAACCGAGATTTATGTCCCCCGAAACGAGAGAGGAATTGCATTGCGTGGATAGGTTATTCGAATCGTCGCGCCCGCCCCCCTTTCCCACAAGAGATTAACCGTCGTAAAAGGGCTAGGAAACAGGACTCATCTCTTTTTCGTCCTTAATCTAGCGGCTCAGTGGCCACCGTTGATCCACCTCCACGGTAGATTTGTTTGGCAGTTAAGGATTTACAGCGCGCAACGAAATATCACCGAATAACCCGTATAACCACTCGCTCGTTCCGATATCACGCCCTCGATTTTCGTCGTGAATTTTCGGCTCGCGCGTTTCGTTCGGTCGCGCGTGGCCGGACATTTCGGTGGCACTGTGTCGAGCCGTTCCGGGTCGTTGGACCGATTCCCGCTGCGATTTGTGCACGCGTCCGCGAATCACGCGTTATAGGTATCCTAGTTGCGTCCAAACGGTGAGTACTCTCTCTCTGTTCGTCTTATCCACGAGCAGCTTTGCTAGTAGTAGGGAAAAAATGGCCGCCGCAGGGACAAAGTGACGTGTAGGTTGTAACAGAGGGGGTATATTTATGTTGGGGACGCGACATCATGTTTTTGTTCGGAGGACAGTAAATCAGTAGAAATTGCATTCAATTATTTTTTTACATAAATAGATTGCTTAGTTTGGGGCCCCTGCAACGTGGGACCCTGGGCTGCAGCCCCCCCCCTAGCACCTTCCCTTGATCCTATGTTGAGGATGACGGCTGAACACAGTGCCGAGGAGCCTTCGAACACTCATCGGTGATTTACTGTAGTATTAACACGATGTGCCAAAGTCGTATTACTCTACACGTATATGTGACATTACCTTGTCCTTACGGTTGGAAATTCTCCTGGCAACGCTGTCCACGGTAGGAACGGAGAATCGCAAGCAGCAAGAGGTAGAGAGACTCGTCACGAAAACGGGCTTAAACGGTCTCGCGGCGTAATGGTCAGATAAACTCGTCGCGAGGAAGAATCAACTGACGACGAATCGTGCGACGTGACCCCAAGAGGACAATGAGCCATATCAATCCTTTATTCCCTCCCCCCCCCCCTCCCTTACACCCGATCGGTGGGCGAATTCGTTCCGTTCGAATGATCGAACCGTCTCGAAAACGATCGGCTATTCAAACGGCTCTTGACAAGTCGCCGGACGAAAAAAGGAGGAAAAGAGAAGAGAAAAAAGGAAACGGACCCCAATGACAGAGAGGTAGTTTGGGGATGAAAAAAAGGTGGGAAAAAGAAGAAATAAAAAGTACAGAGAGAAGAGGGAAAAAAAAGTAGCCGGGAGCGCGGGGACGATCGGTCAACGCATCGACAAGGAATCCCATTGATGCCGCAAAAGCTTCGAACAGTTGCCCGGCTAAAAGTAGATCGACGAATCCCAGTTCCTTGTAATCTTTATCGATACAAGGCACGATCTCTCCCCCTAACCCTCCCGGTCGCCACGTTCCGATCCCCGTATCGGGTGGACGGACGCGAAGAGCTCGACTACGTTCTCCTCGTTCCATCCATCGGACCCCCGTTGTCCTTTCCTTCTTTCCCGATCCCTCTCTCTACCCTTCGATGAACACTTTAATCGTATTTCACGGTGGATCACCTCGTTGATCTTCTTGCCGTTCTTTTCTTTATTCCGCCGCCAATTTGACAGTCCATGGATAAACGCACGCCTCGAATCAAGAGAACGCGTCGAATCGACTATTAAATCGAACGATTTAAATTGTAGCTTTTCTTCCTCGTTTGGTCGTTCGATGTTGCCCGATTTATGTTGCATGAAAGTGAGTTGCGCAATAAGGGAATGATTCGCGTGAGAAACGTATTGCTCCCTTTTTTGTCGCGTGATACGTAATCCCCCCCTGGTAAACAACACCGTTTACCGTTCACTGTCGACAAGGAAATCTAACCTAATTCTAAGGAGCGTAATCCTAGCATACCTGTCACGCTCGCTACTTCCGTCGGTAATTATCGATGTTATATCGATGTATCGATGGTACACCTAACGTAGAAACACATTAATATCCACGTCACGTGAAATCACACATGCTATCACGTTGCACACATAATTTACATATATACAGATTTCTGAACAGCTTGACACGTGATTAGAATTTGTTTCCAACGAATTTAAAACACTGGAAATACGTCGACTCACGCTCTACGAATAGGTATCACGTGAAACACATACGATACGGTTTTGGGAGATATCCAGAACGCGCTGTCTAGGTATTATACGTCTATGGTGATTTCACATGACGTGAGATTAAATGCGTTTCCACCTTTAGCTACTTCGAGACACGTATTTATATGGTTTCACTCATAGACATGGTCTCACTCGTAACAAGTTAATCGACCGCGAACCGTTGGATCTCGATAAAGATCGATTAACCGGCGTATCGATCACGAAGAGGTTAAACGTGCCCGGTGGAAGACCCTGGAAGAAAAAGAGAGAAGGATAAGACATCTTGTCTTACCTGAGGGACGATCGAGAGAGGAGCATCATGTGGGATGGAAAACTAGGTTAAATGTTCGGCAAGAAAGCGTCCGAACACGGGCAAGATCCGTTCGATGGAACGGACACGAAGCAGCGAGATCGCAGGTTAGCCGTTGGATAAACGAAAGTGCATTGGCGCGAATAGACGGGTGTTAACGCGCACGCGAGAGAGAGAGGAGGGCCGGGGGGGATAGCGAAAGGGAGAAAAGTGTAATGCAACGCGCACACTCTCACACGCACGTCTTCCCAGTTTCCCCCTTCCATCCAGAGAACCTGGGCCGCTATATACATGACATACACAAAGAGGTGTCCCAGAGGACGGAGAACCACCGTCCGCCGATATATTATCGTGTCGTCGTCGTTCCGTGGTACCACACACACTTTCGTATTTATCGAGTAGAAGAAGGGGAGGAAAGGCCACGGAACGTGTACCTTCGGGCCAGTGCGTTCCGAGATTTCGCGGTGAGAGGACAGCGAGCGAACCGTATTTCAACGAAGGGTCCCTCTCTGCTCGCGTTTCCATCACTGGTTTAATCGTCGCGATCCATCAGTGTGCACCTCGACCGTCTTCCATCTTTTTTTTACTCCGTCCTCCGCCGACCGTAGTTGTTTTTTCGTCTATCGTGAGCTGCTCGTGGAAAGGAGCAAGAGGATTCTCAACCAGGGGTTACTATTCCGTGTGGTGGCGCGAACCCAACCAACCCTCGGCATGGCTTCGACGATCAAGGTGAGTGACGAACGCGCAACAGGTAGGACATATACGCACACGCCAGTGTATACATATACGTACGGCAAGGGGGTAATTTAAAGTTTCCCCGAGTATTCGGAGGCAGTGTGGCCAGATTTCAGTAACCTATACTCGTAAAAGAAAGAACCGCCTGATAGCGCAACCATATACAAATACAAATTAAACTGTATTTTCGAATCAGAATTATCGTTCCTTTGGATTCGATGATAACAAAAGTACAGATACAACAGTAATTTATCAATATTTATTTGAAAATATGTACATTTATGTTTTAACAATTGTTTTGGTCACCATTAAGGAAAGATAGAACTTATGTTTTTTGGAGTATTTCGCCCATTTACCTATTTTCATATGATAACTTAATGAAGTTAGGGATAACGCCACAGCGATAAGTAGTTGCGGGAATCGCCGCGACTATTGCAGCTTCTAAATTCCAATTATCGCTCACCAGTATAAGGATTGGATAGAACCAATAAAAAAAACAAAGAAAGAACAACAAATGAAAGGATAATTTATGTGTTAATAATCACTCAAGTTGAGGTTTTTGCAAAAAATTAAGCGCATACTAACTCTAAAAATTGCCCAATTTGCGATAAAGCGTCCAATCTGCGCCATATTATTCGGAGGGGTATCTCTGCCAGGTCCTTCGACGCTTTTCTATCCACTCCCCCACCCCCTCTAGTTTCTACGTCTGTGGGACCAGTTCGTTCGTCGTCGCTCTAACCTCCCAGGGATATAAGTATGCTGTATTGCTGCTTCTGTACGGCGAATTCGATATCGTGACAGATTGCGACACAAGGCCCTCTTTATACCTTGAATATTTGGGAGACAAGCCAGGGGAATCGGTGTTCCCGTAGGCACGTACCTGTAGCTTTTCCTCCCCCTCCCTGCAACGGAACGTACGCGCCGTGAATACCGATTGTCCCCTGTACCCCCCCTGCTTAAATAGCCCCCATTATCGCGGTAATCTCTCGTACAGCGATTTCAGCTTACCGACTATCAATGCCGCTACCGTCCACACATAGCCGTGGTATTCGTGGGAATTAATGGGGGAGAGATTCCCCTGTCAATGTTTTGGAAAACAACGAAAAATACCGTAAATAAAATAAACGTTTTTACTCGACTGTTTGAAATCGGGTCGGAACACGCGCGTGAAAAATAAATCAATTTGGTTTTTTGTGATCGAAAGAATGGAGGAATAGGCAATTCAAATGGGGAGGGGTGGGAGTACATAGATGTCCTTTATCTTTAGAAGGGGACAAGGTCTATTCGAGTTCGTTGTGTTTCAACGATAGGGAAATTTGATAATCGAACACAGTGAGGCGTCCGGGGAATACGGAGCCTGGGACAGAATTTACCCAAACGTTACTTTGACGTGAAACTAGATTACACGTAAATTGTTAGACCTAGGGGATTTTGTTACGTTGGATGAGTTTATGTGACGTTTGTGTGGAAAGTTTATGTGATATTTCCTGTGCACAGCATGGACACCTAAGCTACGGGGTGTTAAGAAACATGTGGGACACTTTCACAGGGTGGATTCAAATATTCCGATTTTTTTGAACTTCTCAGGTATGTAGAGGTTTCCAATAGAAGCATCGGGTAATTTTTTGTTTCTGCTGATATTCGGTTCTTCAGGATGAAACCATCCCTTGAAGGTCAAAACTATAGCAGATATAAAAAAACTGTTAAAACGAAAATTTAATGTATATTTGAATTCAGTTAAACGGTAGCTTTCGAGAAATTGGTGTCCACGATCGGTTAGCCTGCATCTACAAAACGCGACATTATTCATTCGTCACAGGATATGCATTGTGAGTTTACAGTCGTGCAGTAAACACCAGCGAACAGAAACTGTTTTGCTCCATCGCATTGTTCCATAAACATTCTAACGGGTAGGTTCATCGCCGCCTTATAAGCATCGTAAACTCAGCGTTTGTAAAGCGTTTCCGACAATTTGCGTGCAAAACTAAAAGCATTTTGTGTTCTCTCAGCTTTAACCAAATACAGTAGTCCTCCATATAATACAGATTCGTATAACACCAAGGAAAAATGATGACAGTGTTCCTTTTAAAACGGTAAACAAAATTTACATTTTCAGATTCCAATTGAAAATCACACGAAATATTTTTTAACCTTCATTTTACATTTTTTATAATACATAATTTATAGTAAATTTTGTAAAAACATTATTTGTAAATACATATTGCTCTCGAGTATCTTCGAAATCGTGAAATGGTATCAAAAAATGTTTCAAATAAAAGTTAAATGGTTTCGAGAAAGAAATAATTTTATGTAAGTAATTTTTTGTAGCTGGACGCGTAGAGGATATATGAAGGTCAATTTGTTTACTTAAATAGAATCATATACTTTTTAATGCATTAATCCATGCTGTGTGTTATTTTCTATAAAAATGTATTAAGCTACGTATACCAAAAAACCATTATTTTGGCAGATATTTTATTTTCAAAATTACGTTCAGGCTCTGCATTGCAGGCTAAAGACACTTTTGGACACTAACTTTAAGAAGTCAACATCGTATTACTCCGAAACTAATGATTAATTGGTATAAATGGCATAATACTTTTTACAGAAAAGGCTGAACAGCATCAAATTAAAAATATGTATATCATTCTATATACAAAAAAAAAACTACTCGCATGAAATTATTTACACTTATATTTATTTATTTTACGGGATAATTCCCATCGGGATACATGAGATAAAGAATGTAAACATATTTATATAAAAACATGTTATATAAATTATATAAAAATATGTTACATAAAATATTCCCTCCTCCCGAAACCATTCAACTTTTATCCGAAAGATTTTTCAGTATCATCAACGGTTTCGAAGACATTCGAGGGGATCGATTTGAATAACTCACCCAGTCTGTGTAACCTACGTGTGACTCGTGTAATAGGTGGGGTGGGCGTCTTCTGTACAGTCGTAAGATCAAGCCAGATATCGCAGGTGATTTTAAAGGAAAACTAGCGTTACCCCTATAGAATACGAAAGGGCCAGTCGGTTCGAAAAAGGCTCGTAGCCGATAGTGATTTCATCGTCCGGTGACACGGGGACACGTTAAACTGTGCGTGTTCCTGGCGAAGCGATCGAGACCGCCATAATAACCGTAATATCGCGACAAGTTTATAGAGCGTAACCGTCTCGTATTAAGGCGCGAGAGAGCCGATAAGCGCCTGTCGAGGTAAAAGCTGCCTCGGAAGCTGGAATAAAATCGCGGAGCTCCTTTTTGCCCGAGTGATCCGTCGAGACGGGCGACTCGTATGCATCGGCGTGGAATTCTTCGAGGGGTATTAAATGTCGGAGAGGCAACGAATCTTCACAGTGGTTCCATCGGTGGTAGGTATAAGAGGATATCTGCTCTGCTGATATTCGGCACGCGAGGTATATGCAGGGTGAGTCACTTAACCACTTAAATGTACTTACTATTTCTTTAGTGGTATACAGGGTGTCCCAAAATAACTTCGACTCCCGGAAATAAGGGGTTCTTGGGATGATTTGAAATAACTTTTTCCTTAGCAAAAACGTTATCCGAGGCTTTTTTTTAATGTACAGAGTAGCCCAGAAGTCTCTGGACCATTTTAAAATATAATAACCTCTTAGAAAGAGTCCGCCACTGTCAAGAACAAAATGGTGGTCGTTTGAAGGACATAATGTACAAAAGTAATTAAAAATAATTTCCAAGATGTATATTTATTGTTTATAAAAGCATAAATGTGTATTTTTAATATATAAAAGAGTTATTCTATTTTTGTATGGTCTAGTGACTTTTGGGCCACCCTGTATATGCAGATACAATCCGTTCCAACGACGAAATTGTGCGCATTCCTAGAGCCATTCGCCGAAACATGTTTATTTTCCACGTAGTTAGATTAACGCACTCTGCACAAGAATCGAATCGGAATCGATCGATCGATCACAACGTGTTGTATTTTCTTGTCTGTCAGCCGTAGTGAAGAAGTTATTAAATTCCGGCACGTACACGGCTCCGGTTCCACTCGGACGATCGCGAGAGACACAGAGAACCTTTATCGATGGCGTCGCAACGTCATAACTCATGCGTGCCGCAATCGTACGCTTACGTGTATGGCGAACCGGCGTTCCGCGCGGAATAACAAACCGTATCGTGAACGATTTCTTCGTTTGTTCGCCGTGTCTCGTGATATTCTATAGTCGTAGCTTCGATATATTAACCATATACTAACCTCGAAGCAACGGTCGACAACGGAAAATCTCGAGACGGTTGAGATATCGATCGCGTTCGATTCGCATCGATATCGAGAATACAACGCTTTCGACGAGCCCATAGACATAAAAATATAGACTGCGCATCTCCCTGAAATTGGCGTCCCAAGTTTAGAAAGAGATACAGTGATCCCTCGATGAATGCGACACGAGGAACATCGTTAGTCCCTCCATTGTGGCGGGGTCCCCCTCTGGAATCAATCAGAACAGAGTAAATAGAAGCTAAGCAGAGGCTCGATTTCGAGTAAAAAACAAAATTTATGAGGGTCCGAAAACCTTTCCGCTTTGCCATGAATGCTCCATAGCGGACCCGAGTATGTCGTATTCATCGAGACATTATTATAGATAGCTTTCGGATGACTTGGCATCTCTTTTTAAATCTATGTAGTGGGGGGTGAAGTTCTGGGGATCTGCGTTTTGAATAGTTGATTCAGCTACAGTGGACTCTAATTATATTGCCATGGTCGGGGCTGTAGGGGAGTAAAATGGCAATAACCTCAACCTCAGGAGGTTAATAATTTTTAATAAACCCACTCCTGGATCGTGCTGGTGCGCCGGCTTACGGAATATGGTGGGAGAACGAATTTGTGTGGTCGAAAGTACGTGTGAGGGGAAAGTGCCTCGCGTGGCAATATGTTTAGTGGCAATAAAGTTAGAGTCTACTGTATATTAGAAACAGATATCAAGTCCTCTGAAAGTAACCCGTC